GGCTTAAGTGCCACCATTCCTTTTTCTCTCCACCACCAGATCGCTCCACATCACGATACATCGCATCGTCTGAGACAACGTCGCAGTTGGCGACTTCTACCGGAATACCAGCAGGATATGCTTCATTTCAGACAGTTCGCTTTCCTTTATCCGCGTGACCCGCCACTCACAAGCCTCGCTGAGTTCTCGGCCAAAAACTTCTCCACCATTCCACATGACACTGTCGTCGCGTGTGTTGTGTGAGCAAGATACATGGGTTGCGCTTCGAAAGAAATGAATTCCTAGGTTCGACACCACCACATCCCGACCATTTCTCTTTATCCATTTAGCCAAGATTTCGATCGCGCTGTCCTAACCGTGATAGTCCGTCTCTGTTAGCAAGAAACCAACGGGACGGCGTGTCGCGGACTGATTGGGCACATCGACATCATATGTCCATACAAGTGCGAATGCGTCAGCCCTATGCCTCTTTTCTGACCAAGTAGTAGCCGACCCACTGCAGGAGCTTGCTCCGCCACAAAACACACAATCAGCATGAATGCAGACTTCCATGCAATTTGAGTCTCTCCTTTGTTGAGGCTGCGATTTGGCGTAAACACGATGGAGGCCTGATCACGTTTCATGGAAGCCGAATCATCATCGCTTACAAAAGACTCTACGCGTGAATCAGACGTGCAGCTAGCCCCTACCTGCTGTTAGCCTCCTGGATTTCGAATTTGATGCAGGTGTAAGTTCACGGGGTGTAGCAGTTGTTTTGCATGAACTCTGGCACACAGCCTCGATGGATACCTTGGGCACGCACAGGCAGCTGCGCCGCAGAACACCCGCTTGGTCAGCTCATCTTCACGATGATCATACTGGGTGGTCAGTCCTCTCGACTGCGGGCGCGTTTCGACTTATGCAAGGTGGTGGTCATAGCAGGAGAGAAGGTCGACGTTTTACAGGCGTCTTACCTGTTGCGATCGGACCATGGAGCTCCGCCAAAAATAGCACCCGTTCCTTCGTCGGTAACGTACCCCAGAGACCGTTGCCAGCCAAGCAGATCTTGCAAGGGCCACTTTCACTTTGACTGCTCGCGAGCATGGCTGGAGCGATCATTCGACGTTATGCGGGATCTGCAGAACTCCTTGCCTTATCTCGCGTCCACATGCGTCTGAAAGATGACGACAGACATGAGCAACAAGCGCCTAACACGCTACTACGCTACTACGCGTAACGCGCCATTGGTGGCTTTCCGCCGAAACGAACGCGATGTGCTGTAGCAACGGAACTATCGATGCGGCTATCACGATGGTACCTGTTGTTGCTCACGGAACCGACTGCGAAACGCCTCAGGCTGGCTTTTTAGTGTTGGCTTGTTCGATGTGTCTTACAGGGCCACCCTACTTCTTTGAGCACTGCCACCAGAACGGCACTTTTGCAGGAACGCATACTGCGACGAATTTCGGGCCAATGGCCGAGTGCGAACTTCTCTTACAGCGCGATGGATCGTAGATGGTGGGGGTGAGGAGTTGGGATTATGTCACGTCTGATGCAAGCGACGGCTCCAGATGCCTTTTACGCGTTCGACAGTGAGGTGGAGCGGTACGACAGCTCTCAGATGGCGAGCAGATGCACGTTTCATGTGGTCTGCTGAATTACCCCTGAGAATGCGGCCCTAGGTTAGTAGCGCTGGGGGTCCCTGCAGCGCCGGCGCGGCGATCTCCCTTAGAGCATCGTGAGGCTTGACGCGTTCAGAATTTGAGATCGCGAAAGGAGAGATCACCATGGACAATATTGATCACTAGAGGGAGTTGCTGCAGCGCCAGAAACTCTCCGTACAATAGTCGCCTGCTCTAGTACCAGACAGGTGTGGAGGCATGCATGCGTGGGTGCCTGCATGCCAAGGCAGCCTCTTAGTGCCCTCTTGAAACCCGTGAAACAGACCACGGATGTTGCTCTTCTAAACAAGAGCCGTCCGTCTCCGCCCGGAAATTGGACGATCAATGTCTTCCTGGCGGCCTAAGAACTGAGCTTATACCCATCCGTATACCGTCAAAAGCTTCTCGAACGCTTCCATTTCGCGCGCACTCGCCCTCCCTACATAGTAACCACAGCTCTGCCCGCCCAACACGGACCGTGAACCACCAATTTCCGGCATGATACTGGCGATTGCGCATACATCTGGATAACATGGAGGCCGACGACGCTCAACTCTACCAATTCAGCACCCCTCAGCAGAGCAACTCGTTCAAGCGAGCGCGGCGCAGTCTACAAAGCTCCACGCCCTTGAGCAGCGTGACCGAGAGCGTCACTTCTTCACCCCGTCACTCTGGCCAGAACCAGTTCGCACCTCAGCTCTTTGACCATGTCAATGCGCTGAAGCATCTTGATGACCAGCAGATCCTCCAGCTACTTTCCGTTGCGCGCAATGGAGGTCAGTCAACGCCTAGCCCTGGCGGCGCGTTGTTTGCTCACGCGTATCCAGATGGTATGCGTCGGTCGGGCGCCGACCGATCGTCCATGTCGACCGTCGGAAGCCGCGCGTCATCATACCTGAGTGTACCATCCAGCAGAGTACCCAGCATGCTCTCGGACCCGCGCTCGTCCATCGCGTCTACCGACTCGTCCTTTACACACTACAGTGCCGCATCCTCGCGCCTGTCGACCGCATCATCTCGTCTCTCCACAATCTCCACCACATCGACGCCCGCGCCCAAGAACTTTGCATGCACATTCTGCGACAAGGCTCTCAAGTCGAAGCCATACTGGAAATCGCACGAGGAAGAGTTCCACGAGCAGCGACTTACCTGGAGATGTCCCGACTGCGAGCAGATCTTCCATGCTGGCAAGCGGTTCCGTGAGCATCACACCAAGCTACACGTACGTCAGAATTACCCTTCATCTAGATTCAAGGCTAACATTGCACAGGGCTGTGAACACTGCAAGCAACCTAGGGAGAGCGGTCAACCCACGAGCAGGAAAGCATCGCCATGCGTCAAGAAGTACGAGATCGTCATGCACGACAAAGACGCTTGGGGTTGTGGTTTCTGCGCTTCTCTTCTAACCACCTGGGAAGAAAGATGCGAACACATCGCTCTTCACTTTGAAGAGAAGGGAGGATCCAAGTGGAACTTCACCAACGTCATCCTCGGCCTGCTTAAGCAACCCGAACTCTCAAGCGCGTGGAACCAAATGATGCTCGATCGCCATGGAGACGAATCGAACTGGCCGTCCTTGGCGTGGGAGTCTAAGAAGTGCAACCGCTTACGGTATAAGCTCGAGACCAAATGGGATACACGCGTTTTCGACATCGAGAAGTTGGTGCAGGACACCTACGACTTGGCGGAAATCGAGGTGAAGGACGTCGTCGAACCCACGACTGAAGTCACGCCCGAAGCCCCGGAGTCCGTCGACAACAGCCAAGGCGAAATCGTGGAGTTCAAGCTAGAATCATCTGACTTCATGACGGACAACAGGTTGCATAGCTCCCATGGGCTGCCGTCCGATAACAGGCTCCACAGCTCGCACGGTCTGCCGTCCGAGCATATGATGATGGACATTGACTCTGTGGAGCCCCCACAGATGCATCACCAAGATATGCAACAATCACAATGGCCGGTCAGCCAGGACATGCACAACAGCATGAGCGCGGCAACCGCCATGGGTGGCTTCGGTGCTTTCGATACCACCATGACGTCGATGCCAACGGACTTTTCGCAACCGATGGCGCAAAGCTTCCAGCCACAGCAGCAGAGCTGGCCAAACGCCGGCTTCACGTCGACCCCCGATCTACTGAGCTACCAGCAACCAGCGCCATACATGGACTACCAGCAACCCAAGGAGATGGTCTCTGTACCCACATCGCAGTACTCCAACTTTGCGCACTACCCCCGCCAAAGCCTCCCACCAAACTTCCTGCACCAGCAGCAGCAGCAACAACAACAGCAACAGGCGCCCAGCACACCAACCTCTCGTCGCTATGTCCCCAGACTAATTAATATTTCGAACAACTCGAGCCACCGCGGCGTTCAACTCGAACAGCCACCACCCCCACCACCCAAAGACGAGCACCAAAACCGCTTCTCCCGCCTCATCATGAGACGGCGCCCGAGCAACATCTCCCAACACAGCATCGTCTCGCACCGTGACATGGGCGGAACCTGGGGCGATGATTCCAACTGGGGATAACTCTGATTCAGCATTCTCTCTTCAAACGCGCATATACGCGCATAATACCACGGACCCCCTTTGCACACTCGGCTGGCCCGACCCCGCACACCACTCTCCTTAGAAACAAACAAATAAAGCACCGCAACAGGTGACTCCGAACCTCGCTGTTCGTCCCTGGGTCCCGGCTCAGCTCAGCCCAGCCCTGCACCCCTCGATGAAGCGAGCTACACGACACCTCAACGGAGATAGTACCCACACACAAGACGCTTCATCAGCTCTTACCACTTGTTTTCCTTTACCATTTCCTTTCTCCTTACGTATACAACAGTGTTTCCAGCGGGATGGGATGAGGATATACCCATATATGCAGCGACTTGCCTTTTTCCCAGCCATTTTTGTTGTTGTTGTCGTCATTTCGTGCGCACAACGTAGTTTAGTGTCTCTTGTTGAGAAGTTGTCAACTATCTTTGCTTGCCTGCATGCACATGCACCTAATACCCCCCGCACCTCTTTTTCATGTTGCCATTTGGATGCGACGCGATTGATGTAATGATGGGGTTTGGAATGAAATATCTAGGAAAGGGAAGGAAGAATGGGTTTGACAGGGCAGATACCATATAGAGTTACTTCAATGTGTTTGTCAACTTTGCTTCACATCTACATTGGCTTTTGGTTGGTTAGGTGATGTTTGTGTTACTACTGTGCTTCATACGTTGGATTTTGAATGGTTTGGTGATGTTGTGTGATGATACTGTAGAGGAGACGTCAAGTTGCAGTGGATGATATGATGGTGAGGCTATTGGTTGTATTCCGCAGGTCTTGTAGTTAGTGCCTCTACATACCTCACGCCGCCCACGCAAACTCCACAATTTGCTATCTACAAAACCACACGTCCATCCATGTACCCCTGCATGCATCTGTGCTGCTTAGACACGCAGCGGAAACTCAACCAATTCTTGTCGTGGAAGAGGTGGTTGGCCAGCTTTTCATCCGCGAATGCGATGGCTGCGTCCCTAACGGTGGTGTCGAGAGGAAGGTAGCGTTCGTCGCCGCGAGCAAGGCCATTTCCAAAATTAGCCAGATCAATCGCCATTGACGCGTGCTTCTTTCGCTTCGGTGCTGGCACCTTGAACGCGCACAGCACCTTCTCAACCTGTGCCTGAAGGATGCCAGGCTGAACTTTCCGAAGTCCAGAAAGGCGCAGAGAGCCGCGCTTGAGCTGGTTGAAGACTACGTGGGCCGTCTCCGCAGGAAACTCATTCTTGAGGGACCTCACGATCTGGTGGGTGGACTTGCGCTTTGGCGCCACGACCTTGTCGCCCTCGGGGTCGTCCTTGTTACGGGATTCGGGGGCAGAAGCAAGCACTGTAGGCTTCACAGGCTCTTGAGGTTTCGCGGTTGGCTTGGTTGATGCCAATGTCTTCGCCGGCCTTGCTTCGGCCTCCTGCACCAGTCGATCAACCTTCTCTTGTAGGCGGCTCATGGCCCCCATCAACTCCTCGACTTTCGTATCAGCCTTGATACGCGCAGTCCTCTCCTCTTCCAAGATGCTCAAGATCATCTTCAGCTTAATCTTGTTGGTGGAGGGCGCCAGGTCAGTCTGAGTGGGGGTGGACTTCGATGGAACGGAGTCGAAAGACACAGGCGACGAAACCACCTTGGGAGGAGAACCGTCTTTGCTGGTGGAATTCGGAGGTGATGATGGTGAAGGAGTTGAGGTAAGTCGTGATCTCTTTTCTTTGGGCTCGGCCGATGAACTAGGCTCGTCTGACAGAGCTGCGAATGAAGTTGAAGTAGCACCAAAGTTGAAGACGGGTTTTAGTGCTGGGGCCGGCGACAAAGATTTTTCTGCGGATGCGGTATCAGGAATTGGGCTTGCATCAAGACCGCCAGGCGCCGACTCATCATCAGGCTTCTTGAAGCGCGACGCTCTTTTCAGAGGTGCCAGCTTCCTTTCTGGTACTTTGGCTTCAATGAACGGGGAAGGTTTGCCTGCAGGCTTCGCCTTCGTATCAACTCTGTTGAAGATGGACGCACCATCGGGGCCGACGAAGGGGTTTGCTACAGCTCGTACCGCTGGAAAGTTTATTGCTGTGCCAGGCAGCTGGAACGTGGAAGCACCGCCGGGTGGCGAAACCACGACCTTGGGGTTGTCGTTAGCTTTCTGGACAGGCATGGTAGTGATAGCCTGCGAGGCAAGGTTCGTCTGAGGTGGCGGTGGACGAGCGGAAGAGGTGTTGGGCGTAATGCCTTCCGGGTACTTTGTGGCGTCCCTCAATAACTCTGAGAACTCTCGCCAGTTGGCGGAAAGATCGTCAAGGAGCATCCTGAGCCTCTCAATGAGATCTGAACACACTTGGTGATAGCCTGTTGTATCCATCCTATTGTCCCATGTTGACTTCTCGAGTCCCCTGACATACGCACGGAGAGCTGCGTCTGATAGAACGAGCGTCTGCTCCGGACAGTCGCTGGGAACCTTGTTGCGACACTCGATCAGGAGACCGACTATTTCCCGCGCATAGTTCTGGCGGTCTTTTGCTTGACTGGCTCTGTCGCTCATGGTGTATCTTTGGGTAAAGGTGGATCGTTTAGTATCGTTGAGGTAAAGGTAAAGGTGCCGGTTTGGTATTGTTGAAGTACGGGTAGACTGTTTGGTGTCGTCAATCGGAAGTTCTGCAATCGAAGTGGAGAGGATAGTTTATCAAAGAAGTAGATCAGTATCGTGCGATTATATAGTACGACGCGAGGCTGTGATTTCGAAGTGAATTGGAGCACTTACGCCTTGGCGCTGAGTCGTTGCGCTGCACAACAGCAGACGCTGGTATTGTCGCTGAAGCTCAAAGGTGTCGCAGAGTGCGCTAGTAGAGGCGGTTTCGAGCAGTATCACTGGTGAAGGTGGACTTCTGAGAGATTGACGAGACCTATTACTGGATGTAGCGGGGATTGTAGAGATTTGGAAAGAGAGAAGTTTGGGCGCAGGCGGGGGATATAGAAACACGAGTACGAGTAATTACTAGTCTATCAAAGATCTCACAGGCTGTCCGATATACGTGAGAAGAAACGGGTGGAGCGCGTGACTGGATTGGCCAAGACGCGTTTGCACTGAGGGCCTTTCACTACCTCTAATCCAAACCGCAGGTCTTCTGGCCGAGCATCCCGGCTCCTGAATAGAGTCGTGACATCGAATAACAGCAGTATTGCTATTGCCTCAGTACGAGTATTCTGAGTGACACCGACTTTCGAGGCATTCATCACTAAGATCTTATCCATCAGTATGGCTTGTCAGTGACGCGATGAGTCTCGCAAGCGCAGAATACGACAAAAACGTATACAATTATTAACTCGCCGATATCACCGCGATCAACACCAAATCTGCTCTTGCTAGTGATGTGAACGTGGTTCCTCGCATGCCACATGTACGGACCTCCAGAAGTCTGGGGAAACAAAGGAAAGTAGCGCAAGTCCATTCAGAAGAATCGAAAGTGGTTTCCATGTTTGGATAGATATAGCGAGTGCTGTCTGAATACGAGGACCTTGGGGCGTTTATTGAAAGCTCCATGGTATTGTCTTGTCCTTGATGGTGGGCTCTCGCGTTACGACCTCAATGTTTACGCTTTCGTAGCGTCAGTAATGATCTAGACATGATACATCGATATCAAATACATGAGAAGAGTCGAAAAAGTCTCCGGGCATTCATGTATGTGTGATGCGGTGGTGAAGATGAAGGAAAGGAAGGGCTGGCGTTGAGGTTGGATTGGGCTGGCCCCACTTCGGACGGACCGCTCCGACATGAGCCCGCAAATCACCCAGGCCACGGAGTGTCTGGCGTCTTCTCCTTGGCGTCTCTAATAACATAATAACAGAGTCGTCTTCCAATTGCCAGGCTGGGGCGAGGTTTTCGCTTGTAGACGACTTGGTTACTGCTCATCACGAGTAATAATCGCCCTGTGCGACACCTGCGTGCGTGAACTGCGGCGTACGACATTTAGGCCCGCAAGGTCCTACTTGGATGATGACACCACAGCAGGAACGGTACATTTCGCTTGCACGTATTCTTGGATAAGGTCGAGTCAGATCGGGCGCAGGTAATCTGCGTGCCGTTGCTGGCAGCGGGAGCGATGCGAGTAGCGCACTTATTCGAGCTCATCTCCGAGTGCAGAGAGCACAAAGTTTCATAGCGAATGATCGGCATTCACCGGAGTCGTTCCGGCATCACTAGTATGTCGTTCATTCATACTTTCCGATTTCAATAGCTTTGGTGCCCTGATGGCGGCCATAAGCACTAAAGATGTGGCTAGATGTGTCCATGCTACAATAGGTTATCATAAGTGCACATCATATCCTCCAGCTCGTGCTTTCTCCCGAGCAGGTACGCACGGTATAGGCAGGTCGATAAACAGCGAAGGCAGAACCAGAATCTGCGAAAGTGACAATATCAGCGAGGCAGTTCCAGGCCAAGTCTCAACTGCTATGACAAGTCGCAAGATCGACTTACGCAGCAAATATTGACAGTCCATACGACCATCTCATGACTTCGCAACCATACAGGGTTTCCTTCCATGCCTCCGCACACCCGCGTTCCAGATACCAAGGCCGGAGACTGATTTGCTTTGGATCAGAGAAGTCGCCCAAGTTTTGAATCGCGGCACTATACATCCACAGCCCCGCCAGTATGATATCGTACAACGCGTTGACCGTAATCATAGAAAAACAGTCGAGAGTTTGCTTGCTGAAAGACATGATTGAGAAACGGACGAGCCACATAAACAGGGTTATGATGGCGATGCATAGGTTGCATAACGTACAGCTGGTTGAAGTGTTAGAATTCTGCATACCTGCTGTATTGAGTACGAGGGAGGAGACCTTTCGTCCCATATCAAGGGAATGGGTGGCGATTTACGATAGTTCGCATAGTCGTACACACGTTGAATAGGATCAGAGTTCCAGCCTTTGGTGCCACCTTCTTTCCATAGTACGGTGCGGAAGCGATCGGGGTATGCGGTTGCGAAGAGGGAGACGAGCGCGATGGCTAAGATGAGATCGAACAATGTGGCACTGAGAAAGATGAGGTAGGGATTGCGGAGCATGGCGAGGATACAACGATTGAAAAGCACACAAGACTGATCATCAGCGTGTTTGAATAGCACAAGAGTCGTACGACGTGATTCTTGTGTCGTTTGACGGACGCTTCTGACACGGAGGCTGTGCGCTAGCGCGATGTCAGCTCAGTTGTGGTTGTCTCAGGTGCTCAACCACGTCGTGACAGCGGCATGACCAGGAAAGGGAACATCGAGTCTCATTTATTCTTTGAGCCTATCAGCGCACTAGACGGCCAGTAATGTGGAGAAAACTATAGTGACAACGACGGTTTGGCCTATGCTCGTCTCGTTAGCTTGTTGTTCGGTGGGAAAGAACGCCAAGCAAAGTTGCGCAAATGGCCTCATTTCAACGTTTGGGAAGACACACCTCGACTAGTGCCAACGTGATGCTGTGCACGTAACGTAACCAGAAAAGTGCGCCAATATGCGCCCATTCCCATGTGCTATCTCATTTCTTGTGTAAGTGGAATGCCTTGCCACATGCACTGACACAATGTGTATGTTGAGTGGAACACGAGAACATCATCAGATCCCGCAGTGTGTCAAGGCGAGTTGGTCGTCTATGCTCATTACATTATGCATGCGCGCATATCTTCTGCGCTTGTACTAGCCATGGTGATTGATGCTCACCAGCTCTCCTGTCTTGCGACTAATCATCTAACTCTTGCTTTGCCCTTCAAACTCTCTCAAGCCTGATCAAATTCCTCTATTGTCCTCACAGGTCTCGCCGTAACCGCTACTCTTCTGACGAATAGCATTGTCATCTACATTTCCTCATATCGCTTCTCTTCGTAATGCCCCTTCCGTCGGAAGCTCACTGCTTGAGAACTGAGCCGACCATGGTTGTGAGTTGAGTTCATCTGACTAAGAAATCCGAATCAGCGAACCAATGCTCCAAGTCCGAACAGCTTTTACACGTAGGTCGCGCGTTCCAACTCAAAGTGATTGAGTCTTCAAATTCGAACGCGTAAACTACGTGCGTAAACTGACCGAACTTGTATTAGCTGGCTCATCGGGTCTTCTCTGCAGGTGCATACCTCCTGGCGGCTCTTCATAATCGGGATCCTTTGGCAAGTACCACGTCGCGAGTCCAGCTGGGTATAGTGGAGCAGTATGCCGAGGTGCAAATTGGCTTTAGGGGCCATGATGGCTTGGGCGTTCGTAGAAGGATGGTGTTGGTGGCTTGAGGCGTCTGGGCGAAGGATCCCTGGATCACGTTCTAAGAGTGTGACTGTGGCATCAGATGCGCGTCCTCCTGCAGCGGCACGACTGTGCCACATGGACGTCGACGACAGGTGCGCGCATTTCCGAAGTGACACTTCCCTCCCACGTCGTACAATGAATCACCCCACGTTCTCCGAGAAGTCATTGTGGTGCGCGCCTGTTTCGTGCATCAACGTCGCTAACCCCGATATGCACGCTGTGGGCTAGCCATCTCGACTCTGCGCCCAACAACACACTCATAACCTATCAAGGTTGTACTCTTTCGTAACCTTGATTTCGTTCAGCCCCAATGAGCCCAGTCTCTCCGAGGGTGCCGATTCATTACTCAGCGTAACAAAGGCAGCCGCCTGCGGTTTGATGCCTGGCATCCATTGCGAAGGAGGTGCGTTGAGATTCGATGTCGACGAGCCGTTGCTCTGTGTCCGGAACTTCATTCGCCGGAGACCGATACCTCCATCTTCAGCTGGGAGTGGAGGGGTTCGGCGCCACGAAGGAAGCGAACGGACGTTGGGTACGCAACAGCAGACAATACCGACAGCGACCTCGATTGGGGAAAAGCAGATACGCCACCACGACGCACCGATCGGATCATCATCGACGTTACCGAAGACGTCGATCGCGCAGTCAATACGGAGGACTGCTAGAATGGTACAACTGTGTGGTGTCAGCAAGAGCTGTTTGGAGCGAGCGCTTAGCTTCACCACTTACAAGCATCCAAGGAGAAACAAAACCATCACCCACGCCTTCTTCTTGCCTGAGAGTTCAGCTGCTGCTATGGCAGGTATTGGGGCGAAGAGGATGACACTGTTGAAGAAGACGTGCAACGATCCAATGATGATGCACGACTTCTTGCTCTGCAGCTTGCACTCTCCCGGTGGATGGCACATGCTGATCCAACCCGCGAGCGACCAGATGTACCAGACCGCGATGAGCGCCATAGACACATAGCAAGCGATGCGAGCAAAAACTCTCTTCTCGTATAGGCGAAGGTAGGATTTTGCAAAGGCCACCTGCACCGTTGCAACCGACGTGGCCCAACAGATATCAAGTGCGAATTGTATCTTGGAAGCGTGTTAGCCAAATCTCGAGAGGCCTCCAACCAAACATACCCGCAGCCAGAAACGCTCCACAACGTCAAAGTTCTTTGTCGGGTCCGCCTGAATCTCATAGCTCGTAAGCCCTTCTCCACCAAGGAACACCAGCACGTAGACTAGCGTAACTACGACAAAGCTCATAGCCTACGATAGTTAGCATGGTACCGCAGTCAGGGTTCCATCGTCTTACCAGAGCAGCCAGCATCAGCGCGTCTTCGTTGATGGTATTGATCCGTCTGACACTCCTCGTGTACCATCTCGCCGCCACCGCCGCCGCAGCCACCGCAAGGCATAGTGTAGGCGCAATCAACAACGCAAGCTGCTTGCCATTGACAATGTCGAAACGATCTGAATGCTGCCCCGCCATGATCAATATTATCCAGCTCTTCTTCACTTCACCGCATACCGAGCGCACATCAAAGCCAAAGTTGTCGAAAGGGAGGGGCGTAACTGGAGCCAGGATTAAAAAGTCCCGAGCGGAGCGAGTGAACGTAGATAAAGCCAAAGAGGCGATCCTCCCAACTGCCTGGTCCAGAGCACAGAGCTGTCATGCACTATGCTCGTTGAGTCCGCCGTCTTCAACGCCTATCTCGCGTCACCCAGGGTGCCTCAGCCGTGCGGCCCATGCGACAAGTGTAGTGTTGGCCTTTCGGGAAGCAGACCTAGTCAGGGAGCGCGGCGGGGCTCATGCTGTGCGCCGCTGATTTGTTGCATATCTGACGGTCCGACGCGGAACACGGCTAACCTGCATGCATCCCTGCTAATCATATACCTGTGACCCAATGAAAGCTACCACACGAGCAGGCCCTCCGTTCATGGGGGCCTGCGCTTCCGGGGCACTGATGCGGCTAGCATGAGCTATTGCAGACAAAAAGCAATATAGCAAGCTGGCAATCCTATGCTGTATACTGGTAGGTTTCTCGACGATAGTTTCACTTTACTCGAGGCGATCGGTAGCAAAAGAAAAGTAACTCAACGCTATGGGCGATCTGCGCATATGTCTGCATCACTACGTGCGGGGTTGCCGAAGCTGAACACCCCCGAGGCGACGGTTGGCTTCCCCTATCGATCACGCAGCCCCCATGCTCAGCGCCGCGAACTGAAACAAGCCCGCCGCGTCGGCCGTTCTTCGTCGCGTGGTCTGCCAGGTCATGGTTCCGGCACAAGCGAGGTGGCGCCCTTCTATCGTGACCTAGAACACAAACTCCGCTTACCAACAAGATTGTAACTTTGCTTCTCGGAATCAGCGGCGCACGTTGAGACAGCATTCATCCATGCTATATACTCAATCTTCTTCCCTCAACAGTCCTGCTGTCTCGCTCAACACTATACATATTAAAGGACGCCGCCCTGTCTTTTTCTTTTCAATAGCGGCCCGATCGGTCCTCCGAAATAAATCTCCGACATGACACCGTAAATGCACACGCGTGCGACGGGAGAGTTACCGCAAAGATGTATTCTAGAATTAGCCCAAAGATAAACCCGCATCTGGGGTATACACGCTCCGATCATACGATCCTGCAGCTCTTTCGGCCTAAAATCCTAGAGGTGACGTCGCAGGTTGTATAGTGGATGAAGTCATAGGGCTAAGGTTCGGGCAGTAATGCGGTCGTCTGCGTGTCATATGCAGGGCAATAGGAGGAAGGGTGGGAGCGTCACGTGAGTTGGGCTTATCTGGTGCTGTCACATGTGATTGGGGACGGGGGAGAACGGGTGAGCGAATGGGAGATGATGCATTCGGAACTACAGAAACCGTAAGCAACAACCTTGCGCGGAGGTATTCACAACCGTAAAAATCGATAGACGCAAACGTCAATATTGTCCCAGGAGGTCGTCAATGACTTTTTACCCGATGCAGGCAAACTTCAAAACGGTGCGCGTCACCCTTCACGACCGCGACACCCAAAAAACCCAAACGCCAAAATACCCCTCTAATATTACCAAAGATTCCTGCGAGCCTCACTCTCCCTCTCCCTCTCCCTCTCCATCTCTTCCTGTTTCCAAGTCGGAAACAGCACCTTCCTACACATAGGACAAGTATTACACCTTTCAAACCAAGTCATGATACAATTGGTGCCAAAAACGTGACCGCAGGCGTTTAGCTTTGACACTAATCGCTCTTCGTTTGTGTGGTCCTTGGGAAGAGGTTTTGGGTTTTTGAACCAGGATTCCCTGAAGATTTCAGTGCCGACTGGGTAGTGCAAAGCCGCTTCAAGGACTTCCTTGTCGGCGGCGGTGAGGCGGGTTGCGCAGGGGTTCTCGCAGGCCAGGCCTTTGGTGCAGATGCTGCAGGTGTCTGGTTCGCCGGCAGGTTGGAGGTAGGGAGACAGGCCTGATGCGACGAAGTCTGCCTTGCAGGCGTAGACAGGGGTGGTTGAAGACATCTTTGTTGTAGTGTGGTGAGATTGTCTTGGTAGGTGTGATAGTAGTGTTGGTGTTGAAGTTTGAAGATGGTTGGGATGGTGTGGTAGAACTTTCTTCGGGGGTGGGACTTTGAGTAAGATGTTTGCTGAAGATAGGATGATGAAGAGAGGAGAGGGAGAGAGCAGTATTTATTGCGTTGGAAGCATCTCTGTGACTCACGCTGAACGTTGATAATGAGTGGGTTTGGTGACCTTGGAGACTTCAGTAGTGGTGGTACCGCGCTATGAAGAGCGCATAGTCGCCAAACACTGGTTCATTCTACACTTACCACTGCATTCTTCCCGGAGTCATGCCGGACCATGGTATTTCACATGGCCGTGACTGAAGTTCATTGACGAGCCTATGAAAAAAAAAAAAAAGTCGTACTCATCACATGCCACAGAAGCCCAGAAGTCTCTATTACGCTGAAATTTTGCCAACTTCCGATTTGATAACAATGTAGGCTGCAGGGTATCTGTTCGCTATTCTTCCATGGACGAGGTGCCCGCAAAACTTCCACATCAACAATGAACCAGATCTATTAGAATTACACCAACACTATAGCTCTTCAAACTGCTTATCCCGTCTTCTGCTTAGAGCAGCAGTAGCACCAAATGCGATCCGACCCACAGTATCAGTGGGTTTCTCGTCCCCAACGAACCCCGGGCACGCAGCAACAGTCTGCTTCCACTGCTTGTCCCCCTCGGCTGCGCTCAGAATATCCGCGTGTGCCGTACCAGCCTTGGCCACGAATTCTGCACCCAACCAAAGCATGAACGGCCTCTTCCAAAAGGCGTACAGTGCAAGCACCAGCAAGCCGAGAAGGTGAAGGCCGAGGAAAACAGAGCCGGTGATGATCCCCCAAAGCGCGATATCAGTCTTCTTAGTTGGAACGCCCTGATCGACATATACACTCCGCGATTGGTCAAATCCCTCCCAACTGTTATATTGGCTTGGGTTCAGCCACTCCTTATTGGCGAGAAAAGCGGCCGCAGTGAACGCCGCATGTGCAGATCCTTCCGAATCAAAGAATGCGGCCAGTTTTCTCACCTGGCCAAGGACGTCGTTTTCAGACTGGGAGTCGTAGTCGCGGAGGCACGGGCCGCTCATGGCAAAGTTGAGAGGCATATTCCCGAGGCAATTGTCGCCGAAGTTCCTGGACCATACGTCATCGATCTCAGGTCGATCTACGACGAAGGCGGATGTATTTGAAACCCTTCTCTCGATGAAAGAGCCTTCGCCGAATAGAGCCAGTCCAATAGCAGTCAGCGGACCGATGTGTTTTCCAACGGCTTGTCTCACATTTCCTGCGTATGATTCATTGGTTGCTCGTTTCTCATCTCGACTGGATCCGCCGGTTGAAGAGCCTTTAGTGTTGTCCAAGGATAGTTTATCGAGTAACGGCCCGGCGCGATTCCCGTTTTTAACATTGGGAAGTTCAAAGTAGCCCAACGTCGAACGGGCGGTGATTCTCCACATAGCAGGAGCACGTAACATTGCAGGCACCGAAATTGCGAGGAAAAGATCCTCGGTAATGTCCTGCCGATCGTAGGTAGCTTGCCAAGGTGTGTCAGAGATGTTGGCGGGTATGCAAGCCATTATATCGAACTCGCGGTAATCATCATCTCCTCCATGGTATTGTACGAAGAATGCATCTTCTTTGTCGCGATCGCATTCGGTCGGCCACTCAGTGCCTGTCATGTTCCTGTATTCGATCGTCGTATTGAGGCGTGGTGCATACTGAGGGTCAGCGTCGACACCGGTGCTGAAGCCCGAGGGAACGGGTGAGAACCAGGTATCTGAGGTCATCTCATCAAGCAGATAAAGACTCCTCCCGAAGTAGTTACAGTTGGCGCTCGCACTGGATGTATCGTAACACCTGTAATTATCCAGTCCATCCTTCTGTTCATCGACCCAGAGGTGAGGTTCATAATCCTTTTCCCCGTGCGATTCCAGAATGCTACGGAGACGGACAACTGCTGTGTTTATGCCGTCGTTGGTACCGCTGATTAGCGCAGATATATCGGCGACCCTACTCAGACTGGACTGTGTGCTGCGAGTCGGTATTCGTGTCGGAGTAATCTGGACAAACGTTGTCTGCAGAATGGGGAAGATAGCACCTGTATTTGAGTCAACGCCGGCTTCCTACCAAGATATGGGCATGACTTACCCACTAAGGTCAATGCAAAGGCGAAGTACAATGGGAGGCTTCCAACTTTGGAACACCTAGTCCATATTCGTGGGCTGATCCAGCCTTGGTCCGCAAGCGCCATAGTCTGACGGAGATTCAACTTCGTTCTCGAGCTGCCGGCCTGGATGTAGGCAGCTAGAGCCATGGAACAGATCGCCGAAGTGACGGGAATGGTGAGTAGAGCAACTACCGCTTGCAGGATCTGCGCCGCTTTGAGGGCCCTCTCGTGTTTAGCTAAGATAGCATCCAACTCGTCTCTGGTGGTTGAATAGTCTTGCGCATTCATGTAGTCTCTCTTGCTTCCAATCGGTCGGCTGCTCGCGACACAAAAAGCGATCCAGGTGAAAAGGGCGAGTGTCGCATAGAAGATGAAGACCATCAGCGGCCATAACGAAGTGTGCAGGGTCCTGACCATGGGCTCGCGAACGGTCATGGAAGACGCTCTCGACACCCTCGACGTGTACATGGGCTCGTGAGTAGTTTCCGGGACCTTTGGTGCACCCGCATTCGCTTGTCTTGTCTCCTCCCTGACGCTGTGCATCTCATGCGACTCCCGTTGCTCCATGTTTATTATGGTCGACCTGCCGTTGGGGAAGATGGGGATTCGAGAGTCCCGCTGTACGGGATGTAAAGTAGATTTAACAAGCCATGCGCATGTTCTCGTCTGACAGCGCGTGACTGGACTGCGCCATCTTGGCTCTCGTCTTGGCGTGCAGTTGGTATTGAAATTGGGGGCTAAGAGCGGGTGTCGGCACGAGGAAATCTGATCCTCCACCGTCGTCGCACAGGGGCTTCAGAGGCATACTTGTGTACCCAACGCAGTACCAAAACCATGTAAACCTAATAAAAGATTAGTCTGCAGATCTGTCCATACAGCAGAACATTGTGGCGCACCTGGGCAAACTCGCAGAGGGTCGCCGGAAGCATACACTTTTCGCATGTCTTATTTCCACATCAGCCTTACAGGGCAGATTTCAGGCCTCCTACCACACCGGTAAAGGGTCCACGCGAGGTTAGATCTCCTGTAACCGACATACAACTCATTTCTTCGCGACCACCATTACGCCACGCACAACTCCGGTCCGCCCCCACCAGCCGAACATGGGTTCCGCGACACCAAAGCGTCCTAGGCCTAAACTGAATATTTTGAGCCTGTCGTCTTGCTATTTAAGGAATACCGACAGTGGCGCGAACACGTGTTCTGAGACGTCCGTAATGGTGATGGCTTCACAGTTGTATCCTATCTGCTCCAGCTTCTCGCGCTATCCTTGTGGAGTGAGGAGGCAGAGCGTGATCTTCTGGGTCCATGTTGCGGTAGGAGAGAGACATAGGTCGAAAGCCATCCAGTTAGCCTATAGCTCCGAGCGAGCGTGTTCGATGATGGGCCGGCGTGAAGGGCGAAGTGATATGCTGTGTCTAGGGCTAAAATCCAACGCTCTTCTGTATCGTCTTTCGCATGCTGCAGTTTTGTCTGCAGCTGTTCGTCTCAGACCTTGGGCTTCGATGCGTCGGCACATACGAGTGATATCGTGGGTCTTTCACCATCGCTCATCCTATGAGACGCCGCCTTCGTTGTGCTCTTCAGCTCGTCAACTCGCTCCGAGGCGTATCGAGCCTGCACTGCATCTTTCGTGATGCCAATGTAATGATTGAACGTGGTGCAGCCATCTCTTTCATCCCATCAGTCCTCATTGCACACTCGCACCGGTTTCTTGCTGAGAAGATAGATGATTTGATCGCCGCATCCGAAGCCCGGGTCGACCAAAACTCTACTTCGTGACGTTGGGCCGTTTTTGCTTGAGAACCTAGGCTCGGCAAGAATTACCTTCAATAGGTCGCGACAAGCTTCGCTCAATGTCGTTCTTCCAATACTCCATGTTCATCTACATGGCAGTGGGAAGTTGTAGATGCACGGGCACAGGTTCCTCCCGACAATTGGCTCCGTTCGAGCTTAGCCTCGGTGACGATGCCGTCGCCAATTGATGTTTCGCATCAGTATGGGCAGAGACGGACGATGTCTGTTCTGAGACCGCTGTGGGTCTGCAGCCGAGGACGTGCGACGATTTGCACGTCATGCCTTCCTCACAAATAACAACACGAGAGGTCCACACCGCTGCTCACCACTCTCTCAGCATGGAGCAACCACGCGAGAAGGTCGCAATAATAGGGTCGGGCCTTGCTGGACTTGTTAGCGCGAACCTGTTGTTCCACGATGTTCGCCAGCGATATGCCGTCAGGGTCTTCGAGTCAGTAGGTCGCCTAACACCCACTCTGTCTGCGACTGCACTCACAAAAGTAATTCTAGGGCAAATCGCTTTCCCTAGACGCCGCCTCCATCTCCATCCCCGATGCCGCCGCCGCCGAAGCCTCAACGCGCGTGGACCTGCCCATGCGCGCGTTTGCGGGCGGCTACTACGACAACCTCAAGGCCCTATACGATTACCTGCGCATCGAGTACAACTCCCAGCCCTTCCTCTTCGAATTCGCAAAATGCCGCGATGCGAGCCCCGAGGCATTAGCAATTGGTGGCCGCGATACGTCGTATTTCACACATGCATCGAATCTCCACCAGATGGCGCCTCGACCGAGCAGAGTTGGCATGGCTTCGTACCTGATGCAGTTGCTATACCTGATACTTGCCTACTCGTGGTTCGCGCTCTGCTGTTTCTTCTTCGAGCCTAGAGCAGGAGAGACTATGCAGCAGTACCTGGACCGCACATACTGCCCGAGCTATTTCGTCACCTACTACCTACTCCCTCTCTTATCGAGCGTATCCACCTGTCCCCACGAGTCCCTACTCGCTTTTCCTGCCAGCGACATCATCGAGTACAAGCGGAGGAGCCACGGCGCACCACACTATACCGTCTCAGATGGCGTGGGAGGGGTACAGGAACGCCTGGTCAAAGGTATCGACGTTACTCTCGAAGCCACCGTCACGGCCGTAGAGCCCTCCGGAAAGGGTGTTCGGATATCCTGGTCTCAGGGCGGGTCGGACGCTCAGACAACGGAATCCTTCGACAAGGTTATTCTCGCTGTCGCCCCAGACGTCGTCGGCCGTATCTTCAGACCCCTACAACACCACATGCAGCGCATACCGACTGCAGTCGTGGAAAGCGTGGTCCATACGGATTGGGCAGTCCTACATGGGAGCGACGCCAAAGAGATCGACAAGAAAGGCGCGCAGCTCATTTACCTCAACACGGCAACCTCGGGCGCGCACACGACCGAATCGCATCATGTCCAACCATGTGGCGTCGTAGTGACCACCTGCCCATGCACTCCTCTCGATGAGAAACATGTTGCTCAGCGGAGCAGGTTCACGCGCGTTCTTCGCAGTCCGGAAAGCCAGCGCATCGTCAATGCCATCTTTGATAAGCGCTCGAAATTCGATGCAGATGACAAGTCAGTGCCGCAGTGGAGGAATGGCGAGGATAATGTGTGGCTCGTGGGCGGCTGGTGCTGGGACGGCATGGTCCTTCTGGAAGGCTGCGTTGTCTCGGCCATGCGAGTGGCTGACGCGTTCGACGTTGCGGTGCCCTGGAGGCATCAGTAATTCATGGACACGAGCGTATCCCGAACTCAGACTGTGTCACAGTTGAGTGGGAATGAGCTGCGTAGTAGCAGGTAATACAACTAGATACCCTGGCATGACTGCATGCCCACCAGCATTCTAGGAAACAGAAAAAGTGATGTAGGTGATTTTAGAGGAATTGAATGAGATCCAAACTCATCAGGGTTGAAGTGCACAGGATGCGACTGCCTGTTACGTATCGTAGGGCATCCCAAGGTCTCGTCATCCATTTTCGCCAGAAACGGCTAGCGTCATTGCTTCGTTGAAGCTTGCCTGGGGCCGAAGATCCCACAAGCACCCAATTCTGCCTCGCCATTCAACTACCCAATCACTTCCACCGCCCGATATTCGACACAGGGCTGGCGATCCTACTGTTTTGGCTGATGATGAGAGCGCGGGGTTCCTCAAGAAGACAGAACTTCAATTTACGGGTTGCAACATGTAGGGTCGCCGGGTATTTTGTCTTGATGACATCGTCCAAAGTAAACGTCTTGATTGGTTGAGGGCATACGACCGACGCGTCCCTTGCATGCGACATCCAGAAATGGCCACGCGAGACGTTCAACTCTAGACTCAGAACATGACTTCTATACCGACACTGTGAGTATCGTTTCCTGCTCGATCGCGGGATTGACAGGCACCGACAAGCTTCCTGCGATGCCAGTGGCCGTCATCGGGGCTAGGCACGCCAATCTCTCAACACACATCATCATATGCTAACAGTGTAAGCCCTGGCGGACTGACAACGCTCAAGACATTGCTTGAGGCGTCAACAACTGACTGTTCAGGTCATTACGATCTATACCATCGCCAAGAAGATACCAGAGTCCATCGACGGAAGGGAACAAAATGTAGATATACTTGCAATTGCATGATCGTCTTCATTACCGTGTTGACCAAGGGTATCTCTCAAACTACCAAACTACGAGTATTTCACTAAGAAGAGTTGCTGTTGTCCGCGCACGAAAAGGCCGAATCGATCGACCCATCCTTGTACGCGTCCATGATCTGGACAATAACGCCGTACGTGCCACCGATGGTCAAAAAGATCGAGATACCGATCAAAACGACATGTAGCACGTACATAAGCTTCTGCCACCACTTGCCCCTCCAGTACTCCTGGTGATCGTAAATCCAAAGCCACCCCGGCAGGCCCAGCGCCAGCGGCGCAAACGCTACACTACCCGCCAGACTAAGCAGATAGTTGAAGATCGGCACCCCAGATGCGATGAGGAAACTGACAACCGTCATGCCAGCCACACATCCCAGCCACGTACCCCAATGAATCGGCGAGTTAGCCTGAAGATGTTTCGAGTTCCTCAGTATACGGACGAAGACGTACTTCGCACTTACATGCACATACAACGCGCCACTAACACACAGTCCAATGAGACCAATGCCGTATGCGACTTTCTTCACCATGGGCCCTGCGCTGCCGAGAGAAGGCGACGCAACCCATTTCCCGCACCACTTGTACACGACAAGACTGAAGGAGAGGTACGCGGCGGTAACGAGGCCCATGCACCAGTTCACGGCTTTGCTGAATTCGCGCGGGTTGCGCATCTCGGACATGACGGGTAGGAAGGCAGAGGTACCCGCGCCAGAACAGAAGATTGTGCTTGCAGCTGTGATGCCTGCAGCGAAGGTGGGGTGGCCGATTACGTGGTAGCCGAACTCGTAGGGCCCGGTTTGGGGGGCTGCAGCGGGTCGGTCGAGAGTTGTTACTCCGACGCTGTTGGGATGGGTTAGATATGTGATTTGGAGGGCTGGGAAAAGAGGATGAACTTACACAACGATGAATACAGCGACGAAAACAGATATGAATCCCGCCCACGTAACCCAAGCAATCTTCTCAAACTTCCTCACACTCGCACACGTTCCCACCATAATCGCCGCGATGATAGAGAAGTAGTTTGTGCAGAGGGAGTGGTTGGACAGAGCGTTGAGTGCTGTCGATACACCTACTATACCCGATGCAGCAACGATGATGAAGGCAACAAGGAAAAGAATGCCGCTGATCTCTTTGACGATGCGTCCACCGACTAACTGGCCCATGTCGGCGATGGAATGACAGCCTGGGTGGTTGTTCCGGAATTGGCCTTGGACGAGGGCGCACCAGGTGTTGAGGGCTTGCCAGCCGAGGACGTTGATGGCGCCGGGGAAGGCGCCGAGCGTGTACATTGCGCTGGGGATTGTGAGGACACCTGTTGCGAAGATGACTATACAGCCATGGTTGTCAGCGGGATGGTCCTGGACCGGATAATGACGTTACTTACGCTTCAAGAAAATGACTGCAGTGTGAATCCAAGACACCGTCCTGAAATCCTCAATTCCTTCTCCTCGCTTGAAGATCTCGCCATCGTTCTCGAGGTCGACTTTCCCGTTGATGCTTTCGGAGCTGGTGCTCGGCGCGGGCGCAATGACATCGTCTTGCTTTTCAGCCGACATGTTGGCGATGTCGTCAGGTAGTTGTGCTGTCGACCCGGAGTGAGTAGCGAACAGTTGTTCAACACTTCAAGAACCGATACTTGGGTCACTGTGTATATATATCCGTTTATGCACGCATGCCACGCAACGGCCCTATCCTTGCCAGATGCAGGTGCCCTGGTAGAACGTTGATAACCCGCGTGGTATCAGCACGCCAACGCGGTATCTCTCAGAATCCGGGGCAATGTGAACCTTGCTAGCCCGCTCTGCCCCGTTGTTTTGGAGGTTGATAGTGGCAAGAGAGCGGTGCGGGCGTCTCCATCGGCTACGCGATTCAGGCGCAGGGGTGCCTCCAATGGTTACCCCGGTTGGAGGGAAGGGTCGGCTGGGGATCATGGTTACTCCAACTGATTGCGGAGATGAGCAGCGGAGGGTTTGGTGCGGCGCGTGGATGCTGCACGGCTTGGGAGGGGGTTGGAGGCGGTGGAAATGCCTGATTGCTGGCTGGAGGGTTGTTAGCGTTCACCCTGCAGTGGCTCGTTTTGCAGTTGCTGGTGGCTGCGTACATCGGCGGTTCCTGCGCGGGGCTGGGCTTCTAGAACGGCGTTTATGCGGAGCTAGGTGGCGCATGTTCGTGATCTGACTATATTGTAGACGCGACGGACTAGTGGTGATGTTGTCTCTGGCGTGCTAAAGTGACAGCTAGCTCGTAGTTCGCATTAGGTGCTGCTGCGATGCATCTTCGCTACCATCTGCATTGGACGATCTGCGAAAAAAGAAGCAAAGTCGAACAATCAGAAATGACATCAATTTATCTAGTTAATTGGTGCCTCTTTCAACTTGAGTCCTGCTTCGGCGGGCATGAGCGCTCCCTCGGGCGGCGGGTTCTTCTTCCTGAACTCATCCGCCATCTCCTCCATCGTCACAAACTCAACGCCTTCGTGCTTCTTGAAGTGCTCAATCAACCTCTCGTGCATCAAGAGCAGATGTGGTCGTCCAGATACATCAGGGTGGATTGTGATGGGCTGCAGGAGGGTTAGACGAAGCCCTCTGGCGGGGTTGGATTACTTACGAAGATGAACTCGTCGTATTCACGGTAGAAGTAGTCGAAATGGTCCCTCCAAAGATCCTCGGTATCTCGCGCATTCACGAAGCCATGGCTGTTTGGTGATGCCTTGATGAACATGTGAGGTGGCAAGTCCTACCGTCCAGTGTGAGTGATGTATCATATGCTAGTAGCATTCATACTTACATCGAGGTACCAGTTGGCTGGAATCTCAACTAGACCAGTCTGTTGACCTGCAACGAGTGGCTTCATCCAGTCCTTGGCCTTCTTCTCGTAGTCGATCTTGGTCCAGGTATCTCCTGTTCTCAAATAGTAGGGTTGACAGTCGTGGTGGCTCATGCTGTGGTCGTACTCAATGCCGTACGAAAGCAGCAACTCGGCACCTTCGCGGCTTGTTTCCCACCTACCGAAACAGTCAGCGTACAGTCTGCAGTGGTATTCAGAATATTACCATGGCGCAACGCTTCCTCGGGGAGGCTTGCCAGCAAACTCAGTCAACATGCGATATGTCTTGTCCAGCACGTCCCGTTGCTGCTCCATGCTCATATCGACTGGGTTCTCATGACTGTAACCGTGTAGGCCTATCTCATGTCCAGCGTCGCGTACTGCTGCCATATCTTCCGGGAATGTCTCCAGACTATGACCTGGAATGAACCATGTGGTCTTGATGTCGTATTTCTTGAACATCTTCAAGAGGCGTTGCGTACCAACCGTGCCAGCAAACAGACCACGCGATATGTCGCTGGTGCTGTCTTCCCCGCCATACGACCCAAGCCATCCACATACCGCATCTACATCGATACCGTACGAAATGAGAACGCGCTTCTTGCCCATGATAGCTGTATGGAATGAGAGATGATGGTTTGGTGAGATGCTTGATCGGATCAATCGAAGAGCTGTCGGTCGGATGGATTCGTGTAAGAACAGTCAGACCCAACCGCCAACACGGGACTACTTCCTCTTAATGCCATGATGCCGAACCTGAAGCTATGGCGGGGTAATCAGCAGTAGAATGATGCTGGACCGACGGCGCGCTTGTCCATTTCGTCATGGGATGCGCCAGCTGCCCCTCAGCTGCCCCTCGCTTGGCCTTATCGTCGACCCCAACCACCTCCAAATCTCGTCTCCAGCAACATCCGAAAACGGTCCTACACTCTCCAAGACGCGTTCGCACAAAGTTACGATGACGATAACCAGGGTGCTGACTGTAATAACGCAGCGCGCAGCTTTGAGTACATTTGTGGTTAATTACGAACATGCCTGATAAGATGCGCGCCGCACAGATCGTAGAGGTAGGATGACGTCATACAAACCTATGGAATTATATCTAACAAAGTACATCAGTATGAGAAATCGTATCAGCTATGTGAGCGAGCTGTACCTCAATGCGGAGACAATGACCTTCTCGTTGAAGTTTACGCAGCCGGCTTCTGTCACTCGGACCTTCAGGTCTGGAGTGGTCAATTTCCGGCGCCCCTTCCCATGATTCCTTCGCACGAGCCGGCCGGCAAGATCGTGCGGATTGGCGCGAACGTGCAAGGCTCATGGAAGGTTGGAGATCGCGTTGGCGTTCTCAATTACAAGAATGCTTGCGGACAGTGCGCAGGGTGTCGACAGCATGGACGACGAGCGAAACGTCCTGATCCGCGCTTCTGCCAGAACAGAATTGTAGCTGGCTTCAAACACGACGGCGCGTTCGCAGACTACATGCTGGCCGATCCGAACACTACTGTGCACCTCCCTGATGGGGTTTCTTTCGAACAGGGAGCGCCTTTGATGTGCGCTGGGGTAGGTCCATCTCTTGTCGACTTCGTTTGCACGACATCATCGCTAACGGTATGAAAAGGCGACGGTATGGGGCGCGTTGCGAAAGCTTAGTCCCCAGGTCCAGCCAGGCGATGCCGTAGCCGTAGTAGGTATTGGAGGTCTTGGGCAGCTTGGAATACAATTTGCCAAAGCCCTTGGTTACCGGACAATAGCCATGGACAACCGTGAACAAGGCCGTCAGCTTGCGCTCGACTTGCCCAACCACTTGAGACCTGATCTAGTCATGGACTCCAGCGCCGAGGGCGCCGAAGAGAAGATACTAGAGTTTACTTCAAACGAAGGTCTCGCTGGCATCGTAGTATGCACAGATTCGATACCAGCCAACGCCTGGTGTCTTCAGCAACTGGGCAACGGCGGTGTTATGGTTCCGCTTGGATTACCAAAAGACAGCTGGAAGTTCGATTCAGAAGCTATGGTGTTCCATGAACTCACCATAAAGGGCAACTATGTCGCTAGTGCGGAGGAAGTTGAGTCCATGCTCAAGGTCGTAGCTAAGCATGGCATCTCGTCTCATCTGACCGTTTTGGGGTTTACGGAGATACCCAGCCTCATTGAAAGATATCAGCATGCGTCTATGAAAGGCCGAATAGTCATCAATATGAAAGGGTGAGCCTCCGTTCGTCCGGAGATGAGCTTGTTCCTGCGAGCAGACTAATATTACGTGTCTTTTGGAATTTGGCCTGACGTTGTGGAACTCAGCAATGCGAACCCTCAAATGCGAGGCTCTAGGTATTTTCTGGTACGTTATCGAATCGAGTTCGCCACGAGTTGGGGTCATTTGGAGAGCCTCAGGCGTGATCTCTTAGTCTGTTTTGTGGGACCGTTGACCCACTTGCTCACCATTGGTCATAGGGTACGTAAGAACATCTCATCTACCTGAATATGGTCAAAGTATCGCGGCATAGTACACCGTTCAGCAAATTCTTATATTGACTGTAGGTTTCGCGGTACCTAATTCACACGGTCGCTACTCCTTGATCATCATGTCTGTCTTTTTCGACTCGCCTCTAAAGTTAGTACTAAACGCCCTGTCATTCGAACGAAAATTGGGCGCATGTTGACTGTATTACAGTGAGGATCTTGTACGGGTTGGCGATGCAGAATCGGTACTGCAAAGCATTGGCATCACCAATGGTATACCAGCACACGAATCTCGGGACTATCACCAATTACTGGCTGCGGTTCATGACGTCGCTGAGCACGTACTCCAACTCCCAGACTACGCATCACATGCGGAGACCGAGAGATACCCACGAGGCCAAATTCGTCGACCACCAGCAGAAGAGCAGGATTTCGGTAATGCTTGGGCACATAAGTTCCAAATACGTGGCAACCCGCAAGGAGAACTCCTACAAGGAAAGACAGTATGTCTCAAAGACAACATTGCAGTAGCCGGAGTACCGCAGTTTTTCGGGACAGACGCCATCCCTGCTTGGACGCCCGATTCCGACGCCACCGTAGTCACCCGGGCATTAGATGCTGGTGCTAACATCGTGGGGACGACGATATGTGAGAACTTCTGCAACTCAACATCGTCATTCACTTCAGCGCAAGGTACCGTTCATAATCCTTATGCGAGAGGATACTCGGCTGGTGGCAGTACGTCTGGTGGCTGTGCAGTAGTTGGTGGCGGTCTGGTAGACATCGCCATTGGTGCCGATCAAGGCGGAAGCATTCGCGTCCCATCATCTTTCTGCGGTTGTAAGTACACCATCAAGCTGCACATCATACCTTGTGGTAGTACATAGCTGATAGTGTACACCAGGTGTAGGACTGAAACCAACACACGGTTTGGTCCCTTACACTGGTATATCCAGTGGTGATGCTGTCAGTGATCACGCTGGGCCTATAGCGAGATCTGTTCGCGACGTCGCTTTGTGTCTTGATGCAGTCGGCGGAAGGGATGACTACGATGACCGTACACTTGGTGCACCAATTCATGGGTCTAAGCAGTACGCGAAACGCCTTCAAAGCTCGGTCGCAGGAATGAAGATTGGTGTTCTCAAAGAAGGCTTTGAGCACCGCCTCGTCAACGAAGACGTCAAATCAACCGTGAGAGAAGCCGTGCAGTCCTTCCAAAGACTAGGTGCTACCGTCGAAGAGGTCTCATTACCCCTTCATCTAGAAGGGCCAGCTATATGGACCATCCAACAGCGAATCGCAGGTACCTTCAGCATGTTGGGATACGCGCACGGTCGGAGAGGACTTTTCTCAACTGCCTACGAAGCAGCACGGCAACCATGGACAAACGAAACTTTCCAAAAGCTCTTCCCTTCTACGAAAAATACCATGATCAACGGTCTTTCGCTGATGCAGAACTACCCAGGTCTTTATGCGAAGACCATGAATGTGGCTCAACAGCTCCGCGACTCATATGAGAAGCTATTTCAAGAGTACGATCTCATCGTCATGCCGACAACGCCTTTTGTAGCACCACCAAACATCGATTGGAAGCGCGGGGAGGATGCGCCGATAGATGCGCTAAAGCCGAGTATGGGCATTACCATCAACACCGCCATCTTCGACGTGACAGGTCATCCGGCTATGTCGCTTCCCGTGGGCTTTGCTCCTTCAGGCGTCGATCCGGAAATCAGCCTGCCTGTTGGTATGCAGTTGGTCGGTGGCCTTTGGCAGGAGCAGAAGATACTAGATGCGGCTTTTGCATGGGAGTCGGCGAACGATTGGAAACAAATCGGCGCGCGGCAAGATCAAGAGGCGAAGCTTGCTACGAAGCTGTAGAATATGTGACAATTCCAGAAAATTTGCTTCGTCATTCATGCAATCTGTCCCATTATCGCGATATCTTTCTGATCAATTGATCGTGTAGCCGCCATCCACAACCAATGCATGCCCTTGAATGAACGATGATTGTGCCGAACACAAGAAAAGCACTGCATCAGCGACTTCCTCCGGCGTACCCATTCTCTTCATAGGTGCTATCTCAATAGCCGGCTTCAATGCTTCCACCATAGCTGGCGATGTTGTAGTCATGGGTGTCTCAATAACACCAGGACAAACACAATTCACGCGTATGCCATCATCGGAGTAGTCGATAGCATTCGCGCGTGTCATGTTGATGATGGCACCTTTTGAAGCGCAGTATGCCGCTGTGCAATGCTCATTAGCAGAGGTTTTGCATATCACGAAACGATCAACGTACCAGCACCCGGCCTCGCTACAATGCCGAGCTGACTAGCGATGTTGACAATAGAACCTCTCTGCTTGGGATGCTGATCAAGAGGCTTCTGCTTCAACATGTTCCTCAACTGCGCACGGCAACTGAGCCACGACCCCTTATAGTTGATAGCATTAAGTCGATCAAAGTGTTCAGTCGTCATCTCCACAGCTTTGATGACATCGCCTCCAAGCACGCCAGCGCAATTGACCCCATAGTCGAGCCTCTTGAACTTGGAAAAGGTCTCATCGTTGAATGAGTCGACAAACGTCTCATCAGCGATGTCGCCGGCTCGCTGGAAGACCTGAGCGGAAGGATTAATGCTCAGGATAGCGTCCTTGGTCTGGTCGAGCGTCTTCGGGTTGATGTCGGTGATGGCGATTCGCGAACAGCCTGAACGGGCGAAACCCTTGGCCACTGCCGCACCAATACCTGATCATCATGAGCATCGCACTACAACACTTCGTCAGATAGCAACCTACCAGTTCCTCCAGCGCCCGTGATGACTGCTACGCCTGGGAGTAATCTTGCCAGTGATGCCATGTTGCTATCATGTGGCGGTGAAAGCGTAATCTACCGAGATACGCGTTCACTGATTGACTTGATGCACGTATGAATGCACTCATGAATGCTTAAGGGATAGCTTACCGACACGACGTTCTGCCGGCGATACGTTCGGCGGCCATCCCGTCGAGTTCCGCTATCTTGGAGTAAGCGTTCCACCTACTCCGAAGATACGCCTTGCGCTAACCACGGCGCTATTTACCCCGCAGACATAATTGGCCGAAGGCAAAACCTTGAAGTAAAGACCAAGACCCACCTCGCTCCAATTCACCTCCAACTCCAACAATTCTCACACCACATGCACGGACTCGCTCACGTTTGCACCCATTGCTCCAGAAGCTTCAAGCGAGCAGAGCATCTGATTCGCCATACTCGTACACGTTCGTGCCTTCAACTAAGTGACTCCACGATGAGGGCGTCGTAAGAACTGATGTCGCCATAGATACTAGAGAGAAGCCGTACTCGTGTCGATGCGGACAAGCGTTCACACGGCGTGACCTGCTTACTAGACATTGGCGCATCACGCACCATGCCGGAAACCCTGATGCAGAGTCGACAACGTCGACTGAAACAGCAACGACAATAGACGCACCCGCTTTGAACGTCCCCAGCGCTGGGGCCGTCGAGGCGCATCTCGTCCCGCAGGTTCACACGAGCCAGCTTGATTTGCAACACCCTCCTCCTACCTATCAAGAACTTCAGCCGGCCCCGCCATATCGCGACGAAGGTTTTGAGGATTTCCGTGACTTTGTAAACTTCATCGACGGTGTTGGCCTATCCGCTCAATGGACGCCTGAGTACGACTTTGACTGGATGCGACTAGGAGAACCTCGTCAGGAATCTCGGCGGCACTCCCGAGAACCAGAAAATCAGCCCTCCTCCCCAGGTCCAGAGGATATCGGCACGCCTTTCAGCACGTGGTTGCCATCAGCCCCAGCTGACGATGAGGTCCATTTGCGATCCAACACGCATGATGGCGAGAAGAGAACGAGAAACGGGACATACAATGTAACGGATGAGCATCGCAATTTCCTGGTATCGCTTCTTGAGAGCTTTTCCCCTCCCATATCCGACTTCCAGATCCCTTCTCGACATACCCTGACCAGGTATATTACCGCGTTCTTCAGTGGCTTCCATTCGCACTTCCCTTTCATACACGCGCCAACTTACAAACCATCATGTTCGCCTTTGGAGTTGACACTGGCCATGTGCGCTGCTGGAGCACAGTATTGCTTCGAGCGAAGAAGCTCCGAGCGTCTTTTTCGCGTATCAAAAGCTATCGTGTTCGAACGCCTACGGCAGGAGGAGTCGCATTTCGGCCCACAAACTCTTTCCTTCATCGCTTCTACAAACATATGCTCGCCGGAAGTGCATTTCACTAGCAGACGCACAGGACCGTGGTCGCCTCTGGATATGGCCAAGACCCTACTGATTCTGGTAGGATTCGCGACATGGGAAAGGAAAGACCTACTTCAGCAAGCGTTCGCACTCCGGGGCCTTCTAGTGCAGTCGCTTCGAGATATTGGTCTCAAAGAAGAGGAGCCGCCCAGGAACATTTCGACCTCTAGAGCAGCAATGTGGGATAACTGGGTGCAGCGCGAGTCGTCCAGACGTACAAAGCTCGTGGCCTTTTGTTACATCAACGTGCATAGTATTGCATACAACATCCATCCCCTGCTCTGGAGCAGCGAACTCCATCTGCGACTTCCTTGCTGTACACCAGATTGGCAGGCCAGTAGTGCTGCACAATGGGCAGCACTACAACGCGATGGACGCGAGGATCACATGTCTTTCCAACAAGCATTGTCGATACTTTTGCAAGGAACAGCAAATCAAGGTAGGGTACTTTATTGGAAGAGCCATCGAACGTGCATTAACATGTTTCAGAACTAGTACACCCCATACCCAGCCCGATTGGCAATTACATCCTCCTTCATGCTCTACTGCAGCGGATCCACGTGGTCAGGGAACTCTCCTTCCCCGCCACGTCGCCTGCAACTATATCAGCTGCAGAGATGCAAGTGATCAGCCGCGCTCTCCGCGCATGGACATCTCTCTGGCAACAAACTCCCGAATCTATGCTAGATCCCAACAACGAGAGTGGGCCTATTCCTTTCACATCAAGCGCTCTGTTGGTGGTAGCTTACGTGAGGCTTTCTCTCGATATAGGCCCGTATCGCCATCTGGAGTCGCGCGACACCGACGTCATAGCTAACGGCCTAGCAAACCTCCCACACATTGAGCGCAACGACAACATACTGTCAGCCCTGTTGTACTCGACACATGCACTCAGTATTCCCGTCAGGTTAGGTATCGACAGGGTCGCGCGCAGCCAAGCGTTCTTCTGGAGCGTTCAACACGCTATATCGAGCTTTGAGTGCGCCATCTTCCTCGGCAAATGGCTATGCTCTATCCCACGACCGTTCCGCGAGGAGTCGTTGTCGCGATCTGAGCACCGCATTCTCCACTGGGTTCGCTGTATCATCAAGGAAGCGTATGCAGTGATCGACTTTGAAGATGCGGAAGAAGGCGATGGTTTCTTGACTGTGCCCAGCGAGCCGTTCGCGCTTGGCCTGGCTGTGCTGAACATTTGGTCAAGGTTCTTCCGTGGTAACACGCAGTGGCAGTTTGTTGTCAATCTCGGGTTGAGCTTAGAGAAATATATCGCCAAGCTTGCTTGAACTACATGTTTGTTCGATACCTACAGCCCCTCAGACCTTATCATTATGCATCTTCTCATCGTGGGCCTTGACACTCTCCATAACCTCTCCATCTCCATCTGCGAAAGCCCTATCGCCAAATGCAATCGCAATCTCCTCGAGAGAATGATTCGCCGTTTCAACATAGTAAAAGTGCGCCAGCCCGGCCGAGAAGAGACAAAATCCCGCGATGACAAGGTAGAAGTACCCACCAATACCCGCAAAAGCGTCTGGCGAAACCATACCGATGATGAAGTTGAAGATCCAGTTCGACGTCGTCGCAAGCGCCATTCCCTTGCTGCGGCCACGGAGCGGGAATATCTCCGCGGGTAGCAGCCACGGCATTGGACCCCAGGTGAAGCCGTAAACGATGTTATAGAGCATGATGAAAGCGAATTGGCCGTTTGCGCGGGTCATAATGGGCATAGAAGCTTCTGTGAAGGCGCACACGATGCCGAGAAGGGCAGCCATCAGGACGCCGCCAAGGATGAGGAGCGGCTTGCGGCCCCAGCGGTCGGCTAACCACCAGGTAGCGATGGTAGCTGCGGTATAAGGGAGCGCATTGGCAGCGGTGTAGAGAAGGGATTTCTCGTCTGAGAAGCCGGCGCTAGAAAGGGTGGAGGGGAGGTAGAAAGATATTATGTTTATGCCGTTTAGTTGGGCGAACATCTGGACTGTGATGCCCACGATGGTGCGTTTGCGGTAGCGGGTGAACATCTCCATCCATCCGGCTTTACCGAGTTCAGCTTCGTAGACAACGGCCTCCTGAATCTCTAAGAAGACCTTTTGGACGTGCGGGGCGTCGGTATCGCCGCTGGAGTGAAGGTCTGCGACTGTTTGAAGGCTTTCTTGCATGAAACCGTTGTTGGCTAACCACCTTGGAGTTTCCGGGAGGAAGAATGACATGACGACCAAGATGAACGAGAGAATGATCTGGATGATGAATGGCCCCTGCCAAGACAGCGCGTCTGGAAGCATGAAGTGGAAGCCGTAGTCGACCCAGCAAGACAACATGTAACCTGCAATCAGGCATGTGTATTCGATGCCGACCATGAGACCTCGAGCGTGGGGTGCTGCTATCTCAGTTTGGATGATGGGGACTGTCATTGACAAGAAGCCGACTCCGAATCCTTGGATCGTGCGCCCGACGACAAAAGTTGCGAACCCTGGAGCGAAGATTTGGATGAAAGCCGAGAGGAAATAGATCAGACCACCGAGGCGGACAGTACGCTTGCGACCGATCATGTCTCCGAGACGTCCTGCGATAAGAGCACCCACAGCAGCGGAGGCTTGTAGGCAGGCAACGGATATTCCTGTTATGGAAGGATTCACGGCTGCGGTACTGCCATCTGCGCCACCGTAGTCGCTGAAGAAACGTCTAACGAAGACCGGGTTGACCAATAGGCCAGACATGATACCTGGCGGAGTCAGTTCTTCTTCCCGATCATGTGAAAGCCCAAACATACCGGAGTTGTAACCGAACAAAGCATCACCGAGACTACCAAAGCCGCATGTTGCGAACAACAAGGCCTTGCCCTTGATGGGATATCTAGCTGTGATCTTCGTCGGCTTCAGTTTGCTTTCGAGCCATCCCTGTTCAGCCGCAACCTGTCCAGCTATTTGCGAGGCACGCTGCTGAATGTTGGCGCTCTGACTGGCGACTGAATTACTGCGGACAGCCATACTTCCAACGAATAAAGAGCAAGATAGTCGTGTGGAAATGGTATGCGTTATCGAGCACGCGGAGAAGATGCTGTGGGATGATGGAGAAATCTGGGGAAGCCTGACAGCTTTATCGTCCCCAGATTTTCGCAGTGGAGCGCATTCGGCATCATTGCGTGTAGTCAGGCCATGTTACGGTTCCGATCCTAACGTTGGCCCTGCAGCGAAGAAATTTGGTCGGCATATGCTAGTGTGTCGCTCGAGAAGTTGATCAACTCTGTACCGCTAGGGCGTGGCTTCCCGGCCAATCAGGAGCGCTCTGCTCTTGAGCCGCGGAACCGGTGCTGGGGCAGAAAAGGTCCGAGCTGGCGGCTCCGGCTGATGAGCATCGGAAGGTCAGCAGCCTGCATGAGCCGCCGGAACCGTACTGCAGTCGCTCTCGCACTCGGGGAATGATGCCTGGCCGGTGATATAGCCAGGTCACTGAGATGGAGACATTGGTTCTAATCACTGCCGTACACTGTGTTTCGCAGTCATGTCTTCTTCCCCTGACGTTCACGAACCCAGTAACTCCTCCGAGTCTTTGACGTTGCTGGAGGATCAACTCAAAGCGCCAATCAACACGTCCTTCGTTCTGAGCCCATCCAGGCAGTTCTCATACGAGGATGGGCCAATTCCAAGCCTTCCCACTCCCAGGCATGTTCGTGTGAGGGTTGTGGTTACCGGTCTGTGTGGTTCTGACGTATGTAATGCCCGCTGTAGTCTGACATGTTCACTGAATATTGATGCTACATAGTTGCACTACTCGCAGCATGGGCGCATAGGCAGATATGTGGTCGAAACCCCAATCACCCTCGGCCATGAGTCTGCTGGTATCGTCGATGCCTGCGGATCAGATGTCAAAGGGCTGTCCGTGGGCGATCGCGTCGCATTGGAACCTGGCGTAGGATGCAACACATGCGAGACATGTCGAAGCGGTCGATATAACCTATGCGAATCGATGCAGTTCGCTGCTACCCCTCCCTACAACGGCACGTTATCGACCTTCTACTGTCTACCCGAAGAATGCTGCTACAAGCTGCCGTCACACATATCCTTCCGTGAAGGTGCCCTCGTGGAGCCGCTGAGCATAGCGGTGCATTGTTGCGGGCTCGCCGGAAATCTTCAGGGCAGGTCTATGGCGGTTTTCGGAGCTGGGCCCATAGGCTTGTTGTGCTCTGCTGTTGCACAGGCTTTTGGCGCAGCGAAAGTCGTGGTTGTTGATGCAGTGGCCCCCAGGCTGAACTTTGCGACTGACTTCGGTGCCGATGACGTATATATGATGGAAGCTGGATCTCCAGAAGCGAATGCTCAGAAAGTTTTGGAGAAGGCTGGGCTGGCTACAGGGTTTGATGTTGTGATCGATGCAACGGGAGCAGAGGCATGCATCAACTGTGGTGTAGCTGCATTGAAACGCGGCGGAGTCTTCGTTCAAGCTGGGCTGGGCCCTCCCAAGATCGCATTTCCAATCGGTCAGATTTGCGACAAAGAAGCTACGCTCAAAGGCAGCTTTCGATACGGGCCAGGAGACTACAAGCTTGCCATCCAGCTATTAGAATCCAACCGTGTTCAGCTGGATAGTCTTATTACTCATGAGTTCGCATTCTCAGATGCGGAACGGGCTTTTAAGAATGTTGCGGATAGAGTCGGCATCAAGTCGCTCATATATGGACCAGGCATCGACAGGGCGTTCGCAGAGGGTCGCGCCGAGCAGCAAAGGCGTGTGCCTGATCTCCCGAGGCTCTAGTCTGTGATGCGCTGAATACGTATCGCAATAATAAAATTGCTCGAATTGAGACGCGTGCCCGTCAAAAGATGTTTGTGATGTAACAGCTAGAATTGTGGCTCGTTCCAGACAGAATCCCAGAACCAGTATAGGCCGTTGCCAGTAACATCAACACCATTGTCATCGCTGATCCAGTCCAGCTCGCCTTCGAGGTTGAAGTCCCGGGTGCTAGCATTTGTCCAATCATTGTGTTCGCTAGGCAAGTGATCCATACCACCTTCGTTCGTGCCCCATTGCGGGACATAGGCTGTGTCGTCATGGGAGACGCTGTCGAGGGCGGCGGGAAACACTGGGAAAAGTATGTGATTAGATTGGTACGCAGCTTCGGGAATGCATCAGTCTTACCTCTCTGTACCGACGCCATGCTCTCGTGAACGCGCTGCATGCTGTCCACTGTACTCTGTTGCTGTCTGTTGTGTCCACTCGGTGGCAGTTGCGTCGGCAGACGAAGAGTATCTTCGACAGACATCTGCGCCGTCCCGGTGTGCGATCTTGTCATGTCGCTCTCGCCAAAGATAGCATCTGCTTCTCTGCGCAGTAGCATCTGGATGACGTCTTTGAGGACCGCATTACTCTGCATCGAGAGCTGTGTCCTCTTGCCGAGTAGCTCTTGCAAGCGAAATATGCGTGTGATGGTCCTTTTCACTTCCTGTGCCCTGTCCGAGAGTGGATCAGACAGCGCCAACACAGCCATGACGATGGCGGAGTTGAACAGATTGATAGCCAAGAAAGCTACCAGGTGGCTATCAGTGGCTAGCTGAGAAAGCCGTGGTAATTCAGTCACCTTTGATGTTCTCAACGCGGCGTCCCACCATTGCTCCGTGCTTGACATGTGGCTTCTGTTGAGCGGGCTGGACTCATGAACCGCATGGAATGGTGATTCGGTATTCGTAAGACTTGCCGGAGATAGTGCGTTACCATGTCCGCTTTCCGGTTGCGTCCTGATGAGGTGGTCCACTTGTTTTGCGATTAACGGGCGATTGAAGATGATGAGTAGGTTGTCGAATGTAAGCTGAAGAGACAATGCCTGCAGCTGGTGCACCCGTGCGGTGCGTGATTGGTCAATACTGCAGTCGGAGGCCATGTCGAGTAGAAGATGAGGCGGCAGACGGCGGCGCCACGCCCAAAGCTTCTCCGTCACTTCCGTGATTTGATCAGTGTATTGTGGCCCGCTCGGTCGTTCGTTGGGTCCCACGGCCCGCATCCCGAAGATGGTCTCGATAATGGGTGACGCAATAAGGTAGAGTTTGTTGAGCTCACGTTGGTAGGACGAGTAACATATGGTTAAGTCGGCTTCTAAGGGGTTCGTCCTTCTGAAGTAGGGCGACTCGCATACGTCGATCGGATGGTGTGTATTGCAGTCTTTCTCGTTGATGCCAATGGGCCGTCCGTACGTAATGGAAGCAAACCTAATCAAGTTAGTCAATGTTGCTACAGTGTACGAAAAATCTCGCATTCGGTACTGAGGTTCTTCGGATCTTCGGGTAGGGATGCACTACCGATCCCATGTGTATATAGTCCACCAGACTCTTTTCCTCTCTTCGACATAGTGAGGGTCACCTCGTAGCGGTTGGCGGTGAAGGCCGATGGCTTGTGCAGTTCGAATGGTCGCGCCCAGTAACGCAAAAGATAGGTTAGGCTTCCCATGGTAGACGTAGTAGGAGCCGAGCAAGATACACGTCTGAACAGACGAAATGGTACTCTGGTCCATCAGTTCAGCCAATTGGGAACCCGCACCTTGAACGAGGGATTGCGACCAGGCGTGCCAATCCTCGTCTGGAAAGTCTGGATCCACGTCCTTCTTGTGAGACTTGTACCATGCTCCCATTCCCACAACTGTAGATAAGAGGAGGAGGAATGATTTTTGCGAGGGGTAGGCATAGCCGTCCTTGATAGAGTCAAACTTTGCCCGAAATCTTGGCTCATAGATGACCAAGCTAAACCAATGGACCGAGTCGAAGTACTCTTCCAAGAGTGCTCGCATCGTGTCGATTGGCGGAAGGGGATGACCGAGAACGGCCGCTGTAGGGCGTCTCTGGGTACGATCTAAACGAGATGTTGAGGCTCTGCCATATACATTGCCGCCCGGTATGGCTGATGTTGTCCGGTTTAATGTTGGCTGACTTCCTAGTCTGTATATCTGGTGTGCAATGTCCATGGCTGAGTTCGCTTCGCCTTCCGCGATGCTGACACGTCTGCTCTCATCGCGACTGTTGCTTTCCGGGTCTGTCGCTTGATGCAGGTCCTCGTGATGCTGAACTGGTGCCTGTGGTTGCTCATGCGAAGCTTCGCGGGAAGGGCCTTGGGTGCGTCTCCTCTTCGATGCGCGTGGAACCTCGACATTGCTTACGATACATTCGACGTTTGCTCGGATACAGAGCGCGCAGGGGCGCGATGTGTCGCACTTGAATTTGCTCAGTCTGCGGCGCGCGTGACAGGCGGTGGGAGGGCGTGACTGACTCGGCTCTTGTTGCGACGGCACCTCTCACACGCCTTGCTAACCCTGGTGGGTAGCTGACGCCCGACAGCGGCATCAAGAGTTGCCGAAGACATTACTTCCGTGGTGCCATGCGTGACGTGAGGTTGCGATGAAATGGGCGAGGGTACGCTGCACGCGTCAGGCACGCCAAGTCAGCTGCGGAGCTCGCCGAGGTTTGCACGGTCGCCGTCAATGCCGCTGCCGCTGCACTTTCGCGTTTTTTCCGCCCACCACTGGCATTGTCATCGCTCTGCGTGACGACGTATGCGCTTCACAGGTGATGAAGTACGCAGTATCAGACTGCTTGCGCGCCTGATTCTCTCCGTCATTCCGCCTCGATGTTACATATTCAGCGCTTTCACCAACCCTATCAGGTCAGCACCAACAATCATCGAATATAGCACCATATCGCTTTTTGATATCACTGGGCATGATCGCGGTCATGGCACGTGGTCAAGATGGAGACGCGCCATCCGAGGTCTTCGTGGACACCCACCCGCCTGCGAAGCGACGGCGAACATTAGCACAGCCTGCTCGGGAGGTAGGCTTGATGCGAAGCGTCCCTGGTGACAAGTTCACGGGCTTCATGGGCAGTGCCAGCGGCATCTTCTTCATTAGGTCAGTCTATGGTGCGATCCGACGCTCTGCAGTGCCTACAGACGGCGAAACGCCCGGCAGCGACATCGTACCAGGCGAAGACGATCATCTCTCTCTAGTGCAACCGAATTCCTCTGGACACTTATGGCGAGAAGCTGAGTTCTCACACAGTCAGACTTCTCGCATATCATTTCGTGACCTGGTCACTTTTTCTGGGAGCTATTTTGCCAATTGGCATCCGTTCTACCCCTTCCTGCACGCCCCGACCGTCCTGGAGTATTTCGACTGCTGTGCAAGAAATGGCTTTCCCGATCATGGCGCTTCAGAGGACCTACAGCTGGTGATAGTGCGTTCGATCATGTCCATCTCGCTTGCAGACCATCGACAATCGCCAGGGCTACCGCGTACTCGACATCCTGCCTGTATCGTCTTTCTATCGTATGATGCTGCTGTAGATAGTCTCCGGACAATACTTTCTCGTCCCACGACAATACTTACACTACAAGCCGCACTCAGTGTGCAGCTCTTCTTAGTTTCTATGCTTCGCTTAAACGCCGCCTCCCGTCTTGGGGGGCTCATTATGCGGATGGCTGTGCAGCTAGGTCTTCATCGATGCCCAGCCAGATTTTCGACCTTCACATCAAGCACGAAACAGCTTCGACAACGCGTGTTTTGGTCACTCTATACCATTGATCGGTTCCTTTCCCAATCCATGGGCCTTCCGCTCGGCCTGCCTGATGACGATATTGATGTCTGCTTTCCCCTCACGGAACACCATCAACAGGCGCGAGTGGACCCTTGTGAGTTAGACCATGTACTTTCGTGACACATCTAACATGTGGTAGGTCGTGAACTCCACCTGCTGCACCTGGTTGCCCAGCAAGCCAGGCTGCGTGGCGAAATCATCGAATTGCGCAACAAGTCGCTACACTACGTCCAGAATGATCCTGACCGAGCGACATCAATCATAGCTAAACTTGGCCAATGGTGGAACGATGTTGAGAACTACATCGAACCGGACAGCCGATGTGGCGCTTCTCCTTACGCGACTATAGTGTTGACACTGCTTAGACACGAGTTGATTATCTCGCTGTATCGTCCCGTCTTAGCCACCGGTAGTAAAGATGTCGCTTACAATGCCGCCTTACAACAGTGCATCAGTTCTGCGCGTAGCATCATCAATACCTTGCACACCGCTATCCAGGGCAAAAACGGGCCCCAAACGAATCATGACCAATTGGCTCTCCTTTGGCCCTCCTGCACCTGGGCTGTATGGATCAGCACATTCATCATGTTCTACGCCGCCCACGAGGACCGTATTGATCACAGCGTCGTCACAAGGTAATCAATAGGTCGAAATTGTATTACCTCAACTAACATGTGCAATCAAGATTCGCAGATAAGAGTCTCGACATACTTCAACACCTCACACTACGCGGCAGTGCTTGGCCTGAAGCAAGCTCGGCGGCCATTCGCGACTTACGGGCTCGAATGCTGCAGGGTTCTACTCAAATGGTTTCTAGATACGACTCAGAGGTCGCTGGAGATGCAGCCCTTGCTCAAAAAGGTGAATTGAACGTACGTTCAAGCCTGCACGAGCAATCATTACCTACCTGCAACGACGAGCCAGATCAAGTTGGTAGGCAAAGGAGGAATAATATCGCCCCTCCGCATGACGCGCGGTATCCTCCATACAATGCAGCATTCGATTCCAGTGCGACGAGTAACCTGAACCACGATGCTACTTTTCCTGAGCACAATAGCTACTGGAACATCTTCCTCGGAACGGAAGGCGCCGACGCTTCATCTACAGAATACTCCAACGGCCTAGACCCTTTCTCTGGCTTCGATATCCCGTTTTGGTTCGATCAAGAGCAGCATTGGGATTTCACATAGTTTCAAGAGCCAGGATAAAATCGAGTGCTGGTTGTGGTGGTATTGTTTGGGGAGCGTCGGACTTTGTTTGTCCGCCTCCCCCCGCACTTGCCCTCATCTAGCGCACCAGTGGCAAGATCATCGGCAACCCCATCATGTACGAACTCTGAATATGGGGTTTCTTAGTCCGGATTATGTCGGCTTAAAAGATAATGCGCATAGAACCTCACAAGATATCAAGTCAAGTGCTTACTCCAGTTACAGCCATCTGGTAACCGTTACTCCCTGTCCAAAAACAACGATTCATCAAGCACCAACATGCGCACACACTCTATTGCAACTATGGGCGCCGATGGCATTGGCCCTGAAGTCATCAATGCCGGCGTACAAGTTCTGAAGAAGTTGGCACAGCTAGACGGCACATTCGGACTGCAATTTGAAGACTACGACTGGAGTTCTGAGACCTACAAGAAGACAGGCCAATATATCCCCGATGGAGGGCTAGAGAAGCTCAAGAAGCATGACGCGATTCTATTTGGTGCTGTAGGTGCCCCGGGTACGTACAATTTACTGCATGGTATGCGATATCGAGACTGAATTCCCGAATAGATGTACCTGATCACATCTCTCTCTGGGGCTTGCGGCTCGCGATCTGCCAGACCTTCCAGCAGTATGCGAATGTGCGACCCACCAAGATCTTCCGGGGAACATCATCGCCCTTGCGTAACGCAGAGCATGGCGACCTAGACTGGGTGATTGTACGAGAGAATTCCGAAGGTGAATACGCAGGACAAGGAGGCCGGTCGCATAGAGGCCAGAAGTGGGAGACTGCTACGGAGGTCTCGATCTTCACCCGCCATGGTGTGGAAAGACTTATCCGCTTCGCCTTCGAAACAGCTCAAAGCAGGCCGAGAAAGCAGATAACAGTCGTTACTAAGAGCAACGCGCAGCGCAACGGAATGGTTATGTGGGATGAGATTGCTGCTGAAGTTGCGAAAGACTTTCCCGATGTAAAGTGCGACAAGATGCTCGTCGACGCCATGACGTGCCGGATGGTACTTGATCCGAAATCGTTGGATACGATAGTTGCAACAAACTTGGTGGGTAAAACAGAACGTACGGGGCATTCACCTCGGCTTTGGCTGACTCGTCCAGCACGCGGATATTCTTTCCGATCTCGCAGCCGCGCTGGCAGGATCCATTGGTATCGCTCCTACCAGCAACTGTACGTATCTTTCATTTCCACATGGTTGCATCCATTGCCCATGCTAAGTGTTGCCAGTGGACCCCACACGCCAGCATCCGTCCATGTTCGAACCGATTCATGGCTCGGCTTTCGACATTACCGGCAAGGGTATCGCAAACCCAGTAGGAACCTTTTGGACAGCGTCTGAGATGCTGGCATGGCTAGGCGAGGAGCAAGCTGCGAAGCGACTCATGGAAAGCGTGGAAATTATCACGGAGCGAGGCATTGCCACGCGCGATCTTGGAGGCAAGGCGTCGACAAAGGAGGTTACTGACGCGGTCTGCGCTGAGCTAGAAAGCATCTACGGCAAGAGTCAGTAGAAGCCGTGGTGGGCCTGATGATGCGGCAACGTTAGCCGCTGGTGCCAACCTGGTGGAGCGGACGTTGGTCGATGCGAAACCTGACTCGTAGCCGATGCAGTTCTCTTTCAGGCCGACAACGCCATGTGCCAGCTATTGCTATAGCTTGAAACGCCATATTGTTAAGTTCAGAGATCAACAACACCATTCCACAACCGCATGTGTCGATCGTGGCTACGTTACCTTTCATGAAGCCACCACTGCCACGAAGACATTGTTGGGACCTTATGTGAACTTAAACGCAGAGCCTCTGCCGATCTCATGTTTCCCCTATGCGGTAGTACATCCAAAAGAGGCGACGATTGACAGCGTCTCTATCGGTCGCATCAACCCGAGCCATGCTGGCAACACTAGCCGTCTGCAACATGAAGCAGTGGATACCTGAGCGACCAACCCGGAGCTAGCCCCCGCATCCTACCCATCCTTCCCCGCACACCACGAATCATCAATCCTTGTGTGCAAGTCGCCCAAGCTCAACTGCCGTGGGAATTAAGGCATCCCCCACCACCACCACATTATAGTGTCCGTCGCATCTTCGACAATTTAGGATTGCTTCCACGCTTCTTCCATCTATCTGCTGTGTGATCTAGATTGTTTCTTTGCATATCGTTTGCCCTTCCACGTGCTCCCTCGCGCTACCGTTCCAATCACACCGCGGACATAGAGTTACCATGCCTTTGGGTATACTCCAAGACTACAAGCTCGAACATGTCCCTGGGACAGCGCCGTTAAGCGAGCTTGGTCGCATTGATCTTGAGATCTCGAACGATGTTGATCGCGGGCTGCTGAAGCATGATTCTACTGGGCAGATTGTGCTTGTACCGCAGCCTTCTGATTCGCCGAACGACCCCTACAATTGGCCAAGATGGAAAAAGGAGATGTTCACCGTCGTCATCGCATACGGATGCGGCGCTGTAGGAGGTAGGTTTGCGACATCTTGACACCAGATACTGAGCTAATCGCATATTTTGTAGCTGTCGGTCCGCTGCTCACTCCGGCCTTCGTACCACTGGCAGAACAATTCAACGTCCCACTACAGAGGTTCACTCTGGGTTGCAATGGATCCTGTATCGTCGCCATCGCGGTCGGTAGTCTCATCTGCAACACCCTCGCCGTCAAGATTGGGAGACGACCAATCTACCTCGCAACCACGGTTGGCCTGGCAGTGTCCTGTTTCTGGGCTGCGGAAGCTACCAGCTTTCCCTCTCTGGCCGCAGCCAGAGCGGTCCAAGGACTGTGCATGGCGCCGTTCGAAGCACTCATCCCAGCATCCGTCGGAGACATCTGGCACGTCCACGAGCGCGGCTTTCGAATGGCCATCTTCAACCTTGGTGTCCTCGGTGGTATCAACCTAGCGAGTCCGATCGCTGGATCCGTCATTCAATATGGCTCTCACCGCATCGCATTGCACGCAATGGGTGGTGCTTTTGTCATCATGCTCATGCTCATCATCTTCTTCATGCCCGAATCCGCCTACCACCGCCGCGACGTCATCAACATCGATACGAGCGCTAAGAACGTAGAAAGCGACGCTGTTGAGAAAGAGAAGTCGGCCGAGCGCGTCGAAGATTATGCGGTCCAATCGTCTGTCTCTTCCGAGGCCGCATACCCCTACGTCAAGACTCTCATGCCGTGGTCTGGTTATTGGGACCATGTTTCCTTCTGGCGCACATTCCTACGCCCCTTTGTGGTGATCATGAGCCCGGTAGTCATGTGGGCGACCTTGCTCTTCACCATCTGTGTGTCCTGGCTTGTCTTGATCTCCATCACGTTGTCGCAAATCTTCTCTGCTCCGCCATACAGCTTCTCCGTGAGCGCGGTTGGCGCAACCAACCTGTCGTCGTTTGTAGCGTCGCTATTGGCCACGCTGGTAGCAGGTCCGATCATCGATGGTGTGGCTAAGTACATGTCGACACGCAACAAGGGTACTTTCGGTGAGTGCGGACGATCCAATTTCTGATTTCATACAACTGATAATGTTTTAGAACCCGAGTTCCGTCTCCCTGTGATGATAACCTACCTGACCTTCACCGCAACTGGTTTCTTTGCTTGGGGCCAATCACTCCACAATCGCGATCCGTGGCCTATCCCAGTCATCGTCTGCATGGGTCTGATCAACCTGGGTGTTCAGCTGGGAACTACCGCCGTCGTCACCTACGTCTCCGACTGCCATCGCGAGCAGGCCGCCGAAGCTTTCGCCATCATGAACTTCGTCAAGAACCTTTTCGCATTCGGCCTGACATTCTACGCCAATGACTGGATCGCGGTACAGGGTGTGAGGGATGCGTTTTATGTCATTGGTGGCACCACTGTCGCTGTTACGCTTTGCACGATCCCAATGTATATCTACGGCAAGCGTGCAAGGAGTTGGGTGAAGAGATGCGGAGTGCTTGATAGTGTTCTTAAAGCCGAGTAGAGGAGTGCCGATAGCGTGACAAGAGCCTGCTTTTTTGTGAGTATTTGTTTGTGTGTTCAAGACTTTAGAACGTATTACCGTAGCGCGATTCCGAATATTGCAACCGTGTTATATGTCCAGTATCGACGACGTGGTATATGATCATCTCGCGACAACGTTCATTAAAGCTCGCGCGCGCAGAAGGCAGGAAGCGAAGCTGCCAGCGGCTACCGTTAATCGGCATCTTTGGTGGTTGACTCGTGTGGCGGAGAACGAACCGCCGACCTGACTCAGCCTGAGTGGCATCGCAGGCGCATCTGCCAGACACACTCCTCTCGATCTCTAGAAGTAGTTTTCTCGCCATCTTGAAGGATCGGTAGAGGCTCGCTGCATGTTCGGTGCTATGGGCATGTCGCAGTCTTTCAATTGTTGCAAGACTGACACTGGTGGGGATGTATCGCCGGGTATCTGCTGAGAAGCGTGCGCACAGCTATTCGGTCGACCTTCCCCTGCCCTAGACGTCTTGCGCGCTCGGTCACAAACAGGGGCGGACTCGCTTTGCCTTGATGGAGGTACTTCCGGGGCTGCGATGTCGCGGCACTGTGCTTGTAGCCAAGCCGTTAACTGCTCGGTCGTCTGTAAAGGCAGACGCTTCCATTCTTCAAGCTTTTCGGCTTTCGAAAGTTGTCGCTTTGGTGCTTGTGAGGACGCATCTGAAAGTAGAACATTGTTCAGCCGTACTACGTCTTGGTTTTGCACAACAGTGAGTGTTGCAGAGAGTGCAGCCTCGGTGTCTGCAAGCCGTCTCTCGAGGGCAGTGATGTATGCGGCTGGGAGGCCACGCTTACCGCCCTCTTGATAGTGACATGGCAGCGAAGATGTTTGACATTGCGAGCATGACGGGCTATATTAGTTAGCTGAGGTTCTGCAGCTGGCATGTAGGTTACCAACATCTTCCGATCGCACTTGCACTTCTTCGATCTGCAATTCTCGCATGCAATAGCATTTAGCTGGACCTCCAAATCACGATATCAGTGTATGTAGTACAGTGCTGGATGAGCTTGCGCACCGCTTCAGTCATAGTTGGATAACGATGGCAGGTGGTGGAGCTTGCGGAGGCTGGAGCTATTCGGAAGGTGTGGCTTGGTGATCTGTGCTCGCCGCGAGGGGCGCCTGCCCCTAAACTTGGGCGCGTCAAGCCTTCACGTCATCTCTCCGACGCGACAGCGTCTACTTCAGAGCTTGAAACGACATACATTATGGAAGAGCAATGCTGCTGAGTAGAATGCGCATCGTGGATTGGTGTAAGCTCCTGCTGAGACCCACCTGGTAATCGATTGCCGGTTGCGGCACTACCATACAATGTCTTCCACCTGAAGAATGCCCGGATTTTTGGCCCGCCGATCCAGCCTCTTTCGCACTTTGTCGCCCAGATCAGTCGAGAAGTTGGCGATACTGTGCGAGAGAACTTGTGGAGGGGCAGGGGAATTTCCCCCGCATTCAACCTTACCTGTTGTATCACGGACCGCGCCATACATGGCTAGTGCTGAGGTCCATGTCGGGCATCGGGTCATTTGAGTCCAGCCCTGCATACACATTCACGGACCTGAGTACACGATTTTAATGTTGAAGCTGACAGTGTTGAGTAAGGCAGACTAACATGACACGGGATTTATCCGCACGGTAGTGAGGATAATCCTCAAATTTCCAATCACGAAGCGTCGAGATTTGGTGACTGCTGAATCATCTCCAGCCAAAGCTTCGTACGTCTATGATCAACGGTCATGCTTCATGTTGAAGGATGCGTCAACCGTACCACCGGGCATAAACCCCGCAAAGCCAAGACGAAAGCGAGGCAGATCCAGCATCCCTTAGTCGGTTCGACGGTTTCTTGAACCGGCGAAGTGCTTGGCCTCGAGTATGTAAGTTGAGACTGTGCCGTTCTGTCTCGACACTGAGCAACTATCTCGAACGGAAAGATCATGGCACCAGCAGTTGCAGGCCCTGGCGACGGTATCATCGAGCGCCTCGTCGCCGCCGATACAGTACGATGGTGGAACAAGCCAAACCTCCGACGTCTCTACCTCTTGTTGGTACCTTTCTGCTTCTTCATTGAGTCTACCTCTGGGTTTGATAGCTCGATGATGAACGGAAGTAAGTCAAATCTACCACCGCACTACGTGGAGACAAGACACTGATTCGTTGTTTCTTTATCAGTGCAAGCTCTCCACTACTGGCAGGAATACTTCAACCACCCAAAAGGAGGACAACTCGGATTGCTTGTGGCCTGCTACAACCTCGGAGCTATCTCGAGTATCCCGTTCGTTTCAATCGTCTCCGATCATCTGGGAAGGCGAAAGAGTATCGTTCTAGGATCCACGATTATGATAATCGGAGCAGTTATGCAGGGCTTGTCGCAGAACCGTGAGTACCTTGAGCACCCTCACAGCCCTCAGAGAACTTCTTGGTTGACATGAGTACAGTCGCCATGTTCATCTTCAGTCGAATATTCTTGGGCCACGGTATTGTCTACGCCATCATTTCCGGCGCCGCCCTTCTCGGCGAACTAGGCCATCCCAAAGAACGACAATTCCTGGGTAGTCTCTTCAACGCTTTCTTTGGAGTAGGCTCCGTGCTTGGAGCAGGTATAGGTGAGCAATTTCCGTCCACCAGATGTGAATGAACGCATGCTAATCTCGGCTCCCATATATAGTCGTGCGTACGCTACTGATCCCAAACGACTGGTCTTGGCGCCTCCCCTCCATTCTCCAAGCAGGCCCTTCTGTTATACAGATCATCTTTGCTTTCACAGTCCCAGAGAGTCCTCGATGGCTGGTCTCAAAAGATCGCAGCGAAGAAGCTCTTGAGATATTGATCAAGTACCACGCGGAGGGCGATGCTTCGGCCGAGCTACCGCACCTTGAGATTGCTGAGATCAGGAAAGCTCTGGAGCTGGAGAACGAATCACGACAACGTGGTTGGGCCGAGCTCTTCCAGTCCAAAGGCATGCGACACCGTGCACTTGTCGCTGCCGGCCTTGGTATCTTCGTTCAGTACAGCGGCAACAACCTCATCAGCCAATACCTTGTGCCGATTCTGGAGAAGATCGGCATTGAGGACAGTCACACCCAGGTGCGCTATAATGTTGGCTCTGAAGCATGGGGCTTCCTTATGGCACTTGTCATGGCGACCATCACACCTCGATACCCACGTCGCAGAATGTACTTGCTGTGTGCAAGTTGCTTGTTGTGCGTGTATACCGCATGGACCATTGCTCAGGCTCGTAATCGCCAGACTGGATCTAAAGAGACCGGCTATGCTGTTCTCGTAATGATTTTCCTATACAAGCCTGCGTACAACATCGCCTACAACGCCCTCACCTACGTCTACATGGTGGAAATCTTCCCATACTACGTCCGAACCAAGGGTCTCTCGTGGTTCCAACTCTTCAATCGCTGCTCCGTCATGCTTGGCTCCTTCACCAATCCCATCGGACTGGAAGACCTTGACTGGAAGTTTCTCTTCGTATACATCGCTTTGCTGTGTTGCGAAATTGTGTTCATCTACTTCCTATTCCCTGAGACATACGGAAAGACATTGGAAGAGCTTACTTTCTTGTTTGAAAGCGAGAAGGATGATGCCGACGCGCTCGCTGCAACCACCGCCAAGGTCATGGGTCAGGATAGCAACGCCATCGAGCTTCATGAGGCGCCAGACAAGAAGGCCTAAGTCGCAAGTAAAGTGGTCGCTGGGACTGAGGTCGGCGGGTCTTGCAGATGGCGTTGCATTTGGCGCTCATAAGGCGGGTTTTGAGGCCACTTGGAAGTGAGCCGCATTCCTTCGAGCGGGTGTGAAACGGCCGTGGACGAAAATAGTGGAGGATGAAGATGCACAACTTGTAGCTGTTCCAGCATAACTCAGTCTTGCTCGCGGTCGTTTCCGGTAATGAATCATGAACATGTCTTCCTGTTCCACATGCGAGATCTCTCATCGCTCAACCAGCTCGCAGTGAAGACTTCAAAGTTGCGTAATACTGATGAATCCGTGGCTCTCATCAGCTCAATACCATCGCACCGTTGCCCATCTGCCTTTCCTGCGTTGCGACTAGCATGCGGCGCAGCAACATATCAAACCATAGCTTGCATACAACGCCTGAAGAGGCTGGAAATTGTGCGGATCTCCACTTCCATTCATAAGTTTGTTTCGACGACACAACGCACCAATGGCCCGCTCTTCCATGCGACCATGACACCGGTCAAGCGACAGCGGCTACAGAAGACTGATCTCCGACTGATCGGGACGTGTGGGGAATCTTCCGAACGAATGGGAATCTGGCGGCTTTGAAACAACAACAGATGGGCATAAGCTTGGCCAGTGAGGGTACGCAACGATCGCAGTGCAGACTTGATAGCCGCGACCCAGCAGACTGGTTTTAGCGTACGCCGGTGTTAGTACACGTGTCAGTACTAGGGAATACCGAATGACATGTTCAGCCGCAAGCCACCGTAGTATCAAGTCAGTAAGCGAAGTGTTGGATGTAGAGGTAGGGCTAGTCAAGAGGTGTCAGACGACTGTTCATCATAACGCACCTGATGTGCTTTGGCTACTCCAGAGGAAGGCAGTTGTCACCCTCCTGCTCAACACTGGGAGACATCGTCACGTGAAGCTTGCTTCATGCATGCATGCGTTGTTTGCTTTGCACCGAGATGCCAAATGCACGATAGACGCGACGTGGAATATTCGAAAATAGACGCATGGCTAAATATTCCGCGGCGCTGATAGGTGGCTATTAATAAGTGGGGATATCGGGCCCGCGCTTAACGATAGCGCGACCCCGCTATCTGGACCCCCAAAAGTTCGTCGAAACATCCCGAGGCCGTCATTCCCACCACCTCAACGGCCACTCACGTCGCGCAAGTTCACGCGATACCACCGAGGCTGGAAAGTGGCATCGCCATTCGCTCGCTGAGCAAAACCAACATGTTTCTCCAACCTCGCACTCTTTACATTGGCTACAGCGTCCGATGAGGCTCGAAGCGCTTATACGACTGTGCCTCATCGATGCATCATCATCGAAACGTGACCTCATGGAGGGGCTAAAAGCTAAGAATACGCCTAGCTGCATATGTTTTAATACTACAGCGGCAACGAGAATACGCTAGCCTAGCCATGCGGCCATCCCAGCGGTTATACACATGCTCTGTACGGCTACGCCCTCAGCGGTGACCCGGCTTGACAGCTCCCGACGCCCGCGCCGCACGCAGGTGTCGTGGAAACGGCCTTCAGCCGCCTTTCTTGGCATGCTTTTCTGGAGGTTGCGTCTGGTCCTTGCGGCTAGCTCGTGCCATGAATGGTGCGTTTGCTCGGTAATGCACCGGTTTCCAGAACGAAGGCATAGTTTGCATGTACGCCGCAGTAACAGTGCTGTTTGATGTTTCGAGCAGGCTCCAATCATGGAAATGGCTTGTGGAGGCTTATACTGCAGCTCCATGTTGTTATAGTATGGTGATGGACACCGATGGTAAGTACCTGGTATCAGTCTACTGCTTCTCTCCAGTCTGGCACTGCTCTACTATCTTGTACGAAGCAACATCTTTTCATCTTTCTCCACTATCTACGTACCCTAATTCGTATTCACGTATTCTTTTAATGCCTTACCCGATATCCACATCAGGTTACTATCCCAACATGTCTCGTTCTCCACGCACTCCTATGCGTTCGCCTGCTTTTCCCGACATTCCAATCTATCTGGATACGGGTGATGAACGCATGACAGCAAAGACATATGGCACAACACCTACGACCCCAACCACACCGGACATCATCCCTCCTCAACGCCCGACGCACCTGAGCCCGTCACATATCAACGCGCCACCCATCAGCCCGGTTGAGCCAAGCCCTACAACCACTATCGAGACTTCTAGTTGCCGGTCAGTCATCTGGCCCATTCCAGAGCCACCACCAGAGGTGCAGTATCAGCAGGACTCTCGTCGACCAACCCTTCGGTTCTTCCCGACTCAACGCCCTCGAGTCCGTCTTGACACCGTTCATTCCCTACAGATTCCTTCCATCAACGAGAAGACCCCGATCAGCTACTACCATCCGGGGCTCGGTATCGTCAACGGCCCTCCTAAGCCCCCATCTATCGAGATCTCTCCACCCATCAACGAGAAGTCCGACCCTGAGGCCAACATCGCACAACGTATCGAGGAGACCTTGTGGAGATACAGCGCATCTGGTAACATCTTGAAAAGGTGGTTGCTAGAAGTACTCAGCTGGCTCTTCAGTGCGATTTGCATGGCTGCGGTGATTGGGGTACTAGCCAGACTCAAGGATGAACCGCTGACCAAGTGGGTCCTGGCCGAGAAGACTGGGCTGACACTGAACGCATACATTTCCATACTCTCAAAGATGGCGGGTGCTGCTCTCATCCTCCCCGTATCGGAAGCCCTTGGCCAACTCAAATGGAGTTGGTTCCTCGAACACTCCAAGCAGATGTGGGATTTTGAGATCTTCGATAATGCTTCACGAGGTCCATGGGGCTCTCTTCTTCTACTCATTCGGACTAAGGGCAGAGCACTAGCAGCGCTTGGAGCTATGATTATGCTGTGTTCTTTAGCACTCGATCCTTTCTTCCAACAGGTAGTCGACTTTCCAGATCGATGGGCACTGCAAAGCACATCAAGCACAATTCCAAGGGTTATAGACTACCAACCGCCTTATATTCCGGCATATATGGGTGGAGACGAGATTACTTCCGAAGACAGAGCGCTGGCAGCTGTAGCTCGGGAGTTCTTTTATAACAACGGCACTCAGCCTGTCCCTTTTGGCAATGGCAAGTGATGACCATTCAAGACCACATGTACAACACATACTGACTCAGCCTACTTTAGGCACAAGGCCCGACATACCTCTCTCTTGTCCAACCAGTAACTGCACCTGGCCTGAATATGAGACTATGGCTGTTTGCAGTAGTTGCGAAGATGTTACAAGTTTGCTGGATCTGACATACGTTTGTATGGACACAACTATTGACTGGAGCGTGAACTGGACAGGACCTCTTGACGACATGCCGTACCCAAATGGTACGGTCTGCGGATACTTCCTCAATGCCACAAGCGAAGCACCCGTCTTGTTGTCAGGATACAGCGTTCAGAACGATAGTTCTAGCGATCCCGGAGAGGCGCTCATCGTGCGGGCAGTGCCACTTACCGATTTCGACACCAAGCTGCCGTTCTACGGCGACGGATCGATCGTGTTCAAGGACATCCGCAACCCAATTCTGGATGCGCTCATTGCCTCTGCTGTAGGTGGGCCCGAGAGTGTTTATGCAAATAAGACTCCAATCATCCACGAATGCATCCTCTCATGGTGTGTGCAGAGCATCAAGTCTTCGTACGACTGGGGTCGATACAGCGAGAACATCACATCAACCTACCTCAACAACGCCCCCGGACCCATAACATGGCCTTGGGAAACCTTCGAAGCAGACACTGGGACATTCATGCTATATGCGCAGAATATCACCATTGAACCACCAACGTCAAGGATGGCTCACTCCAACACCACAGTGTTGAACACAACGTATTCTCTCAACAACATCACTGCAGCCAACACAATGAACTTCTTCGATGACTTCTTTCCTTCGTACTACACCGCCGCCAACATCTCGGCAAGACCAAGACTACGATACAAGAATTATTACGATGGGCCCACTAGCCAGGAGCTTTTCTTTAACCCATGGGAAGCTCCTAACAACCTGACTCGTCATATGGAGAGGCTCGCGACAGCTATGAGCAACGTTATGAGGTCGTCCGCCAGCCGTAACATGGTTTTCGGCGCAGCGTACAGCCAAGAGAACTACGTGTCGGTTCGTTGGGAATGGCTCACTCTCCCACTTGGTCTTCTTTGCATCTCTTTCATTTTTCTGGCCGCTACAGTACTTAAGTCTGCCGTCGAGCGGGATCGAGTCGGGGTGTGGAAGACGTCAGCATACGCGACTCTACTTTATGGCCTACCAGATGAGATGCAGCAGAAGATCACCAGATCTGGTAGTACTGGAACTCCAAGAGCCAAGGCGAAGGAACTCAAAGTAAAGTTGCAACCCAATCATGGCTGGAGAGTCTCTGGAAACTTGTTCTCGCCATTTGTAACAAAACCTAAGACAAATCTACCTCCTCCCGGTTGGATCTAGGCTGCCCAGCAGACCTTGCGAGAAAAGAAATATACATCGTTGTACAAACTCAGCTAGCCTGCTGTCCATTCGTCCCGATTAAACCAATACTAATACTTTCGCCTAAAAAAATCCAATACTCTCAACGGATCCTACAAGAACAATGCCTCCAGTGCCCGTTGAACAAGCGAGCTCCTTGGATTGTTGCCAGAACCTGGACGAACACCTCTCATCTTGTGATTGTTTCCACTGCCCGGACGAACGCCTCTCGGCGTTTTAACGACACCTGGGCGGCCTCCGACCTTGGTGCCGCTGTCTGGACGTACTACACCCCTGGGGTTATTGCCGCCGCCTGGACGCACGCCTCTTTGGTTGTTGCCGCCGCCTGGACGCACGCCTCGTTGATTGTTGCCCTTCTTTGGACGCACACCCCTTGGATTGTTACCGCGGCCTGGACGCACGCCTCTTTGGTTGTTGCCCTTCTTTGGACGCACGCCCCTTGGGTTGTTGCCGGAACCTGGACGCACACCTCTCGTCTTGTGGTTGTTTCCGTTGCCTGGGCGGACACCCCGAGCTGCTACCATAGCTTCGGGAATATCTCTCTTATCACCACTGAGACCATCGTTGCCACGAATACTCCTCTTACCACCACCCGCACCACTATTGCCACGCAGTCCTCTCTTTGTTGGATCAACCTCACTTGAGTCAACTTCAAGATCGATTACATCATCCTCTTCTTCTTCTTCAACAAAGTCATCATCTCCACCAACGGCTGGGGTATCCTCTGCATCGGCATCACGCTTGGTCTCGAAAACAATGTCGCTCAGCGCTTTCTCTGGGATTCTCTCGATGAGCGGATCGCGTTTGGAGACATATGAGCTTAGTTGGCTCACGACGTTGGCACTACGTTGCTGAATGGAGTTGGTCTTGAACATGTCAGCTATATCCTGGTCAGAAGACAACGTTGATCTTACCTCTTTTGTAGGCACAGGTGCGCCGATGACTGGAAGGAGAACGGACGCAAAGAGGAGGATGTTGCGGGCGTGCATGGTGTCAACCGAAGAGATCGATACCAGAGAAGAAGTGTTGCAAGTATGATGGTTGACTCTATGTGCTCTTGGTCAGGCAGGGGTGAGCTTCAAGATTGATGGTACACCTGTGGTTGTTCTGCGATCGATATGAGTTCAAACTAGGGACTCATCGATGCATTTATCCATCGTCCTGGATCCAAAGCGACATCCATCTATCGTCCGTCACACGACAGGCTCATCTCCACCATCCCTCCACGGCGCTTCAGCCCGCTGAGATTTCACGCTGATAACCGCCTTGGAGGCCACCGACGCGACGCACGCTGCATGAACCGGACATGCTTTCTGATCGTCATGGGTGGAGGTAGCGCAATCATTGGAAGAGAACAGGGAAGGCATGAGTGTCGGAGTACAGATTCGGCAAGGTGAAACGCAAAGGCCAGGACAAGTGATGCGCAAGGCGTCAGGCCGGGAGCTTGTGGTGGCCCGAGAATGCGTCGCAATGGATCAGGAGGTTTCTGCGGTTTTCGTCACACCGAGATATCACATTCGAAGCGCTCAAAGAGCAGGGCTTTCTACAAGGCGACTCTACACAGTCGAGCACCTGTAAGTACGATTCATCACCCGTACTTCCTGCAATTCTCATCAAGTGCAAGAACGAATTCTAACCAATCGAAGGGATTTCATGGTGTGATGTGGCTTGGCGGCGTTTGAAACCTGCCCCTGGAGTCGAAGCGATTGGTCCTACACGATCGGTACCTTACGCCAATCAACCGCTCCCGTGACCTAGTCGCAAATTGTTCGTACACGTGACCTACCCAGCGCTACGCTTTTGTCAGTCTCTTCCATCGAGATCGATAGAGTATCGATGAGTTCGGTTCGCAAGATGAAGTTATATGTTCGAATTCAAATCTCCTTTGTGTGTCGTAGATTCATCATCCTCTCTGGCAGCCAAGATGAACTCGTATTTGCTATATTTCTATGGATTGAGGCGCCATGTTCAATTAGCAGGGTTTCGATAATGTTGACAACTTTGGCTAGATCTCCCGACAATTCCCAAGCCCAATTTGTGATGGAACGATTTTCATCTGTACAAATTCTTCCGTAGCAACACGACTCTGCATTCGACATCGAGACAGCCAATGAGTTAAGGTACGGTGATGGTTGACCAATCGCGTGGAACGACTAAGCGCTAGACTTCGACACTGACGTTATGTCGAAGCCCCAAACATCTGCCTTACAGAGATCACCCATGATGCGGCTGCATCTTCATCTTCACTTCCGCTGCAGTGTTGCGAGGGATACCATGCAACACACGCTCGGCGAGCTTCTCTCAACCACCATGCGCATGTAATCACATAGTTTATGCAATGTGATATCAACCACGCAGGGGGTTTCGTCCTTCGTGCATCCCGATACCAAGGTTTCTCTAACAGCCTCGATGTACGCAGCCGTCTCAGCGACCACTTCAGCTTCCACATGCGATCATGGCCAAGCAATGCCGCGTTCATGATGTTCGGTCGCTTGATACCTAGGTACGGTTCCAAATTGTCTTTTGAGTTGACGGTAAGCAAGCGCGAGACACTTATCGCTTCGTTGTGTATCCGTTGGTAGTACCAATCGCGGATGTCCGGGTAGGCCTGGACGGTAAACTAGTACTGCGTGTACGAACGGCAGTACTACGTGGTCCCATGAGCTTAACATCACCCTGTCGAGACATGCACAAGCCCGTATCCTCTCCTACGTCATGAGACTCATCTGTGTTTGCGTGGGATATCTCTCTATCATCTTATAGAACTCAACCGGGGCATGCACTTCCTCAGCAAAGCTGCACTCGGTCAACGTGCCGCGAATGGGTTTCACCTGCAAAGACAAATCATCTCCGATGATGATTTTTTCGTTCAGATTCTTGATGAACCGGGACAGATGCGGTAGCAATAGCCCTTCGGAGCCCTGATATTTCTGCCAGCTGCAGTTTTGCCTCGCTTCAATTCCAAAATCACGTCCCATCTGCACAACATGACCGGCATACTACCTAAGTAGGCATGAAGTAAAGAGCGCAATTTTCTGGAATTATCAGGTCATGGGTACACAACCATCACTTTGAAAAAATCTAGGTGTGCTTTAGTTACAGGCACGGCTGAGATAGTATAGAATCTGAGGCTCACAAGGTCCTTGGGGTAGCTTCGCTCCAGGGTTCGCTTCCCAAGGTCGCGCCCGCCAAATTCAGGCCCCACCCCCTCGCCTGGAACAGGCCGCCTTGCGCTCTGCCTAGCGTTCACCCACAATGACAGCTCAACTCCAGCGCTTAACTACTCATTGTACTTGCCACTCCATGTGGCTCTTAACGGTTCAATACGCAGTAGCGGCGGGAATGCCACACCTCGGCGCTACCACGATCTAGGCCTCACGGTTTGATTATCCCTTATCGCCGCGAAACCCGCTGTGGGCGCTAAATCTCCCGCTCTGACAGGTCTAACAATGATGTCGAGCGGTGTAGGAGACTTCCCCATCGTCAACCTCAAGTCGTTAAACACACCTGCATGCAGACCTGGTGATCATCAACTGCTCTAGAAACTGAGCCTAGAACTGTGCTGCGCTTTCTACGCGAGCGGCAGAACGTTCGGCGGTTAAGCGCTCGATTATTGATCGAACTGACATACTACAGGTGATTAACAATGTTGGAATTCAGCACAGCTTTTAGTGCGTCACCTCCTGACCGCTCAGGTGTTCTCGCAATCCTATCAACAGACTACGCGCATAATGACACAACCACACGGAAGACTGCTACCCCTTACACTCGTGGAATCGCAACATTCATACTCGTCATCGCCAAATGAAGGTCCCAGCATACCACCTCCACCGTCCTACCGAGCATCCATTCGCGAGAAAGGCTCTCTCGATTTTCCAGGGCGGATCGAGCAGAAGTTAGCGCAATACAATGCGTCACAGAACATATTCAAACGTTGGCTATTTGAGATTATTAGTGTGGGAACAAGCGCTATCTGCATGGGTGAGATTCCCGTCATCACGGCCTGGTGCGTACGTCTTCTAACGACGAAAGCAGGCGCGATTATTGGATTACTATATTATCTACATGACCAATCCTTCGACAAATGGCCTCCAGGCTTGACCATCATCACAGTTCTTTCGAAGATCGCATCTGCAGCACTCATCCTACCCATATCGGAGGCCATCGGACAGCTAAAGTGGACATGGTTCCACGGGAAGAACTCCAGAGATCCTTTCGACTTCGAGATCTTTGATAAAGCATCACGTGGCGCATGGGGGTCATTCATGCTCTTGTGTCGTACTAAGGGCAAGTCACTTGCTGCTTTGGGTGCCCTAATAACAGTTCTATTACTTGCGATTGACACTTTCTTCCAGCAAGTAACAGATCTGTCAGAGCGCTGGAAACTGCAGGGCGAAAGCTACATTCCACGTGTCGTCCGATATGAACCTATTATGGAGTTCCTCTACGACACGAGTTTCGACAACAACAATCCATCATCGATAGTGAACACCGATCTTAAAACAGCGTTGACCCCCTTCTTTTACGACAAGAACGGCACTTCGCCTCTCAAGATTGGGAACGCTACCCAGGCCCAGATACCACTAGGATGCCCTACGAGCAATTGCGAATGGCCGCCTTACGAGACTTTGGCGGTTTGTAGCGCTTGTGAGGACATATCGCACCTGCTCGAGTACGCTTGTCTCAACATGGGAATGGATTGGATCAAGAATTCGACTGGCCCTAAAAGAAAGGAACCTTATCCAATAGGTAAGTATGCCTCTCGGTCTTCAAGCACGTTCGTGCCCAACGGGCGAGCGCTGGCTAGTCCCTCGCATGGGTCTTGGCTGGCAGCGTGCAGCAGCCGATTCAGACCAATCTCAGGCCATCCGCTAATGACACGTACTACAGGCACTGCTTGCGGCTACTTCCTAAACGCCACTGGTGAAGACCCCGTCCTCATGTCAGGCTTCCGCGCTGAGAATGGCACCGACTCGTTGCATGGAGAGACCCTCCTCTTGCGAACACTACCGCTGGTTACGAACCCTTCCAGGCATTCACTCTATGGGGGGACCATAAACTTCAAACACATACAGTACCCTATATTGGACGCGCTGATAGTCAGTTCTTTTGACGGTACTGCGGACAGCGTTTATGCGAAGAAACCTCCAGTCGCCCAAGAGTGTATGCTATCATGGTGCGTCGAAACGCTTCGCTCGTCTTATGCGTCGGGAGACTATACGGAGCAAGTGGTTGATACCTTTATGAATACTACCAGCGCGGAATGGCCATGGTGGACTGAGGACTTCTACGAGCAACAGACGACCTTTACCGAGTTCCGATCAAACATCAGCATACATCCCCCATCTCAAGACAACAGCGCCATTCCTTTCGGTGTTTCGAACGACACAATTCTGGACCTAGCTATGATTTTCGATGAGATCTTCCCTTCCTTCATCACAGTCGCCAACGCGACAGCGCAACCCTTTGTGAAGATCAGGACTGCCGCTATCGACAGGGTCTATTCCCGTCTTGTTCGCTTCAGCCCTTGGCTCGCCCCCAATAATGTCACCTTCCACATGCAAAGAATGGCCCGGACACTCACCAACGTAATGCGGTCAGACATGAATTCTAATGAACTTGTTATTGGGGATGCACGGGTGTTAGAAACGTATGTCGCAGTTCATTGGCCATGGCTCATCTTTCCTTTGATCATGTTGCTCTTAAGCATTATTTTTCTGGTTGCCACCATGCTGAAGACTTCCAGCGTTGATCACGGCGAGATCGGTATGTGGAAGACTTCTGCAATGCCGACATTGATGTACGGTCTGCCACAAGACATGCAGAAGGATGTTCTCTCCTCCACAAGATCTGGGGGAGGATCAGATAAAGGTCTTCGCAAAGTCCGTATCAAGCTCTTACCAAAGCAAGGCTGGAGAGTATCTGGGCACGTACATTCTGCACCGAAGGCCCCTCCAGGTTTCATATAGCTAGTACACAATGCTCATGGTACATACATCCATACGACGAACCCCTCCAAATTGTCACTAATAGCAAGGATCTGTACTGGACTGATGCCCGGACTGAGTTCGCTACAAACCGCTAGGAGACATATTCTATGTCCGATGCTGTAATCAACGCTGTGCACGTGACTTTCTGATCTTCAGGCGTATCGATACAGAGCAGAGGGAAACCGTCGAGGCATGTATTGGTAGGGTACAGCGCGAGTGTCATAAGGGGATAATAGAAGTCGCATCGCATCGCATATACACTGTTAGATCCTGATAATGATGAGACAAGAACATTGAAGACCATGTTTAATTTTACCTATATTACATCTTGCAAAGGATACATGCGACAGGAGTTCTGTTGTTTACTGGTGGCGTCATATCCAGAGCCAATCTCCCTTGCTGGGCCATGATCCCGCCAACGCCGCCTCCTGGCCCCGCCTGTTCTTGTCCCAGCCTCATCTTTGAGATAAGACTCACATTCTTGACCCCACTGGACGACACCTACGTCTTCTCACTGCATCTTAAGTCGCTCAGTTTAGTTGCGCAATGTTTCCACGTCGCTCACTTCGCTCGGCAGCTTCCAGTCAGTCGGTATGCCGCAGCGCTAACAGCAAAGCTCCCATAGGTGCACGATAACGAAGCGCACGCTCAACGTCAAACTGGCGGACGATCAACTTAGCGCCACGATTCTGCCATGTCCAAAGGCATACCCGCAGCTGGCAGTTCAAGATGTGTAGCTCCTTAGGCGCCGATGCGCTGTCGTCCCGCTCTCGAGCACCGATCGAACGACCGTTTCTTCCGCAAGACAACTCCCTTCACGTTTCGCGTTGTTCAATACGGCCCGATCCTCATCGATACGAATTTCACCGAGATGGCTTCCCTCCCAAACGCAACATGGTATCAACTTCCGTGGACACAACGACGTGAACGATACAGAGGACAACATACGCCAGGATCGCGCGACTCTTCAGACGACGCGAAATCGTCGCTCGACTTCACGCAACGAGTCGAGAGAAAGTTAGCCGAGTACAACGCTTCGAACAATGTCTTTAAGAGATGGCTGTTTGAGATGGCCAGTTGGTGCATCAGTGCGGCATGCATGATCGCAATTATATGCATCTACCTTCAGATCAGTGACCAGCTCCTGTCTACAAGCGGATCATACCTCACACTGGCCAATGTGCTCGGAAAATTATCTTCAGCTGCCTTGATCGTCCCAACCTCAGAAGCGCTTGGGCAACTGAAATGGAACTGGTTCCATGAGTCCAAAGCTATGTGGGATTTCGAGATATTCGACAAGGCTTCCAGAGGACCGCTTGGTGCCTTAATGCTACTGTTCCGAACAAAAGGTCGTTCGTTGGCTGCACTAGGCGCACTACTTATCGTCTTGCTCCTTGCGATTGACACCTTTTTCCAACAGGTCGTTACTTTCCCTGATAGATGGACCCAACACCAGACTCCTGGAGAGATACCATACGTAATCCGTTACGAGCCTCCCTACCTCATGGAGTTTCAGGGTGGATGGGAAACTAGCGTCTATAATACCGACCTGCAGCCCGTTGTCCAGCAATTTCTTTACAGAAATGGCAGCAAACCTGTTCCGTTTGGCACAAATTATCGTCCCGACATTCCTCTGTCTTGCCCTACTAGCAACTGCACTTGGCCAGTGTATGACACACTTGCTGTCTGTAGCAAGTGTACCGAAGTAAGCGAACTCTTGGACATTACCTTTACGTGTTTGGAAACAGCTTTAGATTGGAGCACGGATTTCGAAGGACCTCTTTCTGATGTCCCTTATTCCCAAAAGAAGATGTGTGGGCATTTTCTGAACTCGACAGCGGATCTTCCAATCTTACTCTCGGGATATACTGTCGATACCGACAGGGACGAGATCCCTGACGAAGCTTTGCTGCTTAGAACGATCCCTCTCACGGCATTTCTCACCAAGGCACGTCTTTATGGTGTCGGCTCGGTGGCCTATAAGAATATACGCAACCCAATCCTTGATGCCTTAATAGCCTCCGCATCTGATGGACCAGAAAGTGTCTACCAGAATAAGACGCCTACGGTTCATGAATGCGTCCTCTCCTGGTGTGTCCAAACTATCGAATCATCCTACGGCCTGGGTGGATATAATGAGCACATCATCTCATCGTACCATAATACCACTTTTGGACCAAGTCCGTGGATATCGTTCGACATTCCCGAGGAGGAGGGTGGTGGAATCTGGATTCAATATAAGGAAAACATTACCATCATACCCACCAACACTAGTTCTCAACCTGTCAGGCCGAACGGCTCAGAGCTCGAATACGGCGCCAGCAACGTGTCCGTTTCGGGCGTCATGGGCATCTTCGATGACTTCTTCCCTGCTTCATACAGCGTCAAAAATGTTTCTGCAATACCTAGACTCCGGTACAAGAACTTCCCGGGCGGACCTTTCCAGCGCTATATCCCATGGACTCCTTGGATGGCGCCCAACAATATAACGCAACATCTTGAAAGACTCGCTACGGCGATGACGAGTCGAGTAAGATCATCTGATAGCAGTGAAACGCTCATGGGCGAAGCATTCTACACCGACAAGTACGTCTTGGTGCAATGGGAGTGGCTCATCTTCCCATTCCTGCTCTTAATGCTCGCTATCGTCTTTCTGATTTCTACGATGATCAAAACATCCAAAGATACCTCTACCGGTATCTGGAAGACATCTGCTATGCCGACGCTCATCTACGGTCTACCGAAAGAGGCGCAAAAGGAAATGCATCCCTCTTCGTCATGGGATAGCGCACATGAGAGCAGCAAGAAGCTTCGCATCAGATTGTTGCCCAAGTCAGGATGGAGGGTATCTGGCGTCAGCCATCTAAGCACGTCGCCACAGCTGCCACATCCTGCTGTTCAGGCACCACACGGTTGGATATGAAGCGGGCTGTGTATGATATATGATATGGATGTCATTTCAACGACAAATCAGAACTTCCATACTAGATGCACATTGAGAACTATTATATATTGTGATCTGTCAACCCATCAAGCAGTCAAAAGTATGTCTAGCGATGCTACTCTATCCGATGCATGAAGCAAGATTTCATGGAACTGCCTAGACCTACCGGATAAATATGTGTGACGAAACCCACAGAAGTCTCTTGAAATGCTGGGGGACGGGTGAAGTGAGTAGATGATGGAAGGTGGCACTATGCCCAATTCGGTGCACGCTTGGACCAGACTACAACTGCTACAACAGTTTGCTATCGCGCAGATTTCTCTCGTCTCCAGTGCACATCATGGCGTCCAACAATGGAACTCCTGTGCCCTCAAAATTTACAATCGGTCGATCAAATCGACTTTCGCAAACCCCCAATCTGACTTCGAACAACACGACTTCGATCCATTCACACCAGACCACGAATGCGCCCAGCTGTGTTGAATGCGGCGTCAAATGCCCAAACTGCTCGTTCCCGCGAGCGCCGGCGGTGAAGCATAACGAGAAGAAGAATGCGCAACTGCCCGAACCCGACTTGGTGTCCAACGATGATCGGGTGTCACCTGGAATGGTGGACTTACCTCGGCCTGACAATCCGAATGCGCGCCCCGTTGTCGATCAGACTGAGATTGAGGGAGACAAGGATTGCAGCAATCTTCACATGAAGGAAGAAGACAAGAAGGGAGAAAACGAAGACAAAGATGACGCCAAAGTGGAGTGGTCGAAATACGTTTCAAAGCGACTCTACATGATGGCACGAACCGACCCCTCATCCATGACAGCGGCAGAATTCGAGCAATTCAATGAGCAGGGGCTAAAGCATCAATACGACAAACACTTCAATCCTCATGAGCGAACCTTGTGGGACGACGAATCTTTGCCCCGGGACTTGACACTAAAGCTCATCCATTTCCGCCAACGTATCGAGCGCAATGCAGCGGACGCCTTGGAGACAGAGGACAAGGACTTGCATTGTGATACCCAAGACTTTGACCGACTGAGGAGCTTCTTGGCTGACCTTCATATCGATGCCTACGAACTTGTCGCCGAAGACCACGAGCGCGAAGTGAAAGAGATGGAAAAGATGCAAGAAGCCGTCGAACGTGAGTCCGTAGAAGAGGAATATGAGTCCGCAGAGGAGGAATATGAGCACCCAGGGGAGGATGACTTTCGCCCTCCTTACTCCGACCGATCTTGATACCTACCCGCCATGGAGCGCGATTACCCGACTTCGATGCAGCACCCCCCATACCCACCTGTGAACTACAATGGTCAGAATACATACGGGCAATTCGACTTTTTTGGGCAGAACCCAGCTCAACAAGACAATTGGAGCGGTGACGCTTCTCAGTCTGGCCGAGGCGAAACTACCTACAGCGATTGGAACGGCCCTCCTTCGCCAAAGGAGGAGACGACACAGTGGTAGGGTCTGTTCAAGCGCAACACTAGTTCCTTCTAGTCCACGATACCGGCTCTGCTGATCCCACGCATCGATACGATCGACGCATCATACTGACTTCGGTCGGTCTACGATACTGACTTTGGTCGGTCTACGATACTGACTTTGGTCGGTCTACGATACTGCCTTCGGTCAGTCTACCATACTAACTTCGGTCGGTCTACCATGCTAGCTTCGCTAGTCGCGATACGCATCAAGGTGCGTCACGATGCTACACGATGCACGCTGTATATAGTCTTGGTATATATCGTTCAATCAAACGGTTCCCTGCCTACAAAAGAACACTATGTGTGATGCCTATCAACGTTACAATGAAGTCTTGTTACGTATCAACTGTAGGACTTGATCAAACCAGACTTATTCAAGTTTGCCGTTTGGTTTAGCACCAATAACAGGGGCCTCTCTACCGACGGAGACCATAGAAGGCAGGTCAGATTTGTAAACATAAGCGACTATGGAGTCGCAAAGACAATGCACAGGGTAGTATTAGGGTCCTATACAGCAAGAGAACTGTATACATTTTTGAAAGCCCTTGGATCGCTTAGGATGTGATTACTTTGTGTGATGAAAGTTGTGAGGAGCAGCTTGTTGCATTGCGACGCATTCCTGGTCTCAGGCTCACGTGACTGGGTTTCAGCCTGCCTGATTCGTACCACGACTGTCATGCTCTCTAGTCTTCTTCCAATCGTTGTATGAATCGCAAAAACGCCATCATCCTGCGTGCCTAGATAATGCAATAGACTCCTCATCAGTAGTTTCCGAGGCGTTCATCAGGGTGAGGCGTAGTCAACGATCGAAGCGCCACTACATGCGTAGTGGTAACGAGCATGGCGTGTGATATCCTAAATATCTTCGTACTTGGTGAGCCTGATTTATGGATGAAGCCCCAGGCGACTCCCTTCGCTGTTGGCAATAGCTTCATCAACTGAACCACTACCAACCCGCATCGACTTCCAGTTCTTATAGACATCTGAGTCTTAGATCAATACTCTTCCTTCCCGGTCATACCAATATGCGCGTATAGGCAGTCACAACGCTTCTTTCCTTTTCTCTTGCTATCCTCTCGGCACCTGTCCCAGACGCCGAGGCAATTAATCCCGCAGTCATATTCCCAGGTCTTCGCTCACAGTGTATAGACATCCCTTCATGATCTCTCGTCTGCTAGCGCAGGCCATCGATGAGATGCAATCCCTGTGACTCTCATCGAGCCCCTGGAAGCAAGCAGCCAGGTCGAAGAGGGTCCTATTGAAGCTCAGAGCAGGATCAATACAAGCACCGGACGAGGAAACCGAGATGCCGAAGCCGAGGCTGAGGTTCAAGCCCTTGAGGCACGCCTCAGTTCCGGGAGTAAGACAGGTAACCGTGCACGGGATGCAGATGAGGAGCTCATCAAGCGAGCTATCGGGTTTCCAGCAGGTGGCTCGACCGGAATACGTCGGGATGCTCAGGGTCTCAAGTTCAGCAGCCCTGGTGGTCATCGACGAGATGCGGATGCAGAGGCCATCGAGCGATCTAGCGGACTTCGCAAGGTGGCTCAGACACCGATAGCGTCGCTATCTCGAACGAGGCCCTGGTCGACCGTGGTCGCATTGTCCAATGGCCCCGCACGCGCGATGCTGAGGCATCAAACGACGTGGTTGCGCGTGAAAAGGGGGTACCGTGGACTCCTAAGCGTGGCAAGGTGGTGCCATGGATCCCCAAGCGCGATGCTGAGGCAATCAAGTTTAACAGCCCTGGCGGCCATCGACGAGAAGCCGAGTCCATCAAGCGATCTTTCAACTTGATAGAAGGTGGCCCGGATACCGACGGCATCGCTATATCGAATGAGGCCCTGACCGAACGAGGCCACAATGTCCCACGGGGAAGCAAGCGCGCCGCGGAGCCGGCAGATGACTTGGTCGAGCGAGGCCGTGGCTCACGTTGGGGTGGAAGTAAGCGTGGCCTTTCCAGAAACCAGAATGGAGGAAGCAAGCGAGGCCTTACCCCAGGTCGTGGCGGCAGCCGTCGTCATGAGGCTGAGCCCATCAAGTTCAAGAGCTCTACTAGTCATCGACGAGAGGCCAAGACCATCCAGCGATCTCTCAAAAATCCAGGAGGCGGCAACGTTGATGATGCTGAGCGGACCAAGCTCGGCAGCCCTGGCGGTCATCGACGCGAAGCTGAGCCAGCAAGATGGGGTGGCACTAGTCGCCGTGAAGCTGTACCAGACACCATCGAGGCCCGCCAGAGAATGAGCGCAAGCACTGGTCTTGGCCGCCGACGAGATGCCATCCCAGGATTCGTTCGTCTAGGCAAAGGAATCCGCCCAAGAAATGTCACCGCAGAGACAGTCGAGGCTCGTACGAGGTACAGAGGCAACAGCTGTCGTGCTCGATCGATGAGGCCAGAGGATTCAAACGGATAACTTTCACTTCTTTTATCGTTGCGAACTCTTTCTGTACAACAAGAAGGGCTTCGGATACCCTCAAAGACCTGCTGGACACCAGGCGAGGGGTATCTAGTCATCCTATATTACTTTCTAGTGAAACACACATACCCCCATACCGATTGTTTTCGCGAATGTTGTGGTGTCAAAGGCGAGTCATGGTTTCTAAAAATCCTACAGCTCATGTTAGGGTTGAATTTCACCTTCAGCTCTTTCGCTTTTGCTCTTCGAGCGCTAGACCTTCCCAGTCGGTGCACCGTTCTCTCATATCGTCGATGTTCCCTACAATAACATTAAAATTGTCGAGTTCTTCGAGACCCCCTGCGCGAAGTGTCGCGTAACCTTTAAGGTGCGAGGTTCAAATGGTCCAGAACGCAGCATAAACCGGACCTGGAGTCATGAAAATATAGAAATCTGATTCAAAATGTACATTAGTTCGAAAGAACCTCCACGATGTTATCCCAAAAACCCAAATCATACACGTTCTCCACCGCCGCTAGACTCCACACGCGCTCAAAGCTATCTTCTCTAGCCACTGACTGTATGCGGCTCGGGAGCGTTTTGGGTGGTTGCCCCGTTCGCGTGCGGATGAGTATGTGTCTGCTTTCGAGCGGCCAGGTCGTTGGTGGCTCTTCGTCTTCTGGCGGGGTTTCCGGAGGAGTCGGGAAGGGCGACGTTGACGAAGAAGAATGCGCGGAGGCATGTGTGTGTTCCCGCGCAGGGGTTGCTGAGCGGTATTCCTGCATGGTATCTTCCCGCCTATGGCCCAAGAAAACGACGCCATCGGCCATGTCATCTCGCCAATCTGCCCACTTTGCGCTCTCGTTGGTGGTCATACCAGCCCATATCAGGTAGACGTGGTATGCGAGCAGACCCAACGGAAGCGGCCAAGTGAGGAGAGCCAGCAGGCCGACTCCAGACCCGCGCACACCGCCCATGTCGAGGTAGATCGTCGTGTAGATGAGAAAGTAGTGCGTCTTCCTGTCGAAGAATACATACCAGCTCTTCGTATTTACGCCTTGCTTGGGGCTGTATCTATACCATCCTTCATACTTCAGGTAATGTCTGTGGACCAACGGCGAAAGACTGTAGTAGGCCAGATATGCGCCATACGCGATCAGAATGCCGGTGGATAGCAACAGAGCTAGAAACCACTTGTAGTTGCCCCGTCCTAGGCAGTTGTTGACCCATATGCAATGATGATCCATCCTCGACACGCATGTCTTGCATATACTGCAATGCTTACTCCGCGCCGGCTTCAAGAACTTGCATGTCCGGCATGGCGTGCCTGGATAGTATAGCACCCGGTCATATGGGTAGTGTCGCATCTGCTCGGCATGATTGAGTGTGGTGATGTATGTCTGATCGTTGCTCTTGGCGCTGAGATACAAGAAGATGTACGGCTGCGGCAGCAAGACGAAAGCTAGGAGTTTGTGATGCGGTCGGATGAGGTGCCAAACAGTGGGCAGGAACATCGTCGCGCATGCGGTTACGAGGCCGAGGAAGAAGATGACGACCAGCGGGTGCTTATCGTGCATAAGGTAGTTGCCCAGGCGGGAGCCACCATTGGTGATGCGGCCATTGGTGAGGGTGAGGTCGAGCTTTCGGAATGCAGAAGGGATGTGGATGAGGAAGAGGCGGTTGAGGAAGCCTATGGGCGTGTTCCTGGGGGTGTTAGAGCGAGAACTTGAGTATGGAGTGCCGTAGATACCTGAAAGCTGGCAGTCGTCCGAAGAAAGCTACAAATGTCACCAGCGACACTGTGATGGTGAAGATGATAATGGTGCGGGCGACGGTCATGGTGAAAGAGACTTAGAGACTGCGACACTACGCATGGCGGAACACAGAAGGAAGACGCGAATCGAAACTATATCGCATCACTTCGCGCTCTGTTTGTCAGTTCACGGAGGTGACAGCGACAAGCGACGGATAGGGCTGAGCGAGTCGCGGAGGCTAAGCGACCCCGCGTGAATCATGCGTGCCATGTGAGCACGCGTCGCAACGCGTCATTCTCCAGCACCAGAACTCGTCAACACCACCCCACCATGGCTGGGCCGACCGTAGACACCGACATCGCGGGGGATTTCGGTTTCGCATCAGGCGAGCAATTATTCGCCGGCAAGAAGTTCTGGGTGGCACAGCGCGTAGCGTCGCGGAAACGGCTGCTGGACGACATAAAGGCCAACGGCGGAGAGGTTGTGGCACTAGAGAAGAAAGCAGACTACCTAATCGTCGACCACGCTCGGAGGGACTGTCCACCCGGATCAACATCGTACGAATTCATAGAAAAGTCCATCAAAGATGGAGAACTCCAAAATCCCGAAGACTACACAGCCGGACCGCCGTTAGGGGAGGCGCGAGAGGCTGGTTCCATCCACCAACCCACCAAGAGCGGAAGGACATCATACACAGCAGAGGAAGACAGGATGCTCTACAAATGGGTGCGCGACGCCCAATCCAAAGGCGCTTCCGTCGGTGGGAACGAGCTATACAAGCAGCTCGAAGCCAAGGTATGCGCCAACAAAGAAAACGCGCGTGTGAGTGGTCGCTAAAGAACGACAGTACCCACGGCATACATGGCAGTCATGGCGCGACCGATGGGTCAAGACACTCAGTAAACGTCCGCTCTCGGCTTTCACGATACCCGATAACGCTCCTCCGTCTCCTCCTTCTGATCAGTCGAACGAACGTATGCCCCCAGTTCCAGCCCCCTCCAAGCCTACAGAACACCAAATACCTAAAACAGAACAGGCTCCGAGTGCGACAGCCCTCGATAAGAAAAGCACGTCAAGAGCGAACAACGATTATAGCGTGGAAGAGTTGGAAGTCATGTTCAGCACAGATGACTGGCTAGAGTGCTATGCTTTTGTGGAGATCATCGATGGCGTGGAAGGACAAGACGATTACGATACTGCTTGGGATGGATGGGCTGAAAACCAGGGCAACCAAACCGCCGAGCAGTGGCGGCAATATTACGAAAAGGTAGTCCGTCCACAGTGGTTGCGCGATCCGGTATCGAAAAGAGAAAAGATCAGGAAGAAGATGGAGGAGAAACATGATGCCGCAAATGCAAGCCAGAGTCAGGCGCTGAGTCAGCAGCCAGCAGAGATCGAGAAACCAGACGAAACAGTGCCACGCCCCCCTCCAACAGCACGAGATGAAGTAGAGCCTGTACAGCCGTCAGCTCCTGAGGGCGATCGCTTCAAAGAACTACTGCCAGACAAGAAAATCGACAAAATTTCTCCCGCCTATACTCGCTACGCCTTGGCAAAGAAGCAAGATACGCTGAACGTGCAACCAGCCCTAGATCGTGGTAAGTGTGTCCTATTACGCTCTCTACACTGTCACTCACCGAGAAAACAGCTGCGATGCATGAGCTCTTGCTAACTCAGTGGCGATCGCTCTCAGCAGAAGAAAAGGCACCTTACATTGCCGAAGACAAATCGGTCACCAAAGAGACATTGGACGATTTGAGAAACTTGCCCAAGAGCGCATCAGAATCCAAGATGCCGTCATCTTCCACTGCTCGCCAAGAATCTCCGAACTTTTACGATGAGCAACTTGCGAGGTTCACGAAGCGCTTACGAGAAGACGACTTCGTGGAGCAGGACGAGGAGGTGAAAATAGCGCCGCCTGCTAAACGACGGAAGAGCAGAAGTACAACGCCTGCCCAAGAAGAGCCATTGCAACCGATCAAAGCCGAGGGCACGCAGAACCAGCCCGTGGACATATCTTCTGCGGCGAGTTCCCAGACTAGTTCAACATCAGAAGATGCTGAAGAGCTGATGCAAGAGCAAATCCGGTCCCAAGAACTCGATGGAGTGGATGAAGATGCTACCATCGTCAATTTTGATGCGGATCTAGACGAGAAAGAGGTCGAGAGTATAGAGTCAGATGAGTTCCCTGACATTGATGAACTACACTCACCCTCACCACCGCCAGAGCAAGACTCGGTATCTGGCGATGATCTACCCTCAAATACACCTACACCACGTGCCACCCGACAAAAGGTTTCTAATTTCGATACTCAAGCCATCCTCTCGTCGCCGATACCAGACAGGTTCTCAAGAACACAAGAGTACGTCCCCAACATGAAACCTCGACAAGAGCAGCGATTCTCATCGCTACCCGAACAACCACCATCCGACGCATCAACAACCCAATCCATGGAAGAGTTCCGCCGCTCTCTTCAACAAGAAGGAGAAGAAGAAGAAGAAGACCCAGACCAGACCCTCTACTCGCAGCATCCCCCTCAACCACTCCTCATATCCTCATCCCCCGCACCTTCCACTTCATCCACAGGCTCGGAAGACCCCGACCCACCCCTCACAGGCGACGAAATCATCGATTTCTACACTGAACTAAACAAGCAGAAATGGTCCGACGAATTCATCAGCAGAGCACTAAAACGCACAAGTCTACGCCCTGACCTAGCAGAAAAGGTCCTCGATGCATGGAAGGTTGGAAAACCTTTACCGATGCAAAGAGGTATCTGGAGTAAAGAAGATGACGAGGCTGTTGAGGGTGGTGATGGGCATCAACTAGCAATATTGGAGAAGAAGCATACGGTGGATGGGTGGGGTGGGATTATGGAGAGGTTGAATTTTTTGGAGACGTATCGGAGTCGGTAGGGGAGGTTGTTTGGACTTTGGGGTGGTTATCTCTATTACTCTTATTCTGGTCTTGGACGGCATGGAGTCGACTTTCAGAATGGCGTTTCGCAACATCGGATCAGACGTTCGTATATACCCTCAGCGCAGTCTACATGGCCTGGCGGTTCTCCAGTAGCAGAAGGTCATACCATCATTTTCTTCGATCATCAATGCCCAACCCAAGCCTGATGCGCCGGTGCATACCTCTCCCCCTCCGGCTTCGCCTGATCAACAATCCTCCTCATCTCCGCCATCTCCTCCTCACTCAACTCCACATCCCTACTCGCCCAGTTCTCCTCCAACCGCCCCACCTTCGTCGTCCCAGGAATCGCCATCATTCCCTGACTCGCCACCCAAGCAAGCGCAATCTGACTCGTCGTACACCCCTTCTTCTTCGCCAACTTCTTAATCTCCTCCACAATCGCTTTATTGCGATAGAAATTCTCGCCTTGGAACTTGGGCACTGAGCGCCGGAAGTCGTCTGGTGCGAAGTCGTCAGGCGACGCGTAGTCGAAGTTATCGACGAGCCAGCCGTGGCCGAGGGGGGAGTATGCGATGTAAGATATGGAGAGTTCAGCGGCGGTGGAGATGAGGTTGTCGGTTTCGTGGAGCGTTTCGAAGGCCGAGTATTCGGCTTGGATGGCGTCGATTTTGGCGATGGAGTTTGCCTTTCGGAGGGTTTTGGCAGAGCACTCGGAAAGGCCGATGTACTTGGTTTTACCTGCCTTGCGGCATTCGTCGAGGGCGGGGATAGATTCCTCTAGGGGTGTGTTGGGGTCGATGCGGTGGAGGTAGTAGAGGTCGGGTGTGAAACCTAGTCTCTCGATTGTGCCATCGATGTATTTCTTGATATGAGCTGGGCTGTTTGTTACACCTGATTCGCCATCTAGGCAAGCGATACCGCACTTCGAGGCAACTGGGGGTGGGAGGTTAGCGTTTCTGAAATCACAAGAACGAAATTCGTGGTAGGAAAGAAGGCTCACTGAAAACCTTGTCACGAACGTTGTGCTTCCGGATGAAATCTCCTAGAAGCTTTTCGTTCACACCGGCCTGGTACACGACGGCAGTGTCCCAGAAAGTGCAACCAAGTTCAATGGCTTTCAGAAGAACGGGCTCGGCTTCTTCAAGGCTGAGGTTGCTACCCAGTCCATGACTGAGACCCATGCAACCAAAGCCTGGGGACGGGACTTGGATGTCCTGGAACTGGAACGTCTTGACCATGTTGATGGGTTTGGTTGAGTTAGGATGAGAAGTTCTGCGGTAGAAGTCGAAGCTGTCGAGTTGGTGTGATACTGCATACTCCTCGAGCAAACGTCTCTGTTATATATTCCTACATAGAGATTCGGAATATGCTCGGTGGGACGGACTTCGAGAGTGTCAGCCAGTTGCATTAGCGGACCCATGAAATGTCGTGGATAAGAGTCGTTGAGTCGAATATCTCCGGTAAAGCCGCAACACTCTCATATCTCACGCACTCCGAGTAAGAGCTACAGTTTGACGGTGAAAAATCTGACGTGATGTCCCATTTGTTGTTGGATTGGCGTACGCAGAGAGGTTATGTCCGTTACCGCCGAGGTTCGACTGACATCCACATCCATGGTTTGAAGTATCGACATCTCGACCATGCCAATTGCGCAAGTAAGCCCTATATTCGCATGATTTGCCAATCGTGCCTGTTTGGGGTTCGAAAACAGCATGCGAATGATGTGGGTTGTGTTGTCTAGGCGGAGATGAGCTGTGTGGGAAGATGGCACCTGGCGCATCGAGGTTGATGAGGACGATTGAGCCACGCAGCCACAGCTTCAAGCCACTCATTACCAGCAATGACGTCGTCCGAGATGTGGATGCTGCAACCCTGCTTGTCGCGTGTGTGTCCCCTGAGAGCTGTCAAAGTGTCGACACAACTACGTCTTCGCGTCTCTGTGTATTTCGCCGCGATCCGATATCCCCGGACATCGCATCATCCTTGCGCCGATAATGAGGCACCGACTGTCAGCGCTGGCCTCGCTCCCACGCGCCTCCACAATCCCAGCCGCTCGATGCGCACCACTATTCACACGCAACTCCCCGCGGATATCAATACAGCTTAGGGCGTCTTCCCAATTCCGATGCTTTGCGACCAAGCCCAGAGGCGTGGACAAGGAGACTGACAAGTATGGAGATTACAGCAATTCCAATGCGCGGCCTGCGGCAGAGCTCAATGAGAACATCACACAGGAAGAGAAGGATCACTTCGCAAAGAAACTGAAGGAAGACAAGGGCAAGCAAATACGAACACCATGGCACAGGGAAGGAAGCGACCTGCCGCCTGTTGCGCGACAGAGGAGCGCTGGAGCCATGACCAAGGGTATGCCATATTCGCTGAATGGGTTACTTGATCACTAACAAGAGACAGGTAAACTTCTGACTACCCCATCGCGGATGCTTAAAATTATCCTGCCGCTTACGACGAGCGATATGAACACGGACCGCAAAGACGTAGAACCGCTAGCACTCCTCGTCCACCCACAGCAGCCCATTTCCTACCTCGAACGCCTGATACAAGCCGAGCTACCCACAATCAAAGACAGAGAGGGTCGTGAGCGCCAGCCGAATGTCTACTTCCGCGCTGAGGACTCAATGCAGCACGACGCTGAGCCGGGGGAAGTAGAGAGCACACCAGTCAGCAGCGAAAGCGAGAGTCTCAGCGAGAAAGACGGCGAAGAGGACTTTGAAAAGATCGATGAGATTCGTATTGACGGAAAGACACAAAAGACAGGGAAGCTCAATAGTCAAGATCGGAAGACACCTGAAGAAGCGGAGCAGCTGCGAGGTGGGCCTGGAAAGGGCGGCGTTGAGTCGTACTCCGGACAGGGTCAGGAAGCACCGGCAGACAAGCAGGGCGAACGCAAATTTGTGCGATGGTCTTCATCAACCGAAATTGGTGACTTTATCCGCGATGCTGCTCGAGGGCAGGAATTCGCCATTGAGATTGAAGGTGCGCCAGAGGAGATCCGGGTTGGTGTGCCTAGCTTCAACGACAGGACCTACTATCTACGAATGCGTCTGCGCAAGACGTCCAAGAAGATTAGTGAGATGGCGAGCGTGAAGAAGGAGTGCGATGATTTGGCGCAGGCGGCGGCAAAGAATGTTGCAAGAGCTGGTTTCGTAGGAATCGCTGGATGGTGGTGCGTTGTTTACTACCTCACCTTCCAGACAGAGCTGGGCTGGGATGTTATGGAGCCCGTCACAGTAAGTTTGGTCAAATTCTTAATTATGAGTCTATCTGACATTCCGAACAGTACCTCGTCGGTCTCTCTACCTTGATTGGAGGTTATGTATGGTTCCTCTACCACAACCGCGAAGTCAGCTACCGTTCTGCCATGAACTTCACCGTATCTCGCCGACAGCAGAAGTTGTACGCGCAACATAATTTCGATTTGCGTAAGTGGGAAGTCCTGATCGAAGACGGAAATGCCCTGCGCAAGGAGATCAAGGCTGTTGCCAACGAGTACGATGTTGAGTGGGACGAACTGCAAGAGGAAAAGGACGAGAAGGTCCAGGAAGCACTCAAAAAGGATCGCAAGAAGAAGGAGGAAAAGAAGAAGTCAAAGGACGACGAGGATGACCCGGCACCAGAACCGAAGAAGGACGACTAAGCCAAGTGAGCGGTAGTTTGTTGCACCAGCTCATACATATTTTGTAGGTTAAGCACTTGAGCGAGGCGTTCATGGGCATTTTCATTAGACAGCGCTTGCAGCATACTACATATCGCGGCCACATGTGGTTCTGCACCACGTATACATATTTGCCATTGAACAACACCTTTGATCATCTGATGGCGCGCCAGCTGGTTTGACATGATCAATCGTAGTTAGCCTGGTTTGTAGGCGGAGAACGCCCCGCTGTCATCTATAACGTGGTACTGTGCCGCCACTATACATGACCGCGTCTGGGGCTAACGCAGCAGTCAGACCTGGGTCTAGGAATGCACGATTGCCGAAAACCGTACTACTGCCATCAGCATGCAAGCAATCGCTTCCGCCCACGGTCATCTGTGTGTCTTTTGTCTTACACAATAGTCCATGATAGGATTGCGACACGACCACCAACTCGTAAAGGAATGTGCATCATCATGTATAATCGGTAGCCATGTCCACGTATGCGACGTCCGAGACAAGTGTTGTGTTGTGTTATAATTGGATTTGTTGCCTCCTCGGCCAGCGAAAAGCAACTCGGCACCAAGACGACTCGAGATGGCGGTGCATGGTGGTGTAGAGATTTAGGGTCCGCGTTGGGGTGGGCCGTTGCGCATGCTGGAGTGGGCCCACAGCGACTATTTATATCGCCCCGTGTGGGGATTTCTTCTTGGATACCAAGACGAACACCACAACGGCGGTCGCATGTTGGACAGGACGATCGACAGGTCACGAGGCTGTCCAAAATTCGCCCGGAATACATCGGCGGTTTGCAGCACATCTGGGATTGATAGTGCTTGTTCGGAGAGCTGCTAGATGGGTGCAGATATGGCCTGAGGATGGCGACCGTGTGGTGCCTGTTCTTTACTTAGCCGCCGACGTCTGGTCGCGGGCAGGGATGGTGCATATGGTGCATGTGGGCGTATGCATGAGGCGGCGCCCATTCGCTGGACAAGCAAGAGTCAAGCCTCGCTACAGGGCCAAACCTCCGTCGTCGAAGCTGCATCGAGTCTAGACGTGCAAGCCGCGTGCCCGACATGATCGACATCTCGTTGCCCGGCGTCGAATTGGCCGCCTTCCCTTCCATCCTCATCGTTGACCGACACACAGCATGACCCAGCACCCTTGCGCGCCTCGGCCTCTGCGTTCGCGTGCAAGGTGACAACGTCGAGAGTGGTGCAGCTCCCAACGCCGCCCCATCAAGTCTCCGCCGCTGGATTCGCTCGTACCACTGAGGAGCCGCTGAAGGCTTCGGCGCGGCACATTGAGCCAGCCCTAATTGATTTAGAGACATCGAAGGTTGATAGTGGCAGCCATGGAGCACGCCTACAGTCCTGCGCCGCCGTCTCCCCGACTGCCTCCACCACCGCCCTCACCGCATCCCGCCCACCTCCAGGCTCCGCAGATATCTCCCCGGCGCTTCGCTGTGCAACCTCCCCTCCTCAACACCACCCTCGCCCCGCCCCATCACTCCCCCCACTCGTACCTGCATGGCTCGTCGTCCACGCCGGGGACTTCCTCATCTCTGAGCCTGCCCTTCACGCCTTCCCCGACGCCCTCGACGTATGCGCCTTCTCCCAGCGCGGCTGCTTCTCCCATGGCTATGAGGGGCTCGGGTCCAGCCGTGCCATACAATCCCCAGCAATGGACGCGGGGTGGGAATGTCAGCGGGCAGCATGTCCAGCACAGCCAGACGTCGGTCCCTACGAGGCTCCAGGACGTGACGGGCATGGAAGGTATATATTACTTCCTTCCTCATTTGTCATTCTTTCATATCATACGTAGTAGATTGGATAGATTTCTTTTCGTCCTCCGCAAAGCATGAATCCCTGTGTGCCGAAGCCTTGTATCAATTGCGCAAGCTCTCCGTGGAAATCTCCCACGCATGATGAGATGTGATGCTAATGGCAACAGCGTCGATGCCCTCCCCACCGCCCCCATACTCTCCCGGCCAGAATCCGAATGTATCGCAGTCTCTTAGCAGCCATAGCAATACCTCGTCGCCTCAGATGTCTGCCGGCGCGTTTCCTCATCCTCCACCTCCCCCACCGCCGAATAGCACCCCGTCGTCGGCACGACCCATCTCTGGGTATCACAGCCGACCAGGATCTATGGTCATACCTTCTAGCGCGACGAGTATAACATCGAATCCGCAATTCCCACCTCCGCCACCCAGGAACGGACCTGGCCGGTCGGCATCGCGCGACAAACTGGCTTCCAAGTTTAGTCTATCGTCGTTTAGGAATCGAAACAATGACCATAGCCCTGCTCCGAGCAACATCGACTCACTCCATATCAGCACGTCAGATGCGATCCAGCGAGCACCAGCTTCTCCTGGGTTGGTCGCACAGAGGGCAACTTCCAAGTATGTCAGTGCACACTGTTGTACGATTCGATACTGACCTTGTCACAGTTACATTGCAAATACATTAGAACGGCGGTACAGCCCCGACACACAGTCGCCTATCCGGGCACCAACCTCTCGCAGAGCTGCATCTGCTGGCGTGCCAGGCTACGAGACCCGGACGCCTATTGACGAGTCGCCCATAGTCCCACCAGGAGGGAGCTGGAGTCGAAATGCGCCATTACCTCCGCCTCCGCCGGGCCCGCCGCCCAGCAGCTCAAGATCGCAAAGTATGGGCCCCGGGACAGAACCGCCAGCAAATCGAGCGCCTACGTTACCCTCCGCACCTCCAACGAGGAGGCCGGGGCAAACAACGCTGACACCGATACCACCTACACCCCAGGGCTGGCAGGACGAACCGGCGAATGTACGATCAAGGTCACCCGCAGCACATGGCCTACACATCGATACAAGTCCTCGCGCTGTTCATCTATCAGATCCTGCGCCAACGTCAGAGAGCGGGAGCGTTTCGATATCGTCGGGGCCAACGACAACTACTTCAGGTTCTAGCAGCACTCTCTACCGCACGAACAAACGGGAGACGAGTACCAGAGGCATCCGTGAGCGAAGGAGCGAGAGTCGTGCTGCTCGAGAGCTACGGATCGAGCCGAGCAACAATCCTTGGGCGCAAGATTTGGAAGCAGAGTCGGCAAAGCCTGCCAACCTCGATTTGGGAACACCTGAAGGAGGCTTGACGCGTCGAGGCGCCATCACCAAAGGTACGCCGAGAAGCGGTGGCGCCCTACGATCGCCCAGAAGCGGGCATCTCTTTGAAGACCCTGGGTCGTCACATTCCACACCTAGGATGGACGTGAACGGAAAGGCTGCATCTTTGTCCGTCGCAACGCCACCTTTCTCGCCAGGTATGGAACATCTCAGTCGTTCAGCACAAAAAGCACCCGTCTCTATCCCCTCGAAAGCGCTACCCACTCCACCACTACGTATCTATGGTGATGAAGGAGGAGCAGGCCTGACGCGACACTCAGAAGCTGCAAACGAATCGGCTACGCAAACACCCAACGCATCGAAGATGGGCATACAAAACTCAACGCTGAGCACACCGAAGCCCGCAAACGCCCACGCTTTTGCGAATGCCTCCATGGAGCGACATCGACAGTTCATTGAAAAAGAAATGGCTGCGGAAACGGACCAAGACAGGCTGGAGTTGTTTGCCGAGTTCATTGTCACCGAGTCGCGACTCCGCCGTGATCGGTACTCCGGAGCTTTCGACGCAATGGCTGGGGACATTATGGATCTTACAAGAGATTTGTGGCGCTCGTACGGCAATTCTGGGCGTAGATCAGCTACTCCAAATACCCAGGCCACGCCCGTAGGCCATAGCAGCAGGAGATCCCAAGGTTCTGTGGCTGGTGAATCCCCGGACACACGTTTCTCCTCGATGCCAACGACAGCTGCTAGCCCGGCATCCTCCATTGGCAACTTCACTCCGCATACCGAACCGGCCTCTCCTTCAAGCGCATCTAGCCAGAAGGCTCGCGATGCTTCATGGGCAAACAACTACCACCCCTCGCTCTCGCCCATTCCAAGTATGGCTATGAGTACCATTCCTGATGAGCAAGATTCGCGGGGACGCTCAGCAAGTCGCTGGTGGGAGAGCGACGGCGGCTCATCTGGGGTTGGTGGTGGTAGAAGGGTGGAGCGGAGTAAACGGGAATCTAAGTACATGAGCTTATTACCGAAGGAGGCTCTCGAGAACCAACAGTGGGCGGGTGAAGACCTATCCACTCCAAGGCAACGAGGTGAATCCAGCAGTCGACCAGCGTATGGAGCCAACGAATATCCACCTGAGAAGGTCGGGCTACATGAAGACAGTCTGCAGCCATCGCAGCAGCAGCCGTACGGTTACTACCCCAGATCTGCTACGGCGACGCCCGATCCACATAAGCTGGATGTATCGCGACTCGTCACCCTCCCGCCCTCGTACCCACGTCATCACCCTGCAGTCAATAATAGCCATCCCGATTTGGCAACCATTCGGAGTAGCCTCCGAACTCTATCTGAACTCGACGACGTAAAGAGTACGAAGGCGAAGTTCAAGACGAAGATTGAAGCGCGGAAAGAGCAAGAAAATGCGTCGCTGTCCGACAGAAGAGCCCAACTCCGATACAATATCCAGGACAATGTTCGGAATGGAGTCATGTCTTTTGCGGAGGCGGCGAAAGCAGAGGCAGATTTCGAAGCAAGAGAGCATCAAAGAGCTCAGGACGTAGTCCAATGGGTGTTCGACAGCTTTCAGGCTGAAGTTGCCAACCCACTGCACGCCATGTTCTGCGAGCGCATCACCAAGGCCACGGCATCTATGGAGCACCTCAAAGGGCGTTTGAGCAGCGAGGCGCAGGAGCCCAATCCGAACCAGATGCAGGAAGAGGGCGACGAGAAACCAGAACTGTTGGAGATGCTTACCCTGCATAAATGGCTCTTTGAGGCCCGAGAGCAGCTGCACAAAGAGATGTTTGACCTGGAAGACGAGCGCAACGATCTTTACAGGGACATTATCGTCTTGCCGTACGTCCAGACTAAGAACGAACAGAAGGTGAAGGAAGCCACGACCTTCTTTCAGCGCGATGGCCAGGATCGCAAAGTCACCTTCGAGAAGGAGACACTGACGCGCTACGAAGACCTAATGAACGTCATCGAGCAAAATGTAACTCGAGGCGTCGAAGCGCAGCTGTCAGCTTTCTGGGACATTGCGCCTGGACTACTGGAAATCGTACAGCAAGTTCCCCGCAATCTGCATGGTTTCGGAGTTCTGGTCCCGCCGCAAGAGTATGCGGAAACACCAGCATACCACGACTACCCTCTGCAGTATCTGTATACTCTGTTGGCTCATGCTGGTCGTTCGGCGTATCAATTTATTGAGTCGCAGATCAACCTGCTCTGCCTACTGCACGAGGTCAAGACTGGAGTCATGACCGCAGGCTCCCGACTTCTCGAGACACAACGGCTCTTGGAGGGCGAGGATCTGACGGGCGTAAACCAAGAGATGAAGGCCATTAGAGCAGACGAGGAGCGGCGACTGACGGACGACCTCAAAGAAAAGGTTGGTCTCGTCGAAAGCCAGTGGAACGAGGCACTTGGGCAGGGTCTCGAAGACTGCAAAGCACGTGTAGAAGATCACCTGACCGAGCAAGGTGGGTGGGATGATACTCTGAAAGAATAGTAGGAGTATTTGTTGATGACGATGACGTGGTTGGCACTTTTAGCATTTTCGCACCGTATCGATACCCGTTTGAATATCTACTCAATATACCATCTCGTAGGTTATCGAATCTGGCATGGATACGCCTTGGAGGCGTGATTGCGCTTACCTCTGAAGACGGTTGTTTAGCTTGCAGTGCTTGTGCATGTATGTCGTGCGTCGTCTTACGGAGATGCACCTTGCCCCAGGATAGCTGGTCAGCGGCGGGGCCAAACCTAGCTTCGACGTGCACTTGATAACTTGCTCTGTTCTGCTGTTCGAGTATTACATCAAAATGGTATAGTCCTGCACAGTGCTTACAGTGACGCATGATTGCAACTGCACAATCTCTTCTGTTCCACCCCTCCTCATCCGCCTACTCGCGTATCTGACATGTGATACGCACAAGGTCAGGGTCCAGTATCGCGGCGGCTGTTACGCTTGCCTGCTCTTTCACAAACAAGAACACTGTAGTGAAGCCACAGCCCGTGGCGTTGTCAGCCGACTGCGTTCCTATTTGCTCACCCGTCGCCATTGTCTGCCTACCCAGTGTTCCTTCATTCACCGCCCTGGCTGCGCCGTCTGTAAGAAGCTAGCGCAGCGCCCGGACCACCCAAAAAATCACACACCTGCGCATAAAGACTGGCAACCTCGTCGTGTCCCTCCACCCCAAACGCTTAACCACCCCCAACTACACCCACAGCTCTCCAAGCCCTCGGTTCCCAGTGGACCGTTCATAACAGAAAAAGAAACAAAAAAATACAGAAAACAACAAGAAAAGCCCGTCCGACGACCACCGCCAACTCTTCGTCTCCCACTGTCGCTTGCACCCGACAGACGTCTTACTTGATCTCACCTTTTTCGCACGAAGAAGCAACCAGCGCGCCCGCATAGCCCGCGCTTCTGGTCCCATACGCCGACTCTGTTACCCCGCACATCTTCTGTTGCAACTTAGGTGAGTGCTGAAACTTTTTGCGAAGCGAGCGCACTGGCACATGTCAGTGCTGCTTGTGCCCGCAATATTGAGACCCCTCCGCTAACATGCGACCCCGCAGATATACATCATGTCTGGCGTCGCCAACTCTACCTCGCCCGTCCAGGACGGTGCTGACGCCAACGGCGCTCAGATCAACACCAACGTCGCTGCTGCCCAGGGCGAAGCCCCCACCCCCACCACCGCTGCCCCCGCGAACAACCAGAACTCCGCCTCGCTCTATGTTGGCGAGCTTGACCCCTCCGTCACCGAGGCCATGCTCTTCGAGCTGTTCTCGTCGATTGGCCAGGTCGCGTCTATCCGTGTCTGCCGTGACGCCGTTACCCGTCGCTCGCTCGGTTACGCCTATGTTAACTACAACAGCTCAGAGGATGGCGAGAAGGCCCTCGAAGAGCTGAACTACACCGTGATCAAGGGCAAGCCTTGCCGCATCATGTGGTCCCAGCGTGACCCTGCTCTGCGCAAGACTGGCCAGGGCAACGTCTTCATCAAGAACCTTGACCACGCCATCGACAACAAGGCTCTCCACGATACCTTTGCCGCCTTCGGTAACATCCTCAGCTGCAAGGTCGCTCAGGACGAGCTCGGCAACTCCAAGGGCTACGGATTCGTCCACTACGAGACCGCCGAGGCTGCCAACAACGCTATCAAGCACGTCAACGGCATGTTGCTCAACGAGAAGAAGGTCTTCGTCGGCCACCACATCCCCAAGAAGGAGCGCATGAGCAAGTTCGAGGAGATGAAGGCCAACTTCACCAACATCTACGTCAAGAACATCGACCTCGATGTCTCTGACGAGGACTTCCGTGAGCTCTTCGAGAAGCACGGTGACATCACCTCTGCCTCCATCGCGCGCGATGACCAGGGCAAGAGCCGCGGGTTCGGCTTCGTCAACTACATCAAGCACGAGGCCGCCTCTGACGCGGTCGAGAAGCTCAACGACGTTGACTTCCGTGGACAGAAGCTCTACGTCGGCCGTGCCCAGAAGAAGCACGAGCGTGAGGAGGAGCTCCGCAAGCAGTACGAGGCCGCTCGTCTTGAGAAGCAGTCCAAGTACCAGGGTGTCAACCTCTACATCAAGAACCTCAACGACGATGTCGACGACGAGAAGCTGCGCGACATGTTCACTCCTTTCGGTACCATCACCTCCGCCAAGGTCATGCGTGATGCTATGCCCGCTGAGCGCGCCGAGACCCCGTCCGACGAGAAGAAGGACGAGGCCAAAGAGGAGCCTAAGGAGGCTGAGAAGACTGAGGAGTCCAAGGATGAGTCCAAGGCTGACTCTTCTGACGAGAAAAAGGACGAGAACACCAGCGGCGAGAAGGTCACCATCAAGGGTGAGAAGAAGATCCTTGGTAAGAGCAAGGGCTTCGGTTTCGTCTGCTTCAGCAACCCCGACGAGGCCACCAAGGCCGTCACCGAGATGAACCAGAAGATGATTGAGGGCAAGCCTCTCTACGTCGCCCTTGCCCAGCGCAAGGATGTCCGCAAGAACCAGCTCGAGGCCACCATTCAGGCCCGCAACCAGCTCCGCATGCAGCAACAACAGCAGCAGCAGTTCGGCGGTATCCCCCAGATGTTCATCGCCCCTGGTCAGCAGCCTATGATGTTCCCCGCAGGTGGCCGTGGCCAGATGCCCTTCCCCGCTGGTATGCCCGGCCAGCAAGGTGGTCGCGGCGCTGGTTTCCCCGGCGGCATGCCCGGTCAGCAAGGCGGTCGTGGTGGACCCAACAGCCAGCAGATGCCTCCCATGTACATGCCCCCCGGCATGGCTCCCGGTGCCTTCCCTCCTGCCTACATGAACCAGCAGTACATGCAGCTTGCCCAGGCAGCTCAGCAGGCCATGGGCGGACGCGGCGGTCGTGGCGGCCCCATGGCTCCTATGCCTGGTATGCCCCAAGTCCCGATGGCTGGTGTTCCCGGCATGCGCGGTGGTCAGGGCGCTTTCCCTCAGGGTGGTCGCGGCGGTATGCCCCAGGGCGGCCGATCCGGTCAGTCCCCCATGCCCGGTTACCCTCAGGGCGGCCGTGGCGGTCCCGCCGGTGCTGGCGTTGACATGGGTGCTCTGAGCGGCGCTCCTCCCGGTCAGCAGAAGCAGATGCTCGGTGAGGCTCTCTACCCCAAGATCGCCGAGATGCAGCCCGAGCTCGCTGGCAAGATCACCGGTATGCTCCTCGAGATGGACAACAGCGAGTTGATCACCCTGTAAGTTTTCCCACTTTTCATCGCACAACCTTCAGTACTAACTATCCTAGCACCTCCGATGAGTCTGCTCTCCGCGCCAAGGTCGAGGAAGCCATGAGCGTCTACGACGAATACGTCAAGAACAAAGAGGGTGAGCCTGAGAAGGAAGCCCCCAAGGAGGAGACCAAGGAAGATGCTTAAACCTCTTTCTAGTTGCCACTGAGTAGGATTCGGTCCGCGATTCTCTCGAAAGGCAACAAGTTACGATGGTCGCATGATCTTTCTGAACGGCGAACGGCGCACGGGTAACGGTTTTCATTCACGACACGGGACGGCTTTCATGACGCATGCACCCAAAAAGTTTACACGATTCGATGTCCTCTTCTCAGTTGCCTACTACGATACCTCTTTCCCTGGCGACTGACTCCTTCACTGGAACGTCGGCTGCCTACAATACCCAAACTCGCATCTCCAGAGTTTGGGTTTCCCCTCATGTTTTTTTCTTTGTTCCCCGCTTTGTGCATGTTATCATAGACGGCGCCCCGTCTTCGAAACGTCATGATATGGGTATGTGTGGACGGATTTTCTTTGCGCAAACAGTATGATACCTCACGAGCAGCTTTACTATACCAAGCTGGCTCTCAATGTTCGGGTTTTCGGCGTCTCGATAATTCATGGTAGATGTGGATAGGATTACGGGTTCGGAGTATCTGGTCCGTACTGGATAGCTTTGCCGGGGGAGAGATGAGCAGATAAGATCTTAGGCATGTAGTCGATACTGCTAATAGATCTTACAACATTCACGACTGCGTTCTGACGTAATGGTTTCCCACTGCGTTTGTTTGAGTGTTGGTGTCCTTGAGATCAGGATCGTAAGGACATGCACTATCATCATCACATACACGACTCAACGAGAACGAGATTGGTATCGTCATTCAATAACACTACGTCGATGTCGAAGAACTGAAGTCTCAGCCAGCAAGGTATCTGTTCATATGCCCGTGATAGCCCAATTATACGCCATCCCACGTTCCAAGCTATCCACAGACGCCTATTTCTTGTAGTTCTTGTGCGCATCGATAACCTTTTGGACCTCGCCTTCGGAGCCAAGGAAGATACCCGATCGGTCGTGGATGTGTTCGGGGACGACTTCGAGCATACGGTCCATCTTGCTGTTTACCGCCAGACCGCCAGCTACACTGTTGTTAGCACGAGTGAATCACAGTCTGATCGAAGTATGACATACCATTCTCAAAAACCATAGCCATAGGCGCACACTCATAAAGAATCCTCAACTTGCCCTTTGGCGTCTTCTTATCCGCCGGGTACGCAAAGATACCACCGTAAAGCAGCGTGCGATACGCATCCGCAACCATGGAACCAATGTACCTCGCGCTGTACGGCTTCTGTCCCTCCGCCGGGTTCTTAAGGCTCTCGCACCACTGCTTAACAGGCTCTTCCCAGTACATGCTATTACCCTCGTTGACGGAGTAAATGCTCCTCGTCTTGGGGACGCGCATATCAGGATGTGTGAGGATGAACTCGCCAAACGCGTTGTCGAGCGTGAAGCCGTTGACGTTTCCGCCCTTCATTGTAAGCACCAGTTGGGCGGACGCGCCGTACATGGTGAAGCCTGATGCGACCATCTCGGTGCCCGGGAGCAACATTTCTTCTTTTGTGCCTTTGGCGCCCTCGGGCAGTTTGTAGACGGCGAAGATGGTGCCGACGGCGACTCCGGCGTCGAGGTTGGAGGATCCGTCGATTGGGTCGCAGGCTACGGCGTAGCGGGCGTTGGGGTGCTCGTTGAAGACAATGGCTTCTTCTTGCTCTTCCGAGATTAGGAGGCGTACGCGGCCGGAGGAGCGCATGGCGCTGATGAAGAGCTCATCGCCGATTACGTCGAGTTTCTTTTGGTCGTCGCCCGTTGTGTTGGATGTGCCTTGGAGACCGGTGAGCTGTGGGTGTTAGTTGTGGATGCGTTTAATCTTTAATGGGTTGCATACGTTGATCAGGGTCGCTCTCCGGATGTAGTAGGCAATGCTCTTGAAGGCGAATTGCAGTGCGTGGCATAGTAGTCTGGTAGGGATGATTAGTGCCCTGCTCCGAATGCCTTCAATCTGACACTTACGTGAAGTCTCCTGTTGCTTCCGAGTACTTGGTCTGTTCTTCAGTGAGGAATCGCGTCAGGGTGATGATATCGGTGTTGATCTTCTCCTGCGCAACTGGCCCTCCTTCGTTACCGTTGGAAGCCATGGTGTAAACTTTTGGTAGAGCTCAATTTACAAGGTGTAACCGTAACAAGACGAACAAAGCGACAAGACAAGTTGGTATCAGCGGTGGAAGGGAAGATGGGAAAGCAGTATGGGGAATGGGGAAGTTTGGATCGAGGGATGGTGAAAAAAGCTATTCAAGCTACGAGGAGAGCAAAAAGCGGAGCTGGCTATCGTTATGAAGTCAGGGTGGGTAGAGTCGGGCAGACGGACCACACTTCTGTGGCATTTGTTTGGCAGGCCGCTGGGAAGCTATAGCCCTCGGCAACTGGCCGGACGTCACTGGCAGCTCACGATGCTTCAGCCGGGCGGCGGTCAGCGCGTGTCACTGCTACAGTTTCTCCGGAGCAAGCCCGAATTTCGTGGAAAAATTCCCGAGAAGGATGCTCGACATGGTTCTGGCCCGTGAATTCAGGACGGCATCCAAAGTGTTGCGGGAATTGACGCGCTTTGTTGCGGGAGCGCGTGGGTGGCAGGCTATGATGCAGGTGCGGAGACGGAAAAGTGGAGGGGCACGAGGGGTTGGCGGGGCGCGACTTTGCGCGCTGACGTTTGCCCGACTTCTTCCGGACCGCGGACGTAGAGACATCACGATCACGCTCGTGCTATATACTCCCGTATTTCTGAAGACTATTCGTGGTTTAATTGCGCTACGCTGGGTTGCCCTCTTTGGTTTTCCGCGTCTGAAGAGAAACTGCGACTTTCTCAGTCAACAATTTACTCGTATTTGGCGCAAGCAGCGACAAACATAGGCCTAGTCCAGTGAAAGCTAAAGACACCAGATACACCGTCTTGAAGGCTTGTGACAGGCCTGAATGATACGCCGATATCGCAACTGCCCTGATCTCAGGGGTTAGTCCCTGAACCGCGGACCATGCCGCAGGCGTCCCCAACGACAAGGCTGAAAGGATCGAAGTCGTGCTATCTTTAGGCAAGCCAGCGCCCAACACCGCGGGTACAACTGCAGCAGGCACAGTCGTCGAGCGCCTGTTTGCCAGGACGACGTTGTAGACGGCTTGACATGTACCTGCGACAGCGGTGCGTACCGATGCAGCAGCGCCGCCAGCAGCGCCAATCTCTCGTTGATCGGTTATAGTGAGAATGGCGTTTCCGAGAGCGATGTCCGCGACATATCCCATCATCATGGCGGAAAAGAAGATCAGAGCAGACGATTGGGCTTGGTTGCTTGGGTTTGCTGTTGACACAGCTGTTGCCGCCGTTAGTCTGTGTTCAGAGGGTAGGTACCGCAACAGAGCAAAACTTACACGCAAGAAGCCCGCCACCTATAGCCATAGCCACGGTAATCTGCCAATTCTGATATCCGATCGGTCCCGCTAAGCATCCTCCCACGAAACCGCCAATCAAGATGCCCAAATTGGCTAATGAAGAAAGAAAAGCGGCATGCATAAGGTCGCCGTTGGCGTAGAAGTTCTGTGTAATTTGCGGCCAGATGACTGCGGACGATTAGCGGCTGTCCCAGTAGAGCTGAAGGGGGTAGATTTACTTGCGCCGGCGTAGTACACTCCAGCCCCAATACCTGTGAGTAAAGCTGATACGACCCACGGGCGATGACGGAAGAGGCTCATGGGGACCAAAGGCTCCTTCAGATCCATGAAGAGTTCCCAACATACAAAAGCAACAAGAGAGCTGAAGCCGATGATGATGAACGATAGCACTTCCGCCGACGTCCAGCTGTACTTGGTGCCACCCCATGAAAGACCAAGCAAGAACATAGTCAGGCCAGTCGCGTAAAGCAACGTACCGACGTAGTCGAACTTCTTAACGAAATCCATCTTCTTCTCCCTCTGGCCATGCTTCTGGTGGAAGTTGGGAGGATGGTAAAAGACGCAGTAGCAGATCAGAGACGCTCCGTTGACGGCAGTGAGTAAGAAGTATACAGCTCGCCAGCCAACTCGAGTTGCAACAAGGCTCTGCGCGACGACGGGAGCAAAACCCTGACCAGGTAGATTCCAGACGTTGATTGCACCAATCATGAGGTACCGGTACTTGGACGGGATGAGTTCGCCGATGGTATAGTAACAGGATAGTTGCGTCGCAGCTGCGAGTGCCTTGATCATGGACCCAACGATCAACATGTTGACGTTAATAGCCAGAGCACTGATCATTGTGCCGATCATGGCGAGGAAAGCGCCCACGATGAAGAAATAACGACGGCCGAAGATATCGCTTAGTCTTCCGATGATGGTCTGATCAAAGTCAGGTTGGTCAATCAGTTAGAGTGGAGGTTTTTCGCAGTACTCACCATGCCTACGGACAGTCCAACCGGATGCACCAGTGCAACCCACTGGATATTGGGATCTGGTCCAATGTCCGCATTGATGGTTCCCAGTATAGGTGCAGCATAAGCAAAGCCTGCGTTGTGTTCATTAGGCATCCTCTCATGTTATTCACTATCTAGCGTACTCACCAGCATTGCCAGCCCAAGCACCAAAACCCACTGCGCAGCAAGTACCGAGGAAGAAGGGGCTGAAATAGTAGCCCTTGGGCAGATTCTCCACATCGCCAGCGAAGCCATCGGCGTCAGTCTGGATCTTGTCTTCGTCTTTCATATCCTTGAGAGGTATGCTCGATATGTCCTCAATCGTAGAGATATCGGGTGTTGTCTTATCGGTTGCGGCCATTCTGATAGCTGTCGTTGTCTCAATTGTTGAACCGCGCATATGCCGACAGGGGATACAGCATTGAGTGCAATACTTATGCTTTGGGATAAGACTTGATTCATACGCGAATCATACAGTCCCGCCCTTCCCGACGTTATGGCTGCCAATGTCGTGATCTCTGTTGAGAATTGTGGGAGTGGATACAGTTCTCCGAAGCCACCGTTTTCAGCTCAGCACACGCGTCCCAAGCCTTGAGATTCGTAGAGTCTGATGATTCGAGAACACGACTCTGCTACGTGACTATGATCAGGGTACGCAGACAAGCATTGCGGGGTATCCTCGCGCGACTGGTATTTCTCACTCCGCCACGTAGTTCGGTGGTGAGTCTCGCCGCCCATGATGCGGCGATATGCAATGTCAGTGTGGTAGCGTGTGAAAGCGGGCGCTAATGCACAGTCATGCTAGCGGCACCATGTCGTTTGCGGTCATAGTGATTTTGCGGTAGCCGATATGCGACCGTATACTTTCGATTGGATGAAATGAATACGGATACTGTTGTTCAAACGGTGTCGGTCGTGCCGCAACTCCGCGTAATCGACTTGCATGACACTGCATTGCCGAATTCGTATCGATCCGAGTGTGCGCCGTTGAAGTGGAGATGTATCTGGGCAGTCAAGTCAATGCTGAGTTCAAGACAGCTCAGAGTCACTCCAAAATTGATCGCAACCTTACGTTGTCCTCGAAATCTTACACCTCCCAATTCTGCACAGAATGGTGAATCGTCAACGGAGTCCTGTTAAACCAGGGTGGGATGCACAGACGGCTGTTCAAGAAGTCAATGAAGCGACTCCCTTGTTTCCTGAACCGACCTCAACATACGAGGTGAGCTTCCAACACCTCACAATGAATGTCGTTTTCAACTAAGCACTTGTAGACAGTCAATGGTGCTTCGCAAGATCCTGAGCGGGGAGATGAGTCCGCAAAGGACCTCTCAACGCCGACACGATCGTTGATGACGACTATTTCCATCTTGCTGATCGGTAGGAGTCCCTTCTCCGTCAACATAATCCCTCATTGATCATACCAGGTGTCTTCATCTCCCAAGCGGATACGTCGCTAGTACTAGCCACCTACAGCAAGATCTCGTCAGAATTCCATGACCTCGAAAGCGGCTCGTGGCTGCTTTCAAGCTACATGCTAGCCATGTGCATATCCCAGCCGCTTTTTGGGAAATTGAGCGATATCTTCGGGCGGAAGTCGTGTTTGCAGGTAGCATACATCCTCTTCGCGATCGGAACTCTTGGCTCTGGACTGGGCAGATCAATGACTCAGATCATTGCTGCTCGTACGATCCAGGGTGCTGGAGGCGCTGGTATGGTGTGCATGGTGTCGATCCTTTTGACAGACCTGCTGCCCTTTCATGAAGTCGCGCTGTACCGGAGTTATGTAAACGTGGTGCAGACAGTAGGAAGAAGCTGTGGCGGCGTAATTGGAGGGTTTCTTGCTTCCACGATTGGCTGGCGCTGGTAAGCTCATGAATGGTCGTTCCTCCGTTACGCATACAAGTTGCTGATGGATATCGCAGGGCCTTCTTGGCACAAGTTCCTCCAGTCATCCTTTCGATTGCTTTGGTCCAGTGGAAGTTGGAGGTTCCCCAGAAGTCTCTCAAACCCGGGCACTGCGAATCCACTCGCGACAAGTTAGGACGTATCGACTTTGTCGGAGCAGTGTGCATGAGCATAACGATCTTCACTGCGCTATTCGTGCTGGATACTGGCGGCCAAAAATATGCCTGGAACCACCCCGTCGTTGTCACATCAGCTTGTGTTGCTGTTGTCGGCGCTGGGACATTTGTCTTGTACGAGCGCTTCTTGGCGAAGGAGCCAATATTTCCAGTCCAGCTACTCACCCGCTACGTTGTTGTCACGTCTTACGGAATCCTTCTCCTGCAGAACTTTTCTCAGACCGCAGTAAGACCCTACAATCGTAGCTGAAAGATGAAACGCTAACGTAGTGGCAAGCTGATGTTCATCATCCCAATCTACTTCCAAGTTACCAACAATGCATCGACGGGCGAAGTAGGAGCCTACCTCATACCCTCTGTGATTGGCAACACAATCGGTGGTCTCTTGACGGGGGCATGGATCAAGCGGTATGATCGTTCGTTCACATCTCTGGAACAACAAGCTAACGTAATACAGGACCGGGAGCTACAGAGTTCCTACGATATTAGCGAGCGCCAGCTCGGCCTTGTCTTTCACTCTCTTGCTGCTCTTCTGGCGAGGGCACACCACTGTTTGGGGATCCCTCTTGATATTCCCCGCCGGTCTTGCAACAGGCATGGCTCATTCGGCCGTCTTCGTTGGATTGACATCCGCAGTGGCGGAGGACGAGGTGGCTATTGCTGGCTCCGGGCTGTACCTGAGTGGCAACGTAGGAGGTGTTACGGGCGTCAGCGGGGCTGCTGCAGCCTTTCAAATCGTTTTGCAGATGGGCTTGAATCATGCCCTGGAGGGAAGAAGTGATGCATCTGAAATAGTCGACAAGGCTACATCCGATATCGCCTACATTCAGCATGTGGGTGGCGGTCTTCGCGAGCTGCTGATGCCGGCATATATACACGCCACACAGCAAGTTTTCGGTGAGTAAATGAACCTCGACGTCTGACCTTGCTAAATTATGGTAGTGCTTGGGCTAGTCGCCTCTGTCATCGCATTCTCCATTGCACTTATCACGAAGGAGAGGAATTTGCTAAGAGCAAACCTAGCCGAGTAGACAATATGTCTTGACACCCCTTCTTTACGCGCAAGAGCGAATAGCTCAGATGACACAAGGTGTAGCCGGGACAAAATGGCCAGTCCTGGAGAGCTGCTACTAGCGATCAACAAACACCGTATAGTACAATGAAGTCTTACATCAGCTGCAGCGCTGACCAAGTCATTCGAAACATGCGTGATCAAGGCGTTGTCGGAATGCAGTCTAAGTATGGGAATGTTTCCACCATGTTGGGCCCGACTGTCCAATTCTTCAGCTGCCGGACGTGACTTTCGAAATCCGGATTGAGCTGCAGCTCACTGTTCGATGCGACGATGAGGATACTGGATAGATCATACGGCCAATGGATTGATAGCGAGTTGCCCGTGATCTCCCGTAGCTTGGAGAACTCCCGCCCTTCAGACAAATCCATGTACTGGAGTATGCGCTTCCGTGCTTCAGGCCTTCAACTGTATCGTTAGCAGAGAAACTCAAGCATGACTATAAGCTTACCAAACAATCGTGTCAATCCAAATCGGATGAGCTATGGTCAGCTGAGCTTCTACAGGCCTCAGGAAGTCCGGCATGGCTTCGTAATTGCGCTTCGTGGGGGATATGAGCCATCGTAGCAAGAGGCTCAAATAATACAAACACGCAACCCTTTCAGCTGAGCCTTTGACTGCCATGCTGATTTTACCGTGCTGGCCTAAAGCATTCGAAATCGGATTTTGCGAACTACCGGTAGCAGGGTTGAGCAATGATCGAACGCTAGGGAAAGACCTTTCTGGAAGCTGACCAGAAGATTGCAAATGCTGACGGCTGGTAACGATGATCTCCAGCAATACAGAATCGAGCCGACAGGTGGCAGATTCATGAAGCGGCAGTTGCTCCCAGGACGGAGGCTGTGAAGCTGTGCCTGCCACGTCTAACAACGGAAGCGCTGGTGCGAAAGGCCAATCCTCTGGGATGCCGACACCGTCCTGTGCTCCATTCGCGCCGAATAGTGACAACGAGTATGTATTGTTCGTGTCCGGTCCCAGAACTGGGAATTTAGCTGATATCTGATCGTGTCACGAGGGCGAGACTCACTCGAAGTGCCATCCCACATATTGAAAAGAGACTCGTCTGCACTGATAGGGAGCTCTAGGCTCAGCCCAGTGTCCGCATCTCTCAAAAGCACACCCTCAGTCGACGTTCCACCGTGAGCTGAAGCATCGATAGTCGCTGAGCCATCGCTCCGGCCAGTAGATAGTGAGTGCGATGCGAAGTTTAACGTTGTATTGGCCCCAATACGGGTGGGGGGAGATGTTGAGGTTTGAGACAAGTCGAGCCCGGCCTCAGCGAAGGATGGGTCTGGGACTGCTCCAACCGATGGTGAGGACTCATCTCTATCAATTGGGGAGACGGTGTGGTGATCGACCATCTGAAGAGACACTCGCGCCGAATTGATGATCTCTCGAAGGCATGTTTCATTGTTCTGCAGCTGTTTGACGAGGCCTTCCGAGCGCGTAAGGCGCCGCTTCAGATCAGCGACCTCTTCTTCTAGCTCTGCTATACGCGACTTCTTCCGCGCTCTCGCAGCTCTTTGATTAAGCCTGTCGAATGTCCTCTTTCGATGCAATTGTTCGCTGCTCATATTTGCCACTGTCCTGTCCATGGCTGCGTGCCTCGTTGTTGACGAACTTTCCACGTGGAGAAGCTATGAGAGGACCGCGCCGGCATTTTCGGCAATGTACTGGGAATCGCCGCGAGAGGATTGGCGTCTGCGGCTTGCTGCGTCTTAGCCGGGCACGCAATGCGGAGACGACAGCACGAGGGAGACATTTCCCGCGGCGGCTGGTGCTAAGTGTGGGGTAAGGCTCGTGCTCGAGGTTTAGCGTTGGCGCTACGTGACAATGCATATGGACCCGTGAACTCCACCCGCTTTCTGCACCCACGCGTCACGGCGCCGGCCTCGTCTTCAAGCCCGGTAACGACGCGGTGACATCGAGCCTGAGCATGGCTCTGTTCGAACGCCGGGAGAGCGCGTCCAACCACATAATGCCTTATAAGGGTACAATTCACCCGGTCCCGTTGTCAGCTCCAACAACGGCCTGTCACCATGAAGTTCCTCAAACTATTCCACTGTGCAGTGCTTTCGTCGGCACTGCACTGCGCAGCAGCGAAGCAGCCGAACATCCTCTTTATCTTGACAGATGATCAAGATTGGCACATGAAGTCGTTGGTTCGTACATCTCGGGCTGTCTCAGGTAACAATAGCTCACAAAGAACAGGAGCACATGCCATTCCTGCAAAAGTATCTACTCCATGAAGGTACACTGTATGCCAATCATTTCTGTACGGTCGCGCTATGTTGCCCGTCCCGCGTAAACCTCTGGACCGGAAGAGCTGCCCACAACACGAACGTGACTGACGTCTTTGCACCCTACGGTTAGCAGACATCTTCGCGTATACTGCCAGCCTCATTAACACGTCTTAGGTGGCTACCCAAAGGTCGTCCGCGAAGGTATCAACGATGACTACCTCCCCGTGTGGATGCAGAACGCTGGATACAACACCTACTATTCTGGCAAGCTGTGGAACCACCACTCGGTTGACAATTACAATGCACCCTTCGCCGGCGGGTACAACGGTTCCGACTTCATCCTCGATCCCTATACGTACGAATACTACAACGCGCACATGAGTCGCAACGGCGGACCACCCATAAGCTACAAGGGACAGTACTCGCCTGACGTGACTGCAGAGAAGGCTTATGGCTTCCTCGAAGAGGCAACGCAACATCCTGAGCCCTGGTTTCTTACCATTGCACCCATCGCGCCTCATAGCAACGTGAAGCTCGTGCCTGCCGAGGAGTATAGTGCGGATTTGCCTCAATACGCAGAGCGACATGCTCATCTCTTCACCGAGTACAAGATCCCACGCGATGCCAACTTCAACCCCGAGAAGCAGGGTGGCACAGGATGGGTCAAGCGACTTCCACTTCTCAACGACACAGTAATTGACTACAATGATGAGTTCCAGCGCTCTCGCCTTCGCGCCCTTCAGTCAGTAGACGAAATGGTGGAGCAACTTGTGAAGACTCTCGAGCACAAGGGCCTTCTCGAAGACACATACATCATCTACACCACGGACAACGGGTACCACCTAAGTCAGCATCGCCTCCATGCCGGCAAGGAATGTGGCTACGAGACTGACATCCACATTCCCCTCATTGTGCGTGGGCCAGGTGTAATGAAGGGCCACACCACCGACATTGTCAGCTCCCACACCGACCTCGCGCCCACTATCATGAAGTTGGCCGGGCAGACTTTACGCGAAGACTTCGACGGCTCGGTCATGCCCCTCTCCAAAGAAGACACTCTTCTTGCCGAATCTACAGAACGACAAGAACACATCAACATCGAATATTGGGGCCGAGCTATCCCCGAGGGCATATGGGGCCACTACGACAACCCAGTGAAAGAGATTCACCCGCCCGACCAAAACTGGGGCGGATACCTCCATTCTGTGCGTAACAACACATACAAGGGTCTTCGCCTCATCGGCGAGGATTACAACATCTACTACTCTGTCTTCTGCACTGGCGACAAGGAGTACTACGACATGCGCTTCGATCCAGGTCAGCTCGAAAACTACTTCGACGACGAAGACGCGGACCTCATAGCGAAGCGCAATACCTACCATATCGCAGGCCGCCCCTTCACCGCCATCATAGACCGCATCGACGCGCTGATGATGGTCCTCAAATCTTGCAAAGGCGAGGCGTGCCGAAATCCGTGGAACGTTCTGCACGGCAGTGGCAGCAAGGTCACATCGCTCAAGCAAGCACTGTCGCATCGCTACGACGCTTTTTACGCGTCACAACCCAAGGTCCAGTTCGAGGACTGTGCTTTGGGCTATATCCGTGAGGTGGAAGGCCCTCAGCATGCGAATGTGTATGATAGTTGGGATGATGGAGAGAGGTCTGAGCTCAAGGCGCGCAGGAAACCGAGTTTTGTGTATCAGGGAAACCCGCATTTGCTTACTTAAAGGTGTGGTGGAGTTTGTTTCTCGCCATAGCCTGGAGGTAGTCAGTACGCTGGAAGTGAGCAGGAATCAATGTAGGATGCAATGTATGCCTCAAGAGCCGATCATCTTGGGAAACATACAATCCAAAATCACAGCAGACGAACTCAATTTACCTACTACGCCGACATGTCCCGCGTCGGAGTGAAATCCAAAGTAGGTCGCTGCCGGCTACAACCCGTTTCAGAGGCTACGCAAAAATTTACAGAGGATCGTGTAGACGACAAACTAGTATATGAAGTAAAGAATTTTTGTTCAGACTGTCATTGAAGTACATCTAGCTTCCACGACAGCACACGAGACTACACGCTGTAAACATACATATCATGGGAATAAAGTAATGCAATCAATGACCAACCAACCCTTTCCACGCCTCAACCAGCTTTCACTCGCCCTTCAAGTGGTCTTGCTTCACGGTGAAAGCCATATCTAGTAGGGCCTTCTCCTCGTTCTTATGCGACACCTTGAGACCAGTGGCCACAGACGCACTAGGGTTGCGGCCGGCGTACATCACGTGACGCCTGTTGTGGTGCTCAGTTTGGTTGAGCAGAGTCTCGATTCTGGGCTGGGTAAAGCTCCAGGCACCGGCGTTAAGTGGCTCTTCCTGGCACCAGATGATGTTCTGGGCGTTGGGGTAGGAGTCCAGGTTGTCCTTCAGTTGTTGCCAGGGGAAGGGGTTGAGCTGCTCGATACGTGTGATAGCAACGTCCTTCTCACCGCGGGCCTCACGCTCCTTTACGAGCGCAGCGTACACCTGACCTGTGCACAGAATGACGCGGTTGATGCCCTCATGCGACTCAATCTCGCCACTAGCGTGCGCAGGGTCCTCGATGATCCATTGGAAGTGAGAGTCGCCGGTGAACTCCTCAATGTTGGAGCGAGCGAGGGGGTGACGGAGTAGCGACTTGGAGAAGAAGAGAATGAGAGGCTTGCGGAATTGGCGGTTCATCTGGCGACGGAGGAGATGGAAGAGGTTAGACGGCTTCGTTGTGTAGGCAATCTGGATGTTGCAGTCCTGGTGCTGACGGTCGAGCTTGTCGGGCGAGGGGAAGATACGGGGATCCTCGTTGCAGAGTTGCAGGTAGCGTTCCATACGTCCAGAAGAGTGCTCGGGACCTTGACCGTCGTAACCGTGGGGCAAGCTCATGACGAGACCGGAACGTTGAAGCCACTTGACTTCACCAGAGGCAATGAACTGATCGATGATGACCTGGGCAGTGTTGGCGAAGTCACCGAACTGAGCCTCCCACATGACGAGGGCGTTGGGTGATGATAGCGAGTATCCGTATTCGAAGCCAAGCCTACGGATGATTAGTTACGGCACGATACAACAAAATGGTAGGTGACTTACACTCCGTATTCGCTGAGGGAAGAGTTGGAGATGGTGAATGTCGCCTGATCTTCGGCAAGGTTCTGGAGAGGGGTGTAGGTCTTCTCAGTCTCCTGGTCGTGGAGCACGGCGTGGCGCTGAGAGAAGGTTCCACGCTCGACATCCTGTCCGGAGACACGGACGTGGTGGCCTTCCATGCACAGACTTCCGAACGCCAGCGCTTCCGCGGTAGCCATGTCGATGTTCTTGCCGTCCATGACAGTCTTGGTGCGGCCAGCCAAGATACGCTTCAAGTTCTTGTGTACGTTGAAGTCCTCTGGTGCGCCACCGATCTTCTCAGCGATGTGCTTCAGTTGGGTCTCCTCGATGGCGGTTGGCAGATGGGGCAGAACCTCTTCCGCAAGCTCCTTGGGTGACTTGAAGCCGTTCCAGGCCGAAGTAAGCCACTCCTTGGAGTTTGGTACGTAGTCCTTGCTGCGGTTGAAGCTCTCGTCTAGCATGCCCCAAACCCAAGCCTTGTGCTCGTCAATGTCCTCCTTGGTGAAGGTCTTCTCGTCGAGCAGCTTCTTGGTGTAGATGTCCAGTGTTTGGGGTTGTTCTGAGATCTTCTTGTACATGAGAGGTTGGGTGAAGAATGGCTGGTCAGTCTCGTTGTGACCCTGCTTCCTGTAGCAAACCATGTCGATAACCACATCCTTCTTGAACTCGGCGCGGAAATCAGCTGCCAGCTGGCAGACGAAGTTGAGGGCCTCGACATCGTCGCCGTTGACGTGGAAAACAGGCGCATCAATTGCCTTGGCGATATCAGAGCAGTAAGGAGTCGAACGGGAGAACCTAGGATCCGTGGTGAAACCAATCTGGTTGTTCACAATGATGTGAATAGTACCGCCAGTGTGGTAGCTGGGGAGCTGATGGAAGCCCATAGTCTCGTATACTATACCTTGTCCGGCGAAAGCGGCGTCACCGTGCAAGAGCAGACCCATGGCGCTGGAACCTTCCTTCTCGTCGTTGTTGTAGTGCAGAATGGCGCGGGTCTTTCCCAGTACGACGGGGTCTTCGGCCTCGAGATGGGATGGGTTGGCGACAAGAGACAGCTGTACGCGCTTTCCAGATGGAGTGGGGCGCTCGAAGTTCATACCCAAGTGGTATTTGACGTCACCAGATCCCTCTTCGTTGGCTTCGGCAGTACCGGCAAACTCGCTGAAGATGGACTCGTTGGGCTTTCGGACGACGTTGGAGAGCACGTTGAGACGTCCACGATGAGGCATACCGATGACGATGTCCTTGACACCAAAGTCGACACTTCGGTCGATGAGGGCCTTCATTCCGGGAATCAAACTCTCACCACCCTCAAGACCGAATCGCTTGTCGTTGGGGTATTTGGTGGCCAGGAAAGCTTCGAAGTTGGTACCCCAGATCAGGCGGTCCAGAATGCGGCGCTTCTCGTCGACGGAGTATTTGAAGGGTGTGGGAACCTCGATGCGCTCACGGAGCCAGTCGCACTGCTCCCTGTCGGGAATGTGGATGTATTCAACTCCGTAAGAGCCGCAGTAGAGGCGCTCGCAGGCGTCAATGATTTCCTTCAGCTTCATCTTCTTGCGGGACTCGGTCTTGAATCGCGGCAGGATACCGGGGCCCAATTCGATCTCTTGTTCCAAGTCCTTTTCGGTGAAGTTGTAGTGTGACAGTTCCAATTCGCGCGGCTTGCTGTATCCGAACTGTTCAGCTTCGGAGCGGATGCCCAGCGGGTCGATCTTGGCCTTGTGGTGACCGCGGGCCTGGTAGGCTCGCACGAGCAGTTGCACCTTGAGATGGTTCATGACGTCGGTACCTTCGGCGGAGGCCATGCCCATTCCAGGCTTGTGAGCGGCGCCGCCCTGGGGCGAGCTCATGATGTTTGGCGGCGGTTGGAAGGCTTGCGACACGGGCATGTCGCCGGACTCCATGTTGTGGAAGTAGACCTGCCATGAGTAGTGAACGCTAGCGGGGTCCTGCTTCCACTGCATGTACATGGCATCGATGTAGTTGGCCGTGTTGCCCTGGAGGAACGAGTCGTTGGGGTCCTATGCCGTCATTGTTAGCTATGGGTCGAAGAGTTTGAGCGTCGGGCTGGGGAGGCACGCACAACGCCCTTGTTGGTGTCTTCCGACGACACGGCATACTGGCGACGCTGCGTCACAGCGAGCGGGCGGCGACATGTCGAAAGAGCGGTTCGTGATGGCTGTGCGAGGCTCGAGAAGGATGCTCTCGCTGGGGCGCACTGGAGCGAGCGGGAGCACTGGCGCAGGGTGTTGCGCAACATGGCGGTATTAGATGAGCAAAGCGGAGGTAGAGAGGGGTGGCATCCAAACGGACGACGATGAAGAGAAGAAAAGCCTCAGCGGTAGCAATGTGCAGTCGAAGTTAAGCGTCGAGCGCAGTAGAAGTTGATGCAGCCCAGGACAGGCCCCGTGTTCCGGCCTAGCGCGTATCATGGATCGCGGGATTTCTGACCGGTCACCACCCGCCACATTCGAGGGAACTACCAAACACCATGAAGTCTACATTGACGCTACGTCTCTTCATTTGCCTATTGTTGTCCTAATGTAGTCTGCAAGCCTGTGCAGGGTTGCAGTGGGAATCTTTGCTGGCCACGGCGGCGCTGCGATATGACGAAGTGGTCGCTCATCCAGTGTTCTCGCAACACCAGCCAATAGCAGGGCAGGCCTTATGTAACTCGCATGCAGCCTCTGACGGCTTCTGACGTTGCATGGCGCGGATATGTATCCGTTGCGCTTGGTGTGTGACCTCTCTTGGCTGATGCGAGCCATGCACCATGTTTGCAGATGCGCGTCCGGTTAATACTCCGGAGTTGGCGAAGAGGATGAGGAGGCCACATACATACGGGCTCCTCAAACAGTGGACGCATTGTAGCGGAACATCGAATTGAGTTTCGGAGTAGGGTACAGCCTTGCCTGACAGCCTCAGCGGCTGCTATGCCGTTCGCTAATGCGTAGTCACGTGCGACGCGTGAATCTGGGGAAACCCAGACAAGCTAGTACCGCGTCAGCCTCAAGCCAGGCATGCCTCACTGATCGCCGCGACATCACACCCCGCCATCATGGCCGACGCTGCTGCCCAGTACAAGAAGGACAACGGCAGAGTCGCAGTGTCTGCGGATGGCAAGACGGTGTCCTGGAAGTCGACCAGTGGCACGGCTAATGCGCCTGCTCCGTGGTCCATAGCCATAGCAGATATTGGCAGTATGTTGAAGCCTCATGAGAAAGACCCTATACATCACTGATACTCTCTAGACCTCCAGCAGACGCCCGCGACCGCTGCCAAGGCCTCTATCAAAATCGTCGTACCTGAGCCAGCTCCCCTAGCTGGTAACCACACCCTCACATTCACCTCCGCTACCGCCCGCGACGACCAACAAAACATAACTAGTCTATTGCGCAAATGGATCGAGGCCTCCAAACAGCAGAGCGATCCGTCGCCGGCTCCTGCTGCTGGTGGCAAGGATGGAGGGGACAGCAGCGCCTCAGCTGCCATGGCTATGGCGCAGACTGTGACCGCTGGTGGCAAAGACAACGAGGAAAACTACGATGACGCGAAGCTGCTTGCGGATACAACGCTTCAGATGTCGCTGCTCAATTCGAATCCAGCCCTTCGTCAACGCTTCGACCGAGCGCTCGCGGAGAAGCCTGATTCCGTCGGTGTCTTACAATTCTCTATGCAATTTTGGTCTACACGCGTGCACATGTTGAGATCACATGCAACGGAAAAGTCGCAGGCTACAGGAACTTACAACGTGCTGTCCGTCATCAAATCAAAGTCCGTCAACGGCACTCTCATGCTAAGCTTGACCAAAGAGCAGATTGAGCTCTTGTTCAGGCAGCATCCAATCGTGCAAAAGGCTTACAATGAGAACGTGCCCCAGTTGAGCGAGGGTGATTTCTGGGAGAGGTTCTTCCACAGTCGTTTGATGAAGAAGCTCAAGGGCGAGCGCATCCAAGAAAAGGATGTGCTTGATCCTAAGCTTGACAAGTATTTATCTTACGATGAGACAGCAGACAACCAGGATCTGCTTGCAGCTTCCATCCCCAACTTCATCAACATCGAGGCGAATGAACAGAATCACAGCCAGAAACAAGGTAACCGGCCCGACTGGACTATGAACCCGACCAATTATGAGAAGGCGCCCATTCTCCGAGTCTTGAATCGCATGAGCGAAAAGATGATGAAAGAAGTGCCACCTTCAGACGCGAGTCGCCATGGACCCGTCGGAGTAGATGAAGAGACATACAAGGAGCTGCAGTTGCGGGATCTACAGCGGGCAGATGATGACAACAGGGTCGTTCTCCGCGTACAGGACCAAAGCCGGTTCTTCTCCGCCGGCCAGAGCGTGCATACCTCCACCAGTGCTGCGACCTACACCAAACGTACTCCAGCACAGGCCCTCTCGACGTTGCAGCAGGACCTTCGCAAGTTTGGCGGCAACGGTCAGCTTTCGCGCGTCGATCTCCATTCCACGATCGATATCGACGATGAAAGTAGTAGTGACGAGGAGGAGTCGGCTCCTAAGAAGACCAAAGTTGGCAGTAAATCCTCACGAACCGCTGCCTCGTCACAAATCATAGCGGCTGTCAGGAAACGTCACCTGCACAACGATGACTACACATCATCCAAAGCCATTCCTACCAGCGAGCGCGCAAAGGAGCTTCACGTCTCAGAAGCTGTCCTCGAAAATCTCACCATGACCCACAACACAACAGTCGAGTTCTTGCACTACTTCTGGGCCGTGTTCTACTCAGGAGACCCCGACCGCGCGGGCGAGATTGCACGTCTCATTGAGACGCTCGACAAGTCGCTCGACCGTATCAAGGCGGTAGCCGACATGGCAGAAGCAGAGCGTGAAGCGAGGATCGAGCATGCGCGGAAAGAGAACGAGTTCGCCAACCAGCGAGAGAGGAAGAAGAGGAAGTTCGACCCCGGAGCTATAAGAGGGGGTGCGAAGGCTGTCAACCAGATTATCGATCCATTGATTCGAGCGATCGACGCTGCGCGGAGTCAATACAAGAAAGCGCTCCAGGAACAAGTTGCACGCAATACGGCGCCTGCGACTGCTTGATCTCATATGCGGGCTATACCTTTCAAAAGCTGAGGATCTTTCTGATTTGCATAGCGAAGGCGTTTGGGAGATGGGGCTTGTATCGATCAGACGACAGCTAGGTATTTTCGTGGAACAATCGCAAGCCATGCTTTGAAATACGGATACTTTCCGGAGATACATAGCAATTGTACTGAGTGAGGCAAGTGATGTTGGGACTGCTCATGTCTATCTAACAGCCATGTACGTCGGTTAATGCGCAAATCCGCAATGATCTACACGCGTTCCACGAAAATGGTTCGCCATGACCGAAAGTGATGCTGAAAGCTACAAACCATATGTATGATCAATACCTCATCGGGTCCGAAGGTGGACAACGCCGACAATTCTCGGATCCCTTGACGCAAAGCACTGTCAGGGGGAATCTCTACACCGCTACTTTTAAGGCTCGCAATGTTTGGTAAGGGCTCAGAACCGTCGGTCCATCGCACTTGCCAAAGGGAACGTCTTCTCACCAGCCCGGGCTGCTTCGGCAGGCACTGGACCCCTGACCTGGAAAGGCCCCACCTATTGAGTAACTCGACCAGGGACATTTCTTTCACAACCTCATCCTCACTTCGTTTCTTTCAAAGGTTGCGGTATCATACGGCGCAGCTTGAATGCAGCGACTGAGGGTATGAATATTGAAGTAACAAGAAAACACGTTGCGCATGCAGAAGAAGTATGCAAAGCAAGAGAGGACGTCATCAATCCCCGAAACGCAGGAACGATTGCGACCAACAACAACCGAAATTGGAATGAGCGTTTGTTGCGACCAGCAATATTGAATCATCGAGAGTCCAAAGGGGAAGCCTTAAGCAAGTATTAAAACACGGAAACGAAGGGCAAGGATGGACGATGAGCACACCCGAAGAGCGAACAGATCCTCTGAGCAGACCGAAACCGCAACACCTACATCATCCAACATTGGCCGAACCTACGCGACATCTACAACATCTACAATAAGAGATGCCGTCGCAAGTATACATGTTCCTGGAGTTGAAAGCTAGGGTCATCGTCCGCGGTAATAGTCGCGCGCTGGATCATAGTATGGTTGCGCTCCTAGGGTCCGTTAGCTGACCTGCACCAGATACGATACGATATGTCTGCTCCTCAACTCAGAAATACACCTACCGTTATTATTAGGAGGAATTCGCTCCCTTGGTCGGTTGTCTCTGCAAAGATCAGCGTCTTTCTCAACTGTACGACAACCTTAGTCAACCTACCTGTAACGGAAGCTATGCCAAAGGTACCATCTAGCGACCCAGTTCTCTTCGTTGACCTGAGTACAGTAACGACCAATGTCATAATATGGTCTCGTTTCGGCGCAAGCATCGCGGACGATCATCAAAATATGCAGATGTTTTGACGTTTCGGATAACTCGTCCCATCTATATGGTTCCGCTACAGAGGGGTCTGCCCTCGATTGCTCTGTCAAATTGTAGCGGTTCGAGCTCAACGCGTTCCTAGCAACCACAGCTTCGGCCTGTAAAAGGCGTGTGGGTTAGCAGACGACTTTCCATCGTCAGGCGGAGACTTACGAGGAGCAGTTTGTGTGTACTCTCACTGAGTTTAAGTCGATTGCAGATCTCGCTCTTGCTCGCACTCTGGGAAAGAGGAGGCAAGGTCGTGGTAAGGCGACGTTCCCTAAAAGGATCGTTCATCACGCCAATGGTACGAAAGGAGCAGCTCAGATGAAAATAGATATGGGTGACAGAAAGTCAGATCTCTTTGTCTTATACCGGGAGTCGACAACCGTGGAGGAAGATCCTATGGAGTCGCTGTCATGTGACAATCAAGGTCCGTCCCGTCCTCTTTCCTTCCGCTGTGACGCGGCGCATACGCCACATCATGAGAGAATGGAGATCCGATTCGAGAAATATTTATTTCCCACCCTTACTCGCCTGGCCCAGGCGCCATGCCCTCGAGGTGGCTTCACATGCAGCTAGCGAATCTTAGTTGTTATGCCTGGCCAGCGCCGATCTATTGACGTGGACAGGGTGGATCACATGGGTCTCGCGTATCCTCCCGTGCAGCAACGGCAGGTAGATGCGTTGAAAGCCGCTGTTCTGATTTGCCGCGAGGACATAGCTTCAGATCCATGTACGTGTAGCGATTCATAACGACCTGTAGATCTCTCCACATCATTATACCCTCCTGTTGGCACTAGCTAAATTAGCGATAGTATAGCTTAGCCTAACGACAAAACAACATCCGCACTGCGATCATCTGGCCGGTGATTCGAGGACCTGATATAATCCCGAGAATCAGGTCGACGGACTTGAGCGCTGGTCAGACAGGAATACGGCAAGCATCTACGGTCGGCAGGGAGATGACTGCTTCGAAGACCTTTCGGATCAGCCAATGCCACCCAAGCGTGGAGCGTACGACTACATGGCTCACGAGTGTGGCGCATTGGGCGAAGTGGAAGGAACTCGGCTCGTCAAGCCCAGCTCTTGCGGACGAGAGACGCTCGAAGAAAGAGCATCACAGTTGGATGACGTGGGTGCAAGACAGCACGGCCCGGACTGAGTCAAGCCTCCACATGATATCAATACTCCGGTCCAGACTTAGAGACCGACAAATTGTAGTCTATGCGAGATATGCAAGCTACTTAAAGTTTCAGCACGCCCGAAGGCAATCTAACTGTCAACCACGTATCGACGTGATACTCGCTGTATCCGCTCTCAACTACTGAAGGTAAGGATCTCCGTCAGGTGCAGGGTAACGGACAAGAATCCGATGAAGCCAGTAAGCCTGGCTCAAGGCCGTTGTCGAGGGCTCGATGAGCATCACTACTGGAGAGCGTGCAACCCAATACAGCACAATCGACCGGACAGACGTGCACAATCTCACAAACATAGGTTTCGACATTGAAATGCGCACGTCGCTCCTGGGTGGACTTTGTTTATCGAACTTTTAACAAGTCCAACAGCTTCTGGAAGCAATGGAAGGTTTTGCCGCGCAATGCAGCCTCCTCCAGCCCGGCTAAGCCCGGGCCAAACGACTCTACAGCCAGCGCACGGCTGGTACGCGCCGCGAAGTGAATTTTACGAAGGCCAATACCGGTCAGCTACCTGGAAAAGCTACCCTTTGCGTACCGTCGTCATGCTGGCTCCTAGGTCGACGACAATTACACACATCCCGTGTCTATTTCGAGTATACTCAGTGCACTCGTACCGGCTGAGTGGGTTGCATAGCTGACATATCGCTTGTTGCCTTCCACTCCATCGGTGATGGATAAGTCGGCGGCTTCTCCGTATCCAATCCGCTGCAGCAGTAGCTCTAAGAGCTCGTGGAGGGTGTGGGCTGGAAGTCACTTCTGCAATTCAACCGTACCAGCCTATCCTAGGCTTTATCGATGATCGATGGAGGTACATGGAGAAGAGAACGTATGGCCAGCCACATGTGCTGGGAACATAGCTGATCACTGTCACGGCCATGATAGGCCACACTTTCCAAGGTGAGCCTGGCCAACTCATCGCTACCCCAGCCTTAAGTACTTCGCTTCTGTGGAGACTGCATCAAACTAACCAGTCTGCTTCCGTGTCGGCGAACCTGGATAAGTGGACTGGTTCGTCTGCTCAACGCATTGTATACAATGTAAGCGGCACGACCCACTTGTTCCCGTCGCCAACTTGGTTGTACGGACCCGGCTTGTTTTGCCGATCATTAGGCTCTGATTGTGCAACCTGTAAACAGAGGCCATGGGAGCTATGCAAAACCACCATTCTCGACGGAGTCATTTGCGAAATGCGGAGATGGTCTTCGAGAGTCTTTCGCCAAGCTTATGCATGTGCAATCGATCATGGATAAGCGCTCTGTGCATGGATAAGGGGCATGATCTCACAGCGGCGCTAGCCAAAGACAGGTAGGCTGGGGCATAGGGTCTGCATACATGCAGGAGAAGCCGCCACGAGCAAGTTGGACCGATGCACTTGCGTACGGGAGGGTCCGACGTTGAGTTCGAAGAAGCACAGCAGCAGTTTTGCTTCTGCGCATTATCGCCATTTCTAGGAAGGGTCATGGGGCTTGGGGCGCCGAGTACAGAGCATTATGATTGGATGGCCCTCCGCACACAGCGGCGTCGAACATGTTCCCTTTGCTAGGACTGAAAACACTGGAGCTGTATCCTAGACTGACTGCAATGGTCATACGATTTGGGAGTCTCGAGTCGGCGAATACCGTGTCTTTGGTCATGCCCTCCAAGTAGTGAGTGAGCCGCCACAAGATACGACAGGGCGGTTGCACAGGAGCAGGTCATGGCTGCTCCTGCCTAAACCATACGACCTCGGAAAGGGCGCTGCGGACGGCCTGCTGCTTCCCAGGATGCCCTGCAGCGCACAAACAGAGTTGCTCTGCTATCAGCAGGGTCCCACACTCATGCACATTATGGTCTAGCATCGATCGGATCTCACCTTTGGCAATATCGATGACAGGACATGAGCATGATGCCCACAGCACAGCCCTGCGACGCCAGTCTAATGGACCGCAGCAACGGCCAGGAATCAATATGTGGCCCAGCTGCATCAGATCCGTTGAACGAGACCAACGCCAATCCGTCCTTCCGATCGATCCATGCCATGCAGCCGGATCCGTTCGCCTATCACAGAGCTTTCCTAGACACGAGCTCGTCGCAAATGCAACCGCAATCGCAAGGCCAAGGGCGCGACCGGCATCACATCGCACAAGATCACGATGATTATATCCGCCACGATGTTACCGGGACCGGAGATATGCAGCATGACATGGAATATCAGCAGCAGGCCAGAGCTCGAGGCGTTCCCTACAATCTTGCCGTTCGGCTCGCAAATCGCTCCAATGGCGCGCCTCTAGCCACTATTGTGGAGCAAGGTTCCTACTCGACGCTAAACTCTCATGGCTCCCTCCTCAGCGTGGGCCGCTTCCCTTCACTCCGTGTGGTGGAAAATGCCTCGCCAACGCGCTCGTCACCAAGAATCCCATACACACCAGAAGGACTTGTTCTCCAGCGCATCACAGAAGACGCGCAGCGAGGACATCTGCTAAAAGCACCGAATAATACACACGATTTGCCCCTGTGCAAGAACAACAGCAACTCGTTCCGGGCTGATGATGCCGCAATCCCATCCGAGTTTCCCAGTCTTAGGCCATCGCAATCTATTACCTGTCGGAATGGCAGGACCGACGGCGACGCGAATACCAGCAATGTCAAAGCCTTCTTTCGTGGCGTTATACACAATGTTCGAGCTGCCTCAAGGACCCGGTCTAGGTCGTCCTCGATGCAGATGTCGCTCGTTAAGAACCAAAGCGATCGGCCGGGTGCGAGCGAGGATAGTCTACAAAGCCATTTACAGGCATCTGACATGTCTCAACTGGGCGATGACACATTTGACACGCCATATCGTTTCCCTGCTGCATCCCAGACCCTAAGCACGACTAAAGTGTTAGCTTCTGAACATCAGGCCAGAAATGGGCAGTTTTCCATGGCTGATCCTAGTTCTTCAGCTCATACGATAGTCTCCAATTCTGACGTCGACCCATATACGCCCGAGTCGCAAACGGCATTTGGAGCCGTATCGAAGCTACTACCACCGTCGGCTACAGCCCGCCCGCGTAAACGGTCCTCTTCTGTGCGTCTTGTGTTCCCGGAACCACGCGATTGGGCGCACGATGGCGGTAGCGCTGAAGTACTAATGCTATCAAACGAGGTCAACAATAACGTCTCAGCTGGACACACGTTTTATGGTGCGAGTAAGAATACCCACTCACTGACACAGCATGACCACGCGACGGAGGCTAGTCACAATGCGAGCTTCTGTAGTACCATGTCTACCTCCTACTCGGGAACGGTAGTCGGTGTCGACGTTGACCTTCAGCACGACTTCCCTCATCCAGTGCGTCCTTCGCGTTCACCCACACCTGTCGCGCCAGTATGGTTTACTCCGCAGATGGCCGAGCTAGAACGGCAAGCGTCACTCTCTGAGTCACCTCCCGAGCCAAATCAAGTTACTGAGGCAGAACCCCCGCGTCGCTCAATCACCTCATCCGCGTTGACGTCTTTACTACCAATAGCTTCAGCATCGGGTATCGTCCGCCCCAACTACGACACACCGAAGATTTCATTCTTCTCGCCGTCCGGCAATCTTATCCAGCCAGAGGGTAGTTCGACGCCAGGCACTACGAGCGCTTCGGATTTGAGCGGCTCACCCACTGCAACCACATTGTACTACGATAACAAAACCACGCCTGCCACCTATCATGCGTTCCCGACAACGACATGTCTGCCACCCCCAAGGCCCTCTTTGAGGCCAATGACCACACCACCCACGTCGTCGGTTCCGCTCCCTGTGCACCTACGGTTCTATCACAACTACAGACGCCCTGAGCAGTCGCAGATCGACTCTACAGTTGGCTCCACAGAGTCGTTCATCTTGCCTGCACCGTTAGTCCAAGGCTGTGACGGGATAGCGCAAACCGAAAGTCTTGCGCCTTGCTCCAGACCACGTCATTCGTACGAGAAGCCGAAGGCACGGCCGCGCTACAAACCTCGTAGATCAGCTCGATCATTTGCCGAGGATCTCAAATATGAGGTGAGGTTCCACAGAGCCCGATTGATCACGGCTATCATCGCAAGTTGCACCTCGTCCGGAAAAGGAAGAGTTCTTCGCAAGCGAAAGGCTGCGAACCGTAGAGCCGCAGCAACCGCATACGTGAGCATGCCTCGGAGCTGCGCAGGTGAGGCTACAACCAGGTCCAGAAAGAAACGAATACACCCCCGTCAACCCACAGCTCGGCGCGACGTAGGGGTCCTCGGACCGCTTGCCGGGCACAT